ATATATATATTTATGTACAAATATATAGTAAAGAGCATGAAGCTTAAATCCTTGCATCTATTGTATGAATATTTCTTGGTGTGATGATGCAACTTAAAGATACAAAATATAAATTTCATTAAACAAATTATGTTCACGGAGTACAAGTTCAGAAAACTTTAGAAATATAAGTACAGAAAATTTTATTAAAAATCTAATTAAAGTATCTCTAGGTAAAGTGGGGTAAATAAATATGAATATAGTTTATGTTTAATTTAGATTAGAATGTGCAAAATCTGTAGACTAAAGAATAAACACAGTTCTAGGTTTAAAAAAGGTTTTTAATTTTTTTCTTTATTTGCATATGATAACATCTCCATCATGAGTCATTACCACATGGCCTGCACTTTGAATATTTGGCCAGTAACTTCGTAATAAAGCTGGCCAAAGTCTGGCTTGTGCATTTTCGGTTTGTCCAGTAACTTTCAGAGCACACTGGCCAAATTGGCCTGTACTATTTCAAACAAAGGTCAAACACTGGCTTTGCTGCCTTGTTTTACCTTTATGGTCATTACTTGACAAGTTTAGATAGATATTTAGATAACAAGTACAAAAAATAACCATAGTAATGTTGTGCAAATTATTTTTTCAACAGAATGATAAAATTGGTCTGTCTATGAAGGTGGTCAACCAAGGCACTGGCAAAGATCTAGATCCAAATCAGGTTCAATCCAGGTACTGTATGACTTTGATAGATATCACCTGCAAAACCAGCAATTTATATTTAAAAAGATTAGACTGGAGTACATATTATGTTGATATGACCTTGTTTTTCCAATAATATATTCTTTAAGTTACTCGCTTGATAAAAGATACATTTGAATGGATCTCATGTTTCAGCAATGGCTGAATCAGTTTCATGACATTAATCACAATTTTTCTACTTTTTATTTAAAGTCAATAATTAAAATTGCTCTTAATTATTCTGTAATTTATTATGTAATTTTACATCAAAATTGACACAAATCTTCTCTGTGCACTGCTACTGCAATTGTTATGAAAAGAAAACTGTTACTTATTATTTTAAACTTACATGAATAATTTTAGGATTGACATGAAATTAGAAAGCCAGATGAATTGATTTATCATTTAATATTGCATTAATGCAATTTCATAAATTTTCATTTTTCTCTTTCTGGCATTTTCAAAGTGTGCACTTGAACTCTCATGGGGCTGAAGCCTTATGGTTGTTACACATTTTATATACATCATTTATACCTGTTGAGCTTAATTAAAATTTGATGTTGAATTTGCAGTTAAGCATAATGTACTTTTGCATCAGCATTGACAGTAGCATATTTTGTGCATTGTTATTTTCTGCTTCTTGTCTGTACATTTGACAGCTTTGCTGCCTTGTTTTCAACTTAAACTCAATGTTCATCTAGACACAAAATATTAAGGGGTAAAAGTTGAGCTTTCCTTTGATTATTTTTTTTCAGCCAAGATGCTCAAAGAAGAAAACAAGGTTTTATATCCAAACAGGATAAAATAGAACTTGGTGCTGTATTAGATACAACATGTAGAAAGTGTGGAGGAAAAGGTATAGTTGTATTTTCCATTCTTTTTGGTCAGCCAGCAACATACTGATAACCTACTCATATGTGCAAGCAGCAATTTTTCTTCTGAGTAACATCTGTTTTGTTTTTTAAGAATGATTAATTCTATTAATAATTGACAAAATTAGGTATTTGTTTTATGTTGTGGCCCTGTGAAAAATAAGCAACTGTATGATATGGTTTTTTTATTCTAGTATCTCTGTATATTAAATTTAAACAGATATAAATACAGAAAAATAAGTGACTGTATGATATGGCTTTTTCATTCTTGTATCTCTGTATAATTTAAACAGATATAAATGCAGAAAAATAAGTATACATTGAATTGTTTTGTTCTCCAGGTCACCTCTCCCAAGACTGCTTTCATATACCTGGACAAAAATCTTACGAACTGCTCACTGAGGACCCCCTTGAAACAGTAATAAAAGAAAAACATGAAGATGGAAAAGAATTTCAAGACAAAAAGAAAAAGAAGAAAAAGGTATTGCTTACATCTTTCTGTAATGATTGACCATAACCATTTTTGGTTTGTTTTTACAGACATTTTTATAAGACCTGCCCATCTGACTGCTTGCTTTACAGTCTGCATGACTTATATTTAGAACATGGGAGTTGGGATGTAAAGCACTGCACTGCTTTGGCATTTGGGAACAGTAAACTTTGGATTTCATATAATCTTCTTTGATTTCAAGGAGAAGAAACACAAACACAAGACAAAGAAAAAACATAGAGATTCCACAGAAAGTAAGAAGGTAAGGCAGGAGACATTAGTTTTACATTTGCCTCCCCCCCCCCCCTAAAAAAATCAACTTATAACCTTGAAGAAGATAGTAAAAACATGATGATACTTAATGGTCCCTTTTATCTTTTTATTATTATCATTATAATTTATTTATTTACAATAATTTTTTTTTTGCAGCACAAGAAATCTAGCAGGCACCACAAGCGTAGCAACAGTAGTGATAGCAGTTCAGACTCTGATTCAGAACCTAAGTACAAGAAACACAAGAGGTAGTATTTGGGAAACCTTACACAGGGCATCAAAATAAACCAAAAGGAACAGATCATTACGAACTGGTGTCAAGAAGTTGTTGAGGAGGCATGTTCAGATAAGTCAGGGCTGAGGAAAAGTAGTCTGACTCATTCCTCGCCCATTGATCAAATGGATTCTGTGCTGCAACTGCATGTCATCTCTAAAACAATGGATAGGAGTAACATCACAGCTCAACTGTAGCACTGCTTAAAGTCTTGCTGAGGGCAGAACAGATTTTAGACATGTACCTTGTAAGGTTGAGCCTGTTCATGTATTGTGCACTGGGATTTTAAGAAAGGTTGAGGATAGCACATTCATTGCAAAGAAATGAATGCAAGATTTCTGAGGAAAAAAAAAAGAGGAAAAAAGATCAAATTGAAATAATCAAAATAAAATCCGATATAAATCCACACTTTTCAAACTGTATTTATAATTTTAAAAATTGAGTATATTCACACAGGTGATGAGTATACATTTTCTGTGAGCAAGCATATCAGTTCCATTTGTATTGGAAGATGGTGTAAATAATAAAAACTTTGAATTACAACTTGTCATCTTGTGTTAGGAGAGTTTTAAAATGAAATGTTCAGAACAAATTGCTCTTGTATTGCATATTTATTTTATGAATATAAGACTTGGCTGTTGTATGTCTTATTGGTGATAATAAATGTACCAGCTGGACCTGTCCAGGAATTCAGTACCACAGTATGTTTTATCTCTCCACAGTCTGCAGCAAACAAAGCAGTGCAATACACCCCCTTCCCTTGACACTGATAATTAGAATCAACATGCTGGATTATTGAAACAGCAGATCACAAGACTGTATTAACAGCCGTGACCTAGGTCTGAACTGGGAAAGATCCATTGTATACAGCAGATTGGTTCATTATTGAAGTTCCTAATCTAATGGAGCCCCACCCCCTACCAGACCCAGTTAGTGACTGTGAAATTGTGAGGCAGAAACTCCCCCTTGTTTGCTCTGTGAGATAGTTAAGATATTTTAAAGTCAAGAGGCAATGCTGGTCTCGTGAAGGTGATAAGAATTACCTCTATCAAGTTAAATATTGAGCAGCTCAAAGTAACACCTTGTGAGAAGATTAAGGCTTTTATGCATTAGTGTGTGTGTGTGTGTGTGTGTGTGGGGGGTTAATCCTCATTGGAGACATTAAAAAGTAATCCCCAGGTCTGGACATTTTATTACATAAAGATAGAACATACCGATTATCATGCTGATTGTAACCTGTTTTCATTTTAATTACTTAAACGTTTCATGCTACTGTTGTTTTTGCAGAGTTAATTATTGGTCTGTCATTGAAGGAGCTTGTTTAAAATGGAAAGATTTGATTTCAAAAGTACCCACTTATCCTCAGTGAGCAAAGTTGGTCTAACAAGTGGTCAGTGTTATGTGTAAGTAAATCAAAAGCCCAAATATTCTTTACATCCTTTTATTATACATCAATAACAATATACAAACCCCTCCAACAGCTTAGTAGGTTATTTGAAGATGTGAACTATACTACGGTATTATTTTTACAATAATTTTGTTCAGTTGCTAGTTTAACTGAATGTATTTATCAGCTCAACCTTTTATCACATTAACAGATGTGTCATATATTACAGTTTGTAGGCTTTTATTGTATGGAAATTTTATATACAATTAAATGTCCTCTTGTAATTTAGTATATTTTAGAAATAAAATAGCTATAAAAGGCCATTAAAATACTTTTTGTACAATTTTTTTTTATATTTCTGAGCAAAGGCCAGATATCTTTTCATACACAGATTATGCAACAAATGTTTTTACATTATCTGACTGTTATCTACACCCAAGATTGAAGTCCAGTTGAAATCAATTTGTTCTGAAGTGAAACTGGGGATTATTTTCTCCATATCAAAGTCAAGTTATCCTTAAAACACTGGAATATTTCAAAATATATATCCAAAAGCTAAAATAAATAAATTTCAAAGAAAGAAATAGCTTCTGTTTAAATGTCCAAGAAGCATTAAATACTTGTTATCGCATTCTCCTTAAGATAAATCTGTCTGGTGACAACCAAATGTCCTGATAAAACACAGACAAAGGCATGTTTATAACAGTTTATTGATAAGCATTAATATGATTGACAATTCAACTCAACCTCAAATACATAATTGTAAAGATAATAAGTGGTATTTGTCAGCTCTACTGTGATATGATTGGCTTGAATCGCATTCAATTTAATTTTGGTCAAAAAGGAATTTAGATGCAATTTGTATTTCATGGCCTGAATCTCTCCATTTACTCAGCAATCACTGCCACCATGATCTTATAAATTTGATAGATTGCTTCTACTTCACTTCTTTACAAGCTCGATTAAAACCAATCATGGGGGATTTTTTTGCCAAATTTTAACAAGAATAAGTTAGTTTTGTTATGCTGCATTTTGCTGATATCCAGTCAGCATTTTAAAAAGAGTACTTTTCCAGTAAGATCCTTACACCATGTTCATGGTTCAAGTACAAAGTAAACAAAGTCCTGAGTACACTGACCTTTACAAGGTTATAAATACCACAAACAGTAGAATATATGTACATCCCTTCACCAGTATACATATTTTGAACAGATACAAACAATACAACTGCCATCAAAAATGAAGGTCTCAGAAAAACAAATTGTAAGGCAAAATGCTCTACTCCCTAAATGTGCAATACAAACAAATTTTTCATTTTTGATGGCTACTGACAAGGAATATAAGTCCACCTTCAAACTCTTGAAATACATTTCTTGACAGTTCACAATATTTAAATATACAATATATTCATAGAATAAAGGTAAAACTAATATCTCTAATTCTGGTTATACTAAATTACTAATAGTATTCAAAATAATGGACATTCACATTTTTTTTTACATTAATAAGCAAAGAGACATGGAGAGTTTTTTGAAATTATGTTTACTGGGGAAAAAAATATAACCCAACAAAGCCAGATGATTTGAAGGATTTTTGGATTGTAACAAATGCCTGAAATCAGGTGATGCAATGTCCTTATCTTGATAAGAACTAATAAATACCTGGACCTATTGAAGCTGAGCAAATAAAGATATGTGCACCTATCCAGCTCAGGTGACCTATCCTCCGCGATAGTGTATACAATGGTAAAATATATCTTCATCAAACCCTCAGATTTGAACTAATTTGAATACAATTGCTACTTAATTTCTATTCCTAAATCAATTCTATTGAATGTAATATAATATAATATACTAATTATGGTTAAAATAGTTTGCTATGGCAAGAGAGTGCATTATTGACTAGAACAAACAAAAAGTGTTATAACCATGCAAAAAATATGCAGGAATGTCCGTGAACTATTTCAGACTGCATGCAAAAATGTACAAATCTGGATCACAACTGCATTTCAGCCAAATAGTAAATGTCAAATAACACCACATTATCAGAAGAAGTTTACAAATGTTTTTTGGCAAACAAATTCTCTATCAGTCAACATACAAATAAAACAACTTTAGAATATCATGCCATTAAGTAATCAGTTCCTCGCCATACAACTTTTTGCAAGTAAGACCCATAAACTGAACTCCCATTGCAATTTAAAATTTGTTCTTTTCTGTTACTTGAATTTTGACCTGCTCTTTTTTGTTTGTATCCTAATCATCAAATTGAAGCAAAAAATGTTCAATTTTGGCACAGCCAGTTGTCATCAGTCTTATATTTTTTTTTATTTTAGGTCATTTGTATTTGAGGTACCAATTGATTCCAAATATTCTGGAATTGTCCATTTATAGGAGCCAATAGATTTTATTCTAGCTCCACCTACTGCTATGTTCAACCTTAATTTGAAAAATCACATGCTATGTCATCTCAACATTGAATTTTCAGTTACCTAAACCTCAAACAAGGTGAACACAACAATATAAAAAATAAAAACCCTTGAAGAGAAGCATACAAAACACTTGCTAAAATAAATAATCCAAAAGGACTGACAAAAACTTTGGCAACAATGTTTGTCTTTCATGTATTAAAAACTCACTTGAACAATATTCTGCAAAAGTACACAATAATAAAGTACCTAAAAACATAGAAATTCCTCATTCAAATTCATGAGGTGATTCCACAAACACTTTTAAAGAAGACAAAAACTCTAACTACATTCTTACTATGTATGTTTACGTGTACGTGAATACTACAAAGTTCACTGTTGAATGGCACACCATATCACGGGTTAGTCAAGCACTATCCACCCATTAACATAAGGTTAAAACTTACCACCACCACTAGACTCCTACAAAACAGGAACAACTCTACTCTTAGGTGCAGCCATATATCTACATATTCATAATACTGTGCATCGATAAAAAACAAAACTCCATGCCGAAAAAATTCAACAGGATATTAGAGTTAAAAGGAACAGTCATGCAACAAGGTTCCAAATGTTTTAAGCCTGTGTTCACATTTGCCATGATCCATCCAATGCATTGATAGTTGCAAAACCTGCCTGGCTGTACACAGGGTCATCTTGAGCTACAGATAGAAAGGAAGAGCTATAAGAAAAGGAAAACAATGGGTTAGTGTGTTAACAAGTTAGTAAGGAAAAATAAAGAAATCAACATAAAAAAACGCCAATCAACAATGCTACTTGGTATGTGACATACAAACAAATTTAGATTGGTTTAGAAATCAAAATGAATCAGAGACTTGCTTGTCATGACTATAAATAGTTGACAAGTAAATCTGTATTAGTCCCCAATAATGATCGAAAATTGACATAGTATGCCTGCCAAATTAAGCAATCTGCACATCTTAACAAAAATTGAAGCACATAATACATAATATGCCATAAAAACAGAAAACAAAAATGCCAACACTAAATGCAGCATCAAACTTAGTAAAACTATGTGAACACACCAGTACTACATACGTATGGACTTGCTGCACAAATTGCACAAGAAAAGCATGACATTGCAAACTCTGGCTTACTCTGTGGCATCTTGCCTGTTGTGACAACATAACTAGGCGTGGAGGTTACTACTGGCATGGCCATGGCAGGGGCGTATGTAATATCCGAACGAGCAGCAGGCATACTCATAGCATAGGCAGCAGGAGCTGTGGCAAGAGGCCGTCCTGGGGAGGTTGGCATCATGGGCACCTCAGCACCTGACAGTCAGACAAGCCAATTAGTCAAACAGTCAAGCCAAATCACACCTACTAATGATATACTTCATAACATAATTGATACAATGCCAGTCACTGAGGTGTATGTGATATATATTAGTGCAAATCAGAAGTGGATATGGCATACACCTGGCTGATGAGCATGGTATCTGACAAATCATGGCTTATTATTTAGTATTCATGCATGTTGTGCATATAGGCAAAACACACATCTGGGCTTTTGTTCTGATATCTACAATGGTACAATATCATGTACATATTATGAAGGTTTGAGTCTAACAACATATTTAAGTTAAAACTACCCAACAAGTTCTTAATTGAATCCTTGTTCTCCAAATTGTTTTATAGTAACAAGAAAATGAGCAGAAACAATAACACTGGGACCTTTGAAATAAGATCCTTCTTATATCTTATGCAGCTCTACACTTTACAAGCTATAAAAAATTACGTCACCATTAAAATGGTACCAAAGTACATGTTTTCAAAGGAAGCAAGTTGCTACTGACAACAGCAATGATTGCATGTTACTGCATTTCATTCCCATTGGCAGCTTAAGGAAGATTGCAAGACAAGTGTGAAACACAAGCTCCACTGCCAGTAGCAGAATCAAAGACTGCTCATCGTAATCAGGACACTTTTATCAACAATGTGAAAAAAATATGGGATTTAGACCGGCAAACAGGTAAGTCACCAGTAACATAAAATCAAGATGGCTTCAGTCCAAAATGCTTAGGTTTTTTTTTTTTAAAGTAAGCCAAGAGAACTGTGAGCAATTACATGATAAAAGTTTTAGCAAAATTGATCCTAAATAAGCTCAGAAGCTGAAGCAAACAGCAAGATGCAAAAGCCACATCAGATAGTCAACAGAAAGCAAAGTACAAACCTTCAACAGGCATTCCAAGCTGGGCCAACACAAATTCAGCAGCATAACTTTTAGCTTCCTCCACACTACGGCATAGTTTGTTGGGAACAAAGGGGGTGGGAATGTTGGGCAGAGTCACCTAATAAAGGAAAATGAAAAGCTGTATTCTTTTAAATCAATTAATTTACAACACTTGCAAAATTGTCATAAAAACATTTTCACTTCAAAACTCTCAACAAAATGTTTAAATGAAAAGAAATGAAAACAAATACCCTAAAGCATCAAAATTTTACTATAGAGACGTACTTTGAACAAAAAAAGCTGGACATCCCCACTTCCATCACGTCCAAGTGTAGAGTGCAGGTGATAATTTGGAGTTCCCCAAGCATTCTTCTGGCAAAACTCTTCTAGAGTCTACAGTACAAAAAGTTTCAGTAAATGATCAAAACAATCAAACAAACAAACCAAATTCCCGAGCAAAGACAAACATGACATGCTGGAATTAAGGTATAAAAATCACTGCATCTATTTTAATCTTTTCATTAAGAAGAATCAATGCTGATTTAACTTTGAACTGATGATAAAATCGAATTCCTGTAACCAGTACCCCAGGCAGCACATGGAAAATACAGATGTAACAAAATTAACATGATCTATCAGTATCAGTGTTATGGGATCTGTCTAGAAGCAGCAATATTATAAGCACTACAATCAACATACCTGAATAGGGGACTTGACAGACTGGGGTTTGAGGGTTACAGGGTTAGTTGGGGTCAACTCCATTCCAGGAAGTAGGTCATAGAGTCGATCCTACAAGGGAACATGCAATCTGCTACAGTCAAACCCCATTTCATTAAATCACTGTGATTTTTTAATGAGCAGTTAAGTAGTCATTAGCTCCACCCCCAAAAAATTGAATGATTTAAAATTATGATAAATCACTGTATTTTTTGTTGCTTTAAGGTCAGTTGTTTAAATTATTTTAATTTTTTTAGCATTAAAAGCATCATTTTCTTTTCCCTGTCTATAATTAGTATGGATCTAAAAGAGTGGCTGACACTTGGTTGTATAAAAAGAAAGCATAACCAACAAATTAGAATGAGTGAGCTTAGCATAAGAAGAGAGACTGTAAGTATGGCAAGCAAATTTCATGCACTAACTGATGAAATGGAAATGTGTCAGTGAAGAATTATGATTGTGTTAGGATGTTCCACAAAATCTCACCAAACTATAACAGAGACCTTACAGGTGAGGAATGGCACCAGTACCTTACCTCCACAGGCTGTTTCCTGTATCCTCCGCGCTGCATGTAGGCCATATACCCACGTCCACCAGCACCACGTGATCCAGCAGCACCACGGCCACGCCCTCTTATGGGCCCTCGCATCTGTAAAACTCTACTTTGTACACCCCTGCAACACAAACATGTCAGTTACAGACCAATCTATTGTTTTCTAGCAAGTGTCCTCATCAGCCATCTTTATTAGGTTAAATGTGTAAGTAATTCTTTAAATAAATTGCAATACTGTTATTTTAAAAATTGTTAACTAGATAAAGGAAAGTAGTGTGTATCAAAACTAACATAAGCCAGGTCTCAAATCAAAATAATTTTAACAAAAATAAAGAAATGAATAAACAAAAATTGAAGATCTATAAATTTTCAACTGATAGACCTATAATAAATAAGTCCACCATGAATGAAAATGACAGACACATTAATCACCTGCTTCATATACCTAGAGATTGATTGATCAAGAGTTTTTTTTTTCTTTTTTTTATAAAGCCCTAATGTGTAATTTTTTTTATTTATTGAAATTTGGAGAAAATTAGCTTTATTGGAATATCCAATTGATTTTCAAAGTAATTTCTAAATATTTGATTTGTAGAAACTTCTTACAATTTAAAATTTGGTATCATGGTACCATATATGAAAAAAATAAAGAATGAATTTAACAGATGACAAAAAAATAAAGAATGAATTTAACAGATGACAAAAAATAAAGAATCAAATTTGAAACATAAAAACACTAACAGCAAACTTCAAAACAAGCAAAATTTGTTATCATTTCATTAAACGCAGTCAAAAAAAGCAAGCTGCACAGAGCAAAAGTTCAAGCTCCCTTAGATCATAAAAACATCAAAGCCTGATCCATTTGTGTAAGTGTTAGATTATTATTATTGCTATTATTATTATCATTATTGTCTGCAATTGCGCAATCTGAATTTGGGAACAAATTTGTTAGTAATTCATTTTTTTCCAAACTTGCTGGTGATGGTAAACCTTGTATATGTGTCATCCTCATCCATGGTGGGTGGGAGATCATACCTGGCAGGCACAGTGGGGATGTTACCATAGACTTGAGCAGTATAGGGGTCAATGGTAGTGGGGTAATAACTGTACGCACCAAGGGCACCCTGAAATACAAGGAAAATAACAATGACATCCACTTCATGATGAATATTAAAAGATTTTATGTCAAGAAAGTTACCTTAAGAAGCAGAAGTATTTCATCCTTATGTGCTGAGTATTTAAATTATGTTGCACATTGTAACAATTGTAGAAGCGAGTTGAGTAAAATTCTATTTTAGTTTTACAACTGATCATTTTAATCAAATATGACAAAAACTGATCAATCAAACTGTACTGTACTGAGCCCCAATCAAACTCACCAACTATAAATAATAAATAAATAAATACATAAATAAGTAAATAAATAACAATGGACAAGTGAAAAAAAAATTATAAAAAATTTTTAAATGTTCATAGTGCACTAATATCTAATACTATAAATATGTTTCAATTAAGGCAGAAGAGAAAGGGTCTTACATTTCCAACGGCTTCTACCTGAGATACAAAAGCACCACCACGTCCAGCACCTCGAGTGAAACGTGTGTATTCAGTTTTGTCAACTGGTTTGGCAAGTACCACTTCAATTGTTGAACCATCCAGGTTTGAACCTTATTTAAGTAAAGATTATAAATCATGTATGATTCACATGTATCATTGTGTTTCATCACATTGCAGAAGTAACCTCCCACTTACTCGTTCTGAAAACTTAATGAGAGCTATTAAAATTACTGGGTAAGTTTTCAATTTGTTATTATTAAGCAAAAAAAAAAATATATCACTGTCATTAGTTCAATATCTTTATTAATTGGTATCAAATGCTTACCATTCAACATATTCATTGCCTGCACAGCATCATTTCTATCTTTGAAATGCACAAAGGCATAATCCCTCAACTTTTTCACTCTCTCAATACACCCATCTGTTCCCACTGCTTGTGCAAAAACTTGAGCAATCTTCTCCTCAGTTGTAGTTAGCATCAGGTTGCGAACATACAGAATCTTTACCTGTGTAGCATAGAAAAAAAATAGAATAATGAAAAAAAGAATGATACTAATAACAGTTATACATTATACAGAAGAGACAAGTATAATTACTTTAAAATTAGAATGTATATTCACAATGAAAAATCTACAATAGAAGGTTACCATATGGTTTGATCTTAGGATTCTACTTTCCACAGAAATGTTATATTCCATGTGCATTTTATCAAATCATTTTTTCTATGTCTGACACTAGCAAGGATCAGATGAGTATAGATCTTTTGGCATTCCTCACTCAAACTTTCCATTAAAACCCTACAACTGTGGGGGTAAAGGTCCCAGCTTAACCACACAAGTGGCAGACTGATTAAGATTTACAGGGATTATATTGTTGTAGAAATAAAAAAAATCCAAAAATTCCATACAATTTCCAGCTTGAGATTCTAAATGGAAATACATGTACCATTAACATGGTCAGAAACTAAACTTTGGTTTTTTAGAAGTGCACCATGCTTTACAGCATTAACTTTTTATTCAAAACTGCCACACACAATCTTACAGACTGTCAGCCCTACATATAAATTGCATTGTTATCTATAAATTGAAATAGCTAGTATATTGCAATTACTGTAGATGTTCATTATTAAATACACCTTTAGACTGTCATATCCCACATCAGGCAACCAGACAAGAACATCGTGCAATATCAAGTAAAGAGGCTTCAAAAACATCAGCAAATATTTAGGGATAGCAGGTGCTATCTGTACCAGACATTCTTAGATTCTGTTCTGAGAAAGAGTAGGATTAGCTGGTTATGCAATCATTTTCAGTGTAAATTCTCAGGCAAATTTTAAGTCTCTGCTGGTGTATTTTCTCCAAAATTCATTGATCTTACTTGAAAGGCTTGTCGGACCCTTTGGCCAATATAAAAAAAATATTGACTTTCAACAGCTTAGTGCACTGAAGTCCCCTCAGCACTATAGCGTAGACACACTATAATATCAAGCATCTAGGTAAATCACCTATAGTTCAAATATTGTAAAGCAGTTCATCAAATAAATTTAGTTATACTTAAACCTTGGGAGGAAGAATTACAAGAAAAGTATACCTGACAAAGGTGTAATGACTCACATTGGTGGTGCAAGGTACACAACTTTTGTTGGAGCAAAAAGAAAATTACTTCCAATTTACTGCCAAGTGTGTTTGGGCTTCAATGCTTCATTAAGTATTAATAGAAAAGCAGTGTGATCTCCATACAATTAAGCCATAAAGTCACTGCCTCACTTAACCCCCAACTGTTAGTGAGCAGACCTCCAAGTTTGATGGAGGAGAGCATGACTAGGAATAAAATGAATATGCCAAGTAGGAGGTATTTCAATACATGGCATGAACACCTTGTACCAAGATATAAAACATCATGAATCACTTGTACTGAAGAGGAAAATCTACATTGAACATTATCAGGAAGTATCACCTTTGTCTTTACTCAGCATTAAAATCAATGTTTTTCATTCTATGAATAGCTATGACATAAACAAAACAATCAAACAAACAAACACACCTGGATAATTAATGTAATATTTGATTAAAAGTTTATAATAAGTCCACAATTATTTTCATGGCTAATTGGGATTTTTGGTCAGCCATGTGCCTATCACAGCATAGTGGCAAGTGTGCATTCCAATTCTGTATGGTAAAATTGTCCTCCAGCAATGAAGTCCTAGTCTAACTGCCCTACCTGATAACAGATTTTATGTCAATATATGCCTGTGGTTCCCTAAGCAACCAGCCTGGCAACCCAAGGGCTTATCAGAGATTTGCTCTAGTGTACACCTAAACTGCATAGTTTAGAAGTTATGAGACATGTACCAGTTTAAATATATCATTTTGCCAAAGTGCCATCAACTTCCCTAATGCGGTGCCCTATACCAAGAAGTTGGTTTATCATCTACAGATTTTAGATGTTACCTATTTTTATAAAGATCAATTGTTCCTACATGCAAGCACAGCTGATGAACTGGGGGTCAATATTTGTAGATAATTTTGAATGTAATCAGTAGGTGCTATGATAAAAACGCATGACGTTGGCTTGAGGGTACCTGTATCATGAAGTACTGGAGTAAAGTCCAGGGGGAGGATACTTGGGAAGGTGCACCTGTAATTGTAATCTAATACCTTATTTAATAATGGACTTATTTTTCTTCATCAGAAAAATTTCTTTACACAATTTCACCAAATTACTATTATAAAATAACATGTTGATGGTCTGACATGTCTCAATTTTACAGCAAAGATCACAACTTTTTCGCTCTTCCATCTATTTCAAAATTCTTACTGTAACATTCGCATTGACCAAAAATCTTGTCTTACGAATGGTTCCTTCCTATAATAAAACTAACAATGCATGAAACCCTTAAGAGGTGAGGGATTCATAAACATCTTTCTTCAAACAATAAAATAAGCCCTTAATAAAAGGATTTAATGACACCTGTTGTATTCCACTGGCCTCCCATATTCTGGTAGGGATCAATTGTCAAGGGCTTCATTAGACAACGGACTGAAGACAGCAATTTAATTTAAAAATAGGGTACCTTGATACTCTAAGAAATCAATTTCTATAATTTCAATGGTCTCAAACATTTTCTAGTCCGCTTGTTTGTAATACATTACTGTTTAGCAAATTTAAGAATATTTTCAAGGTACAAAACCTTTTCTCAAATAAATAAATTGCCAAACATCCTTTTTGTATTTTTATAGTATAGACACAGCAACATATGATAATGAATTCAGAAATGAACAAGATGGTTTAATGCAACGTTTCGCCTACCTACAAAGGGGTGCCGGTCAACGCCCCCTTGCAGACGATTTTTTGTAAAACAGGTCTTTCACATCATCTTTTTCAACTGGTTGAAATTCAAAGTAATCTTTTGATATTTTCAAAAACTTCTCACCATAAACAAATTTATTTGAAACAAAACATATATTTGTGGCAATGAACCACACGACAGAAATCCTCAAGATAAAATTGGAAAAGAAAATGGCGGCGACCTGTGCGTTTGTGCAAGATAGAACTCACCGTACTCATCACCTCTTCTGGTACCTCCTGTTCTGGCTCAGCCCAATCTACAGCTATCTGATGACCCCACAGCTGAATTCTGCCTGGAATAAGTTTTCGTCTAGCCATTGCTGCTGCTCTATGCGAATCATATTCGACGAAAGCAAATCCGCGATTTTTGGTCTTGTCTGTTGCGCTGGGATAAACTATTACATCAACGACGCCTTCTGTTACCTTTTTCATTTCCTCCAAAATTTCTTGCCTTTGCTTATTCTTTGGAATACCACCTACAAATAACCTACAATTGTCTACACTCAAACATACTCCAAGAAACCGCCCCTTTCTTATTTCAAAATTATTCAGTTCTTTCACTGCTCTTTGTGCATCAAGTTTGTTTGTGTACATGGTGAAACCATATCCCCGATTTGTTCCACTGAAATCCATCATTAGCCTAAACTCATAAATCTTGCCCATCTTTTCAAAGATGGGTACCAGTTCATCTTCATAGCAGTCACGAGGGATTTTGCCAATGAAGATTTCACAACCCCTTGGTGGGGCAGGTCCTTCCCAGCCAGGTGGAGGTCCTCCGTATTTTCTTTGGCCGTTTTCTTGGATCATGCTGTACCCTGTTCTCTCCATAAGAGCCAGGAGAGCTTGCTCATTTGGCACGCCAGACACACCTGCTTGTTTCTCCTCCATTTCGAACTCGTCTGTGTCGGCGGTCATCGCTCCGATATACTTTGATTGCAGAAAATCTGTGACCAATTCACGCGTTGGCTGGAGATATGACAGTCGGGCTCATGAATTATTTATGAGGACACTTGCATCGCGCGTTTTGATTGGCTAGAAGTTTGTGTATTTCATTCACAGCACGGACCTTACGACAGAAAAGTTAATCAAATCAGAAACAAAGAAATTGCAGTAATGCCATTGGATTCGGATTTCAATTGAAATTCTGTGAAGCCAATGTCACTGTTGTTATTAAAGGAATGGCATCAGTATTTTCAAAGTTTGTCTAGCAGTTTGATTTACAGGTCTCTCTCTACTTCAAACACCGCCTTTCGCAAACAGTGTAACTTTTTTCTGCTTTGGACTTTAATGCATCGACTCTCAGTAAGAAGATTTCAGCTAAAAGAAAAGCATCATATTTTGAGTGAAATACCAAAATTTCAAAGCTTCGAAACTTTTAAATTAAAATCACAAAAGGCAGAAATGTTATGCTTTGCATATGCTAGCACGATATTCATGAATTCTGTGCTATGCATAGCTCTACGCAATTTTTGTGAAAACCAAGAAGTAGGCAAAGCTTTTAGCAATATCAAGTAATGGGACTTCAATAAGAAAAGGACAAATATTGCCATTTGCAGGTGTGTGAGAGTGTGCATGCACACGAATAGATAGTGTTACATTTTTAGGGAAGCAAAAATGGGTGAACTGCCACCTGTGCCCCCCCCCTCCATCGCCAGATATGGTTATAACAGTGGCTATACAATTTTATGTCTGTATTGAAACATAAAGGTTTAAGGAAATAATTGTTGGCAGGTTAAGGTGTAGTTAATAATTTGCATCATTATTTTTCTTCATAGATTTCAATTTTTCTTCTTTAACTATCATACAATTAATGCGTTTCTTGCATAATGTATTAAGAGGAATATCAGCAGCCAAAGTAATTCAAATAGATATGTGAAAACTGAAACACTTTGTTCAATCTTTGACCCACCAAACACTGGAAAAGAATAGATTTTTTCCAACAAGAGTATTATAAATCATCGTATTTTACCAGTATATTGCTGGTAGAAATGCTTTTGGTGTGATGGTCACACCCAAACACAATCTTACCTCCACAGCACTGGGGTACCCTCTACCAGGGCGACAGATTGATTTTCCACAGGTATGTCTCTAGATAAATAAACAGTCATTTTGGCCTGATGTCGATTCAGCCAAAAATGTCCACAATAATAACTGCGGCCCTGGTAGAGGGTAGCACTGGGGCATCAGGAACCAAAAGACTGCTTCATATATCAGGTATGAAAGAAGACGCACATCTTTGGGTGTAAACTCAAAAGACATGGTTTACAAATAAACAATAATGATTTAAGATGCAGTTAAGTGGGAATATAGTTCCATTGATATCCCTCAAAATTGGTTGCCATGCTTTTGTGGGTATGGGGGGTGGGGGGTGGGGTGGTGGTGGGGGGGTGGAGGGTGGAATAGACCCCACATCTGCCTATGTACTGAAAATTGCAACTCCAACATTAAATCTCAGTCTCTAATATGCAGTACAGTTTAAAAAATAACATGCCAATTTACTTCCTATTATGCTATTTGTCACTTTCTCTGAGAAGACTAAAGAGCTTTAACATTCATGGCAAATTACACCAAATGCATATGTAGCAAAATTGTCTGAAATGGATAAAGTAAGTTTTATTCAAAAAGTTATATCAAAAACATACTTCTTAATTTATACATAAATTGCTGGACCAAGATAACAAATCCATTTATCTTATAATTAAGTCTCAAGAAGCAACAATGCACATCAGTCTGTTTTTCACAATTTCCTCTTATTTTTACCAAAACAGTTTAATACGAGTGTTCCATTGTTCAGTATGATTTAATTCATAATCAATTTCCAATACAAACTTCTTTTAAATTATTGTTTTTCTTTTTATCAAGAACTTATAAAATATGTGGGTATTACCTCCAATATTTCTGTGACTGTCAGTCACCATCATCATCATGGAGGTAATACCCACATATAAGATTATAAGCTCTTGATGAAAAGAAAAACAATAATTTAAATTGATACATACAGAGCTAATGAAACTGTTCTCTCAAACTTCTTTTAAGTTTACAAATTATTGTAATTACTCTGCCCTCTTACCAGAAAAACATATCAGTAACCACTTGCATTCTATTCAATCTTTAAAAAGGCTTTATTTAAAAAAGGCAAAAATTTCATATTCCATGTAATATTCAAGCTGTACAGAGTTCCAAATCTTCTCAATATGTTAAATGAACTGTTATGCCTTAGGCATATAATATATACATAATAATTCCTGGACTTTATGCTGGAATGTCTTTCAGAGTCAACCTTCACTGTCTGAGGACAGGGTGATCACCTCGGGCTCTGTGGATTGCGGGGTCTGAGGTGGTACCGTGTGGCGTACAGGGACAGCCATGGTGGGCACAGAACTTGGTGTATTTATGAGGGGTGTAGCCTGGGTCTGAGGGGTACTCCTACTGCCCTGTCCTGCAGGTGGAGCTGCCAGGTGTTGCTGCTTTGTTGGAGCAGCGGGTGGCTCTGACAGCAATGCTTTGGTAATTAGATGATGCAGGGATTGACTGAACCCCTCTTTAAATCCTTCTCTGCTGGTTTGGACTGGGAGGACACTAGGGCCTGACACTCTGACATTTTGAATGTATGGCTTTGAAGCTGAAACGTGGCCATAATCCACAGTGGTAACAGTTGATAGGGTCTTGGATCCACTGCCACTTGGTTGAGTTTGATGTGGTGATGGCATTTTTTGACTAACCGTTGCTTTATGATGCTGACTTATCTCTGATAATTTAAGAGATGGATTTGCTGCAACCATTGATGGGGCCATTCTAACAACATTTGCTGCAGAACTTAGTATGGAGCTCATTTTGACTGGACTTTCAGCTGATTTGGTGGCCTGGCTTGGAGCAATTTGAACTGAGTCAAATGCTGATTTCGTTCCTATCTTTGGTGGTTCTTGGTCAACTAATTTAACTGCTCCGCTGGATTTTGGGCTTTGTTTTTTGGCCAATATGGAAGCCATACTGAGAGGATGGTGAGTGGTAGGCTTTGAACCTTGGTTAGACAGCTTAGAAGGTTGAGGCAATGTCTTGATGGCTTGCTTCAGGTTGCTTAGTGGAGATGAAGGAGTCTGTGGTCTCTGTTCATCTGCTGTTTGTGTTTTGCTCGGTGTTTGACTCAAATCTATTGGCTCTGTCTGGCTCTCTGTCTCCTGTAATAAAATAGGAATCACTTAGAACAAAAATAAATACTACCTGACTTCCACAAGCATGATACAGATTTTACAGACTTCAGTCGGGAAACAAATACCATATTCTGAAGGAGGATACTTGCTCATCAGTCATACCTTTTCGTTTTTCTTGAGAGGGCTCTCTTTTTCAGTTGGGGTTCCATAACTGAATGTCAGCTCTCTCTTACTTCTTCCGGGGGTGTCTGGTTTCTGGTTCGAGGCCGAATCAGAACTACGTGCTGGAGACTGAATTCCACTGGAGCTCTACAAATGTGAAGATGAAACACAATTAGTTCCTAAATATTATATGATATATTGCGAAAGTGTCAATTTTTTTCCTCATAAGTTTGGGTAACGCCTTTCCTACACCAGATCCATACTGAATTTAATACTGTTTACTTCTAATATACGTAGACCTATATAGGGAACATCTAAAGTGACAACCTGGTTCAAAAGGTAAACATTTCACACTGGATGTTCAAATGCCAAAAATCAAACTACCTGTGCTGGTTTGCTCGCAAGCTGCTGTGCACAAAATTTGACGGCTTGCTGAAGTGCATCTTGGCCATCTTCTAACTAAAATGAAATCATCCTGAGGTTAATAAACAACCTTAAACTTCTTTCAAAAACATAATGAGTCTCATAAAATGAGTAGTTTAAAAATGCTATTAGACTATTCCAGTGAGCAGAAACTACATGTTATCTTACAAGTAATATTTATTTGAAGTTTTTCTTTGGCAATTATAAATAAAAACCAGCTAACAATTATCTCCTGTTTAATCACAAGTCAAATACAAATAGCCAAAGCACATTTACCTGTTGGTTGCCGCAAACTTTGAAGGCCTTGGCCAACAGTCTTCCAGCCTTTTCAGTGTCCCAAACCAGCTGCCTCAGGCCATACTGATATACACGGTGGATCACCAGGATGAATCTCACCGCTTCCTCCTCAGAGTTGGAGGGATCTTGGACACTATGTTTAGGAACCTGTTCATTGTAGGCATCCAGGCAGTAGCCATAGGCTGTCCTGGCAAGGTGCACACGCTCAGTGTCACGCAAGTATTTCCTGGAAACAAGGGATGTATTTTGTACAATAAATTTTAAAAGCAAAACTATTCACTTTTCATTGTTTTATGCTTATGCCAAATAAAAACTTGCTACGAGATTGTTCTGAATGGCATTCTAGGCGAAAAGTGAGATTAAATGCTGAACTCCATCCACCCTCCACTCCTATTCTGATAGTTTTATACACACTGAAGAAAAGACTCCAAATTGTATTATCTAACATCCATTATGAGGTTCAGGTGGCAATACATGTAATTTCAAACTCTTTTATGTTGATGACAGGTATATAATCAGGCTTTCAACAGATCTGAAAACTTAGGCTCTTAGATCAGAATGCCTACTTTTGGCTCTCTGGTGTCCTGTGTAGCTGTTGAGACAGGTAAAATAGAGTGGCAGCATCCTGGAGATCTCGCAGAACATTGACCAGGAGCACAATACAGTGGTACATGTGAGAGGCAAAGCTGCCAGACCGGTCTATCTCTTCTATAGGTATCCTCCAAATACCCTAGAACAGAGAAAATAGACTATATACATACATATAAAAAAAAGCCACTGTACAACTGGTTGTGTTAAATACTCAATCTACAATATTGTTGTGTTAAATACACAATCTACAATATCTTCATACCAGGCACTTTGTTATGGATAGTTTGTAAAGATAACAAATTAAAGGAATCCAGCATTTTTTAGAATGTTTACAACAGCACTTAGGTACCAAGGATCTTAATTTTGGCATAAACTGAAGAAAAAACTAGTAAAGAAAAGGCAGTAATCTTGCTATCACTAAAAAAAATTCTCACATTAAAAAAGTTAGTGTGTTTTCTCTCCTGGAACAGTCCCTGACAAGGCATGTGTTCACATTGCTCCCATTTACCATTAGGTCCAAGTAAAAGATCCCTCGTTTTTCTGGGGTCCTGAAGTAAAAAATCTGCTGTAAAAGTTCTCATACATCTATTGTGTGACACTAAACAAATTGAAAGTTAAAAAGATTTTGAAAGTTAAAAAGATTTAACTTGTATAATCAGCATCATAATTGGTTCAGAAAATTATTTGGCTACTACAAAAATGAAAGACTTAAAAGCATCAATTCTGCTTGAAGCATTATATACATATGGTAATGACGTGATCATTTCAACCAGGAAAACTGTGAATCTTACAGATACTGCAAGTAATAATTTCTTGAAATTTGATAATTCCTATTGAGTGGTAGCAACACAAATGAAAAACAAACTACCTAATAATTCTTTTCTGTATAATAAAAGCAGCAAAATGCTACAAAATAATGTATTTTTAATGATTCCAAATAAAAAATTGAGAAATTGATTATTTTTTCACAGCTGAAATGATTGAGCCATTACCCTATTGCTAGTATCTACCTTGAATGCAGGTGAGGTATAGTAGATGTGGGCCAGCCTGTAGATGGACTTGTAGTGCTGTGGGAACCTGGATAAACACACATGTAAACCCTGCATACAGGCAGACATCAATTCCTTTCGCTTCGGATCTGGTTGGATTCCACCAGTTTCTGAGTTTTTCTCTTCACTATTATCATCTTTTTTGCTGCAAGTGCCATTTTGATTTTCACTCTCACTACTCTTCTTGTCTGATGTCTTATCCTTACTTCCTGTGGTTTCCTTAGTCACTGGGGTCTGCTCTCTCTTCAAGGGCTCACTTTTGACCATATCTCCAGCCTTTATAAACTTCCTGACCATCATACCTGTCACCTCATCCAATTCTTCCAGAATTTCCAAATCATCACCTTTCTCCTTATGACTACTTTGTTGTTCATTGGCCTTTGTTTCCTCTTCTTTAGACTTAGTCTCAGTTTTACTACTAGCACTTTCTAACAACTTGGATTTGGCTTCCACTGAGTCTCCTTCACCATTTGAACTTTCTGGCTTTGTATCTTTATGTAGTCTTGACTCAGTTTTACTTAGTTCAGAACCACTAACAGATCTGTCTACATTCAATGATGCTGGCGTAGTACCTTTTAGAGCACTGTCTACAGCATCCTTTATGCTCAAGACTGCTTGTTCACTTGCAGAACTTTCATCTTTTATTGGTTCTGATACAGTTTCAGTTGATCTTGTCAAGACCTCTGTACCAGAGTTTGCAGCATCTTCCTTCATTTCTGTTTCACTTAATTCTGTGTTGAATACCTCGTCTGCTTGTTTTGTTTCACTGTCATTCTTTTCATGTCTTAATTCCACTGTTTCTTTACTATCAGGCTGGTTATTAACATCTGTTTGGTCAGCATCTACAGATTTTTCTACACTGGAAAATTCCACAGAACCAGAGCAACCAACAGCTCCATCTCCTGGAATCTCTTTAGCTTTAACAGCATCCACTTCAGTAAGAGTAACTTCAACAGGATCAGCATGGTCTTTCACCAAAACCTTGACTTCCCCATGAGAGCCTATAGCAACCTCCAGCTCTATGGTCTCCATGCATGTAGGGTCACTCAGATCAGTGGTCAAAATATCCATGATCTCTTCTTCACTGTCCACCTTCTCCTCATCTTTCACAGAAGATTCTGTCATCTCTACATCTGATGTTTGACTTGCTGTTTCTGGCTGAACATCTTCGTCCATCTTTATCTCTGTGGTCTCTGGTGGCTTTAGAGGGTTTTCTAATGTGGACTGAATGTTTTCTTTCTGATCCAAGGAGACAGAACTAGTCGCAGTACCATTTTCAGTATACTGCTGTTCTATTGAGGGTGAGGCCTTTGGGTCAGGCTCAGTATCCGATATCTTTTCCTCGCTGACTGCTAAATCGTCCTTTGGCATAGATGCATCTGGCATAGTGGTGTCAGCACTTCCAATAGCAGAAGTGGACTTGGATGCTTGGTTTGGTTCAACATTCTGCACTTCCATGTGTTTGCTTGTCATGTTATTTGTGTTTTCTATATTTATGGACTCAGCAGAAGAGTAAATATCTCTAGACGTATCATCAGCTGACATCTCACTCTCTGTCTGACTGCGCTGTCTGGAGTAGTTGTGGTCCAGAGGAGTCACGTGAACCGAGGGCTTGGATTTGGTGGCAGTTGGCTGGAGGTTCGAGTTGGAGGTCTCATCCTCAGATATGCCTGATATGCTCTCCCTAGAGCTGAAATGAGCACACTCAAGCATCAGGAATGGGTGCATTTTTTAACAGACAAACCGAAACATAACTGCCTTCTTATTTCTAGAATCAAATTGTAAAACAATAAGAGCTAGTTTGTAATGTAAGACAAAATCATACCAACACTGATATATAAATTTGTTATGTTTGAAAAATCTATCATGGTCAGCAAATATTTCTGAGGAAAATTTTCCTCTGTGACAAAATTCTAACCTGTCCTTTCTCTCTGTTTTCTTCTCCTGAGCTTTGGCAAATGGACTTTCCTTGGCCTCCGTGATGTACTGTGAAAATAAACTGTAGTCCACCTCACTGGCTTCTCTCTCCAAGAACTTCAGCATGCTGGAGTGTATGCGGTAAAACACCTGAATATACATAAACATACAAACTTTTTATACCCCAATTCTATGCATACTTGACTGTCTCAATAATTACTGTGAGGCTGATTTCTTATATCTGATTCAGTAGTCTGGTCAAACCTTTATAACCAATGTATAATTCCATTACATATAATTAGTAACACTGTTAGCCACTACCTCTACTGTTTTAAATTGATGGAATACTTCAGGTGCTACATGTATATCATCTTCATAGTGCACCAACATTATTATTATTATTATTATTATTATTATTATTATTATTATTATTATTATTGCAATCATAATGGCTAGTTTAAATCACTGTTAGATGAACAAATAGGCTCAATTTGACCAATTTGGTCCATGTGGTCTAGCAAACCACTTTTCTTGAGCAGAATCATGCTATTTTCTTTATTATTTAATAAAAATTACTAATTGGCGGGTGTTTTAAAATGTTGAACTTGGTACAGTTTCATCTTGTGTGTTTTGTTACCTCCAAAGCTTCCACAGCCAGGTGTGGGGGGCTGACAATGTAATTGATTTTCTTGGGATACCTGGCCTTGTCTTCATGCAGGAATATGGCTGCCTGGAGAACAAACAAAAAAAGCGTATTATTTTTTATACTGTGTGTTAGTACACACGCACGTGCGCACAGACACAAACACACTAGAATATGTGAGTCTACAATCTGGCCAGCCATTTCAAGTCAACAGGTTATATCAAATTCACCATGTAGACAAGACTAATTAACACAGGTCTAGATTTACACATATCTCTTTCAGTGAAAATCAATTTACTTTAGCTTTATTGGGTTAAGACCATACAATAAATCACTATTTTTATCAAGTAGGCAAAGCAGCAAAGCAATGCTAATGTTGCTTATTTTGCAACTTACCTTTAAATTAAAAGTTTGGAAAAAAACAAGCAAACAAATAAACAAAAACAAAAACAAATAAAATCTATTTTAAGGACCAATTCCTCAACAATCCATTTACTTCAACCCTGTTAAAATTAAATTAAAAGATCACTAATTACAAAATACAACTGACAAGATAACAGCAAGTAATGTGATTATCCCCCTAACCTGCTTATAATGGTCAAGATAATCCTTGGGTGGCTTCCTCATCTTCTCCGCCACCTTCCCTAGCATGTAGTGATGAAGCCAGAGCTCTTCCTCGCTGTCCTCTGCCTCACACTTGCTGGCATTGGTATAACAGTCCTGGGCAATACGCAGCATCTCAATCTTGCTGCTCTGGGCAATCTGCAAGGCCTCATCATTCAGTGGATGGATTGGGTGCTGGCAATAACAAGATGAAAGTGTTAGGGTTCAGGAAAACGAAAGGGTAACACAATTAGGGCTGATATCCTGCAGAGTGACTTCTTTTTTCCAGTAATTGATTTTCTGGTTACATTAACAAGATCCAGCTAATAAGGAGAACTTTTCAAGTTGTATCAAAATCAATGGATTCACCATGAATATCAACAAAGTAGGGTACATTCCTATATGTATAATCTTCATAATTTTTTTTCGAATTTTTTTTTACTGAAATCATATAAATGAAACTGTGCTCAAAAGATATTAAACAATCAGGCGTCTTTGAATTTAACAATCACATTTCCTTAGTGTACTATAAGCAATTTTGCTTTTTAATCAAGGCTAATTACCTGAAGCAATATGATTGATAACAAGAAAAAAGTACAGTGCAGATGAAACAAATGGCATATTTATGCATTATTAAATATCATGTGTGTTACATTCAGGGTTAATATTTCTCTCCTCTTTTTTCTTGTGACAACTAATATTCAGTTAAACATGTTTACGAGGATTAAAAATATCATCACTGTACATTAAAAACACACAAAAAAGGGATATTGATTTTCCTGATTGAACTACCGACTAAACAGTATTGGAATAGAATCAAAATCAATCCACCAAGACAGGAAATAATGTCTCACAGCATCAGTCACGCTATCCACACACCTTCTCCACTAAACAAACCCATCATTATCTTTCAATTTAACAGAAAAATCTCAAGCCACTAGGATATTAAGAATACCTGACTTGTGTTCTCGGTTAAAAGTCATTTGTATTGATTGATGCCCTTATACTGTGTTGCAACAGCCAGAACTTTATTTTAGCTTAAATATATTCTTGTGGGAATGCGAACTCATCCATGCGTTTTACCAAGAATGGTTTCAAAACCAGTTTAAAGGCAACTGAAACTACACAGTGAGATTAGTTTTTCTGCGTGAGTGGCAAGAGAACTTCATCTGGGTGTTGCCTGTATCGCTTTTAGGTGAATTTCACTGAGGGATCCTGCATACTATCCTGAAGGTGTAGAATGCAATATTGTTTCAGGTAAGTGTATGATGTTAAAACATCACAATAAGTTCTGCTGACATCTCCATTTATTATAAAATATACCATTATGACAAATGTCTTAATTCATTGCATATAGATTATCATCATGTTAAAAGTGTACTTCTTGTTGTATTATGCATGTAAAGCTTCTTTATTAAGATAACCATATGTAAATAACTATAAGTATTGCAATATTTTATTGTTACATTACGGCCTATTTGTAAAAATATGCTAGAAGTTAATTTCTGCCAATCGGATATGTTTTTGCCTTCTCCGGTTTGTAAGTTAACAGTCTAACTCAACAAGTATGAACAGATTTTGATAAAATAAGATAGAAATGTGCTTACTTAAAATCACTTATACTTTGATAGTAAGCCTAATTAAAAATGTTCAATTTATTAATTTAGCTAACTATTATTAAATAATAAAGAGTACCTTGGTAGAGGTCCATCTGTGCTCTCTGACTGCTCTTTTCATAATTAAATGTATCTTAATATTATGAATGTTTCTGAATTGTGTATTTAACAAGTCACTTATTTATCACCTTATTTCAAAGCCATAAAATGGTTCACAAAACAGATGGGCTATAAGATGTGACCAAAGTGCGAAATCTCACAGTTCACAAAGCACAACAACATTGTTGCTAGGATAATGGCATTTCTATCACGTTTATTCTCACTTTAATGGCATTTTCAATGCTTGCCTGCTTTTAGATAAGGCTTTTAGTTAAATGATTTAGCTTGCACAAATAATTGTCACTTTACCTGACAAATATCAAAGTGTACATTTTTTTTTTCAAAACAAAACTGGGTCAAATTTTTTAGAGTGAATTATTTAAATTTTGCAAAATCAACTTTACATATTTATCTGAAATCCTTGCCCCAGTAAACAAAGTGTGACAAGTGCATGCTCTGCTCTACAATACCATATAAACACCACAAGCGACATACACGAAGGACAGAGCCATTAATCCATGCCATGTGCCATGTTTCTAGGTTCACTTACCTGTTTAAGTTGCCTTGATGCATGCGAGTGGAGCTGGTATGCCAGGGAGCCATACTCAACCCAGAGCTTGGCATTGGAGTCGTCCAGCTCACATGACCGTTTGAAGCAGCGAAGAGCACTTATGGCATGTTTGTGAATAGGTCCCTCATTCTTCAGTTCACACTACAGAGAAAGGTGAGATCATTTTAATTAAAAAAGTAGAGGGGTTTATTTCATAAGGAAGTGTAGCCCCAGTTTTAGTAAAATTCTTCAAACAAAGTGTCTAGTGAAAAAATTAAACTCTCTACAAGATTTTTACACAGAAACTAAGCAATTACAGAATTCTCTAAGGGTCCTCAACAATTCCCAGTGCATACTAAATATAACTTTATCAAGTCTTAGACTCTATAATGTAAATATTTTAAGACCTCTTTTTGCAATTTAGAGTGGTATTAATTCCATTACTTTCAAAAGATTACTGTGCATGAAGACAATTACTGCAAGAAAATCAAAAAGAAAATAGGACAGGTACCATAAACAAGACTTAAAGTTTATTGACATGCATATTATCAGCATACACATACACCCCCATATGACAGCATACACGCACATTCACACAGACACTCACTAACACACTGGTTTTAATTTTGAAAATGTATATCAGAACAGAATTAAATTATATGCCTCCCTAACAAGAAATATTAATTGGCATTTCCACATGGTGTTATATTTTATGTTTCTGCACATATTACAAATTTCCATACAGTCATCGATATTCTGCACAACAATAACGATGTAATGTGTTTCTGCACATACTAAGAGGTTTCTGCACAAAATGCTCCTATTATTTCTAAAATACCTTTATTAAAAATATGAGCATCTGATGATAAAATTCATTAAACAGACCTCTATGATATGCCTTGTTTGGTATCTTTTGGTTCCTCCTTTTTTTATTCTTTAAATGACATGTCCCATCAAAAATGAATTATTTGAATAGATGAGAACACCTCTTTCTATTCTCTCTTCCAGACTGAGAAATATGCCCAAATAACACTACAAAGATATTTTTCATGATAGACAAGTCATTAAATTACAAAAACTCCTAGACAACCTATCTACAATAAACATGAGCAGAATGCCGACTTGAGCAAGATCATCACTGACTGTACTTTTTGTCACCATCTGTACTGGTAGACTGAGAGGCTTTTTTTTTGTTTTGAAACTCCAAGTGTTAACATATATAATTGGGTTTCAATAAGCAAAGCAATACAGCACCATACTAACACCTACCCCATCAGCAGAGCAAAGGTGACACAATAAAAATTCCATTGAGTCTATGAACTTACATTTACCTGGTTCTCCAAATTATACAACCCTTGAAATGAAATACATAAAACCAAAAGCAAGATGAAATAAACACCATGACAAGTAATTACAAAGCGCTGTTACCAACTATAAATGATTAATGAAATAATATATTCACTGCTGATTTCATAGATGACATACTAACAACATACTGGGAATAAAAAATGTCAGTTTCAGTTACATGGTTAACAAATCACCCGTTCCTAGGGTGGAATAAAGGAGAGGCTGGCAACTCTGCTTGTTTATGTACTGTCTTTGATATCTGTAGTAATAAAGGGATTTAGGCAACAAGTTACATTATGTAAACAATCTTTCTCGTTGTCATTCAGATTGTAGATAAAGATACAATTTCACATAAAACACTTATCTAACTGCAACAGTGAATTAAGTATTTATTTCTTTTTTAATAGAATGAATTATTTTTAGTGAGACTTATTTTCAGTGTATGGATTCCTTAAAAATAAATAAACACAACAGGACAAGTAAAAGAACCTAAAAAAAGTTAAGCTTTTAGAATCTGGTCCTCACAAATAACTATTACTCAGAAACTATGCAGTTAGTGAGAATCTTATAAACCTCCAAAAACATAACCAGCAAAATCTTTTTCTCAGAAACCATGCAATTTCACAGGCCTCAGTCATTCACTGTCAGGAAATGATGGTAGATATTAACAGTGGCATTCATTCTCTTATAATATTTTTTTTCAAGTATACCCAATAGCTTTCATGGTAAAGCAATATCTTAGTAACAGGCATAGTGATCTATCTTAGCTGCTACAATCAATGGTCTTCCACATTCAAATCTCAGTTTTATCACACAGACCACAAGTTCCTCACGTTTCCATAAAGGAATTGCTTTTTTTTTCCTTCTTCATATTCAGATTTAAGAAACCTATGTGTGAGTGATAAATTATTTTCATCCATAGTTCACTGTCTTCTCTAAATTTAATAGTCTAAACAAAACACTCCAAGTGTTTTAATTATAATTCATTAGGAAATCTCTCTCTCTCTCTCTCTCTCTCTCTCTCTCTCTCTTTCTCTCTCTCTCTCTCTCTCTCTCTCTATATATATATATATATATAATCATTTATACAATATTTAGAGAGCTCAACTATGCAGATACACAATTAAAATAAATATATGGATAAATAAACCCAAGACATGTCTAAACCTCAACTCTGAGTTTCACAGACATAGTCACGGGGGTATCAGGACAATTCCCCCCCCCCCCCCCCCGACGATTCCCCCCCTAAAGAATATATATTTATACAAAATATAAAGTAAAAGAGTACAAAGTTCAAATCTTTTCATCCATTTTATGAATATTTCTCAGTTTGATGATGCAACTTGAGGATAGATAATATTCATTAAATTAAATTATTTTCATGTAGTACAAGTACAGAAAATTTTTGAGATAGAAGTACAGAACATTTTATTAAAAATCTCATCAAAGTACATCTCTAGTTAAGGTGGGGTAAACAGACGATCTCACTCATCCAGGTGACCCTTTGATAAATTAACTGTTACTTTTTTAAAAGTTAAATTAAAAATGCTAAATTACTCTCCCCCCCTTGATTAAGTCTTGAATCAAGGTGAATCTCTAGGGAGAGGTGGGGTAAACAGATTTTCTCGCTTATCCAGGTATCCCTTTGATTATTTGTCACTTTTAATTGCTTGACCACTACCCACCTGCTCACTACCCACCACAATAAAATATTCATTTAATATCTGTTTACCTGTTTATCTGTTTACCCAAACTTTACCTGAAGGATAGGTGGTTATACTTTGTTTAGATGTTTAATAAAACTTTCTGTACTAGTACTAAATGAAAAAGGAACTTGTTATAAAATAATTTGTTTCATGATGAAGTTGCATTATCACACTAAAATATTAATAAAATGGATGAAATGTTTTAAACTTAACACTTTTTTCATTATATTTGTGTATAAATAGATATTTCTTGGGGGGGAATCATCTGGGGGGGGAATTGTCCTGAGGGGGAATTGTCCGGAGGGAATAGTCCGGGGGGAATTGTCAAGGGGGGAATTGTCTGTCCGATTGCCAGGTGTTTATTCAAACGGTTTTCCAACCAGTTACAACGACGTAACGTCACTTGCATCACATGCCATGCCAGCTACGTCACTTTGTGACAGCACATAGCTAGGACTTCTCATAACTTCTCATAATGGTTATGAGAATTCATAACAATGTGCTGTCACAAAGTGATGTAGCTGGCTTGGCATATGACGCAAGTGACATTATGCCGTTGTAACCAGTTGGAAAACCATTTGAATAGACACCACCTATAGGTATGTCCATGACACTCAGAGTTGAGGTATAGACATGTATTGGGTTTATTTATTTATTTATTTATTTATTTATTTATTTATTTATTTTCAGTGTGTGTGTGTGTGTGCGCGCGCGTAGGTATTTGGATATACATCTTCTGAAAAGTTTGTTTTTATTTGAATAAGACAAAACTTCATCAAGCTCTAAATAAAACCCTGTTTGTAATCTAACTGACTCATGACAAGACATCATCTTAATCAATCTGTATTATCAGCTAACTGAAAATTTATATCATACCTGACTTCAGACATATTTTGTACTTCATTCATCAGAGGTTTGCCTGCTAGCTGACATTAACGTTGGCAAACACAGGGGTTATTTATGACAGCAACGTGATGGAGAGACTAACATATTAGCTGTAAAACTCTGACATGATAAATCAATTCTTCAAAGTAGGGAATCCAGGGCCACAACAGGCAACAGTATGACAGAACACAAGAAGCGTTTTCTCAGTTTATCAGCTCGTAAATACATTGTAATGATTTAAATAATCTTTAGTATGACCATGGTTTTCAAAGGTCTAGTGTCTCAAAACAAGAGTTAAAGATACAAACAATATGTTAATTAGATTTCTGGGTATCATAATATAATAGAAATTTCACAGAATTTTTTTTTTTTAATCAGTCATTCCAGACAGAAGAAAAAAATCTGATCCAAACAGCTGCGTCATTCTTTTTATCCACTATACTTTATCTTTATAACCGCCAATTATGTGAAACCATATAACATTTCAAGGCTGCTCTGTCAACCAAATAGCTTGTTAATATTTTTTTTTACCATTTCTAATAGTAACAGCCATGAATGTGACCTACTGACAATGAACATTAAGTTCAGCTGAACGTGAAGCTTTAAGGAACCCCTTGGCACCGATTTGAACTAAGTATCTCTATGATAGACATTAAACATCAATCACCATCATATCACTTAACTCATTTTGTTCTCTGTAAAATACAGCAGTCTTCAACACAAACCAAAAGCAAAACCTCCCCTCCCTTAGACAGGGCTGATACCATCATTTAGTGAAAAAGTCGAAAAATATGGCAAGGGGTCCAGGTGACTGTCTTTTTTTTTTTTTTTTTTTGGCTCCCAAAAAGCCATAATCCTGCTGATAGTTGTTGGAAAAATCTCATCCCAGCTTAGGAAATATAACATATACTGTTATTTTTTAGATCACTGTCTTCACAAAAGTCTCTACATCACAGCCAATCACCTACACCTAATGTAGCAATAGTAAGTACCACAATGGATTTTCTAGGCCATTAGCTTTGGCATCTTTTCTTACCTGAGGGATTTAAAAAATGGATAATAAAGTAAGTACATAATCATTCAATACATTTTCAATGGAATCAAATACAAATGTGAGGAATTCTAGCACAATGTCCTCTTCTTCTTCTTTTCTTTTTTTTTTTTTTTTTATAGAACACTGGGTCTGGGTCCTGTCTGACATGAAATGGGAACTTCTAAAACACTTTAGGACTGTTTTAGAAAATTATAATATATACTTCATCTTTTGCCTCCTGTCATCAATTAAGCAGACTTTGTTATGCTGAAAAATATATTATGTCACTATTTAACAGAAATTATGTTGGGATGTCCCTGATGAAACCTCATATAAACTGTTGAAATCTTTGTTATGCCAGTTTGTAGCAAAGTATATAGTGGTGCCATCAGCATGAAGATGGCAGCAATCAAAATTGGTAGAAACTTTTAATCAAATCTCCCTCACTCTCAACAATACAAAATAATCTGATATTCTTCAGTAATAATGAAATTTCATCCATTTCTGGGATCCAAAGCTGGCAAATGTGGTTTAATCCAGTAATCTATAAAGTAGGAACTGGTTTGTGAAAGTACTTAACAGATTTCTCATAACACAGACATCAAAGCAATAGCATATTAATTATCAAATTTCCTTAATGAGATGTTTATCCACAACCCTTGAAAAAAAGACACATAACACAAAGCAATAATCTAGATGACCTTAGAGGCTTTTAAAGCTAATTGTACAAAATGTTGTATTTAAAGAAATCCATTCATTAAAGAATTCTGAGTTTAGACCAAACAATGTGATGACTAATAAGTACTAGAAAATGGCCAGTTAATCCAAAAAAAAGTTGTTTTTTCCTTTTTCTCATCAAAACATCACAACAGCAATTAAGTCACTTTGAAACCAACACTGACTGACCTTTTACCATTTCACTATTTAATTACCTTTTGGACAAAAAACCTAGGAAGGAGTGGATTTAATTAACACAGCATAAAATCCAAGTACGTCCTTCCTTAATGAACTGTAACAGTCACTTGATTATATGTCAACATTGAAGGTACGATAGAAGTCTTTTGAATTCCTAACCACTGTTTTTACATTCCTATTGTGTTAAAAATATACAGCCAGGGTTAAAAAAGATCTAAAATAAAAGTTGAAAGTTACATCTGTTCTTCAAGAAGTGGGAACAAGGATAACATTAGGTATTTATAGCAGTAAATAATTTTTTTTTCCAAATTGGTAATTTTGGCAAACAATAGTGTTCTGTGCAAATGTGCACTGCTCTGATATGGAAAAATCAGCAGTTTTTCACAATTATTCACACAAGGTACATCAGTACTTTTCTTTAAATTTTACAAATGAAATGCAAGTGAAAAATTCCAGACGGTCAGGCTGGTTGAAAAGAAATGGATTTCCTTGTGCTGACCTTTTGTCAAAGTAATTTACGTAGGTAAAATGTAGTATAATGGAGGGCAGAAGATGGGTATTCTCATACACAAGGTTAGGACAAAGTTAAAAGAGCATGTTCATTTGTGAAATTTTAGTTTCAAATTAGTTTTCTTGCCATTGTTACTGAAGTAATTCACACCCAATTAGTTTGCCTTCATATGGCTATGGGTGATACTAATGAATTTGATTGAAGTTTGCTGAGAAGAGAAAAACACAGTTGAAGACAGGCATGCATTAGACCCTAGACTATTGTACAGGGATAGTTTTGAAGCAAACTTTTAATCATATTTTTGAGGCAAGAGATTGTTTCTGATAATTGATACAAACTTTAATTGAATCTTGAATATTTAAACCTAAAAAATAAAGAAATTAGGAAACAAACAGCACTTATCTGCATTTCAATATACAATGTAAGTACAAGATATAGGAAAAGAGCAATCACGTGACTCAAGAGATAAAGTAATAAGAAGAGTGAATTTCAGTCACAAGTAAGTCTCAAATAAATATGTTTTTTAAACCATCAATTTGATCAGTCTACATACATCACACATAGATGCAATTATGGATCACAACAATATTGTATGTATGTTGCATGTTTTTGGATGATTGGTCTTTCACCATTCTCTTGTTTTTTTTCGAAGCCAAATGGCTACCATTTTTCTGTCTAAACCATAGCACCAAACTCCCCAGTCTTCTCCGCCGTCTTCATCTTGGGAGCTTATAGTAACAACTGGGACTAAGCTATAGTACTTCCTTCATGACTTGCAAGACTTCACAAGATTCTAGAAGCCATAATGGAGATGAAATCTGTCAATTTTTATTTTCCCATTTATTTTGGATGGAGGATTCCTCAGTGATTATAGGAAAATTATGCAAAATTCATTGTTTTTTTTCTTTGTTGCTATATGAAGGTCTTGATGGTTGTTTTTCTTTAAGCCATCTCAAAGTGTGCCTGAAGCTTTTCCCATAAGGCTCTACCTTAATTGTTAAAATATGAAATGACGTAAACCAGTTCAATCTATTGACTAGGTAGTAAACAAGTCTTACTATAAACACTGTAAGTTAAAACAATTTTTTCTTAAATAACAGTTATTTCTTGACACAGACAAAAATACAAAAAGATTTACTGACAATCCACAGCGATTTACACATAACTATGCTGAGAATGCCAATGCTATTACAATATCTAATGAGAAAATTTGCAACTTATAGCAGTGGCTCTCCACAGAAGTTAAAAATATAATTTTCTATGACAGAAGTTTTGAACAAATCAAAACACATTATGGAATCTATACGACATAAAGGAGAGCAATTCATAATAACTATAAATCCCCAAATATAATAAAGCATTCATTGCAATCCAAAAACTCAAGTAAATAGACTTAAATGGAAGATGATATAGGCAAAATTTACATGGAAAAATGATAGCAATATTGTTATGCCAAATGCTATGAATTATTGAAAGAAATAACACCTTGTACTTTTAATGAAGGGAAACAACCAACTACATCATTTTAGTTGTTTAAAATGCAAAACACCATCTCGACAGAAGGTAATATGAGCTCATTACAGAGCGTAGAAGGTATTTTATTACCATTATTTAAAGCAAATACGTCTGTTAAGAAAAAAAAAAAACATTTTATTTCCCACACATCAGTGAAGCCTTTTCCCCCCATATTCATTTGCACATATTTTGCACCTTTCAACAGTCAGATTGTTAGCTTTTGATAGTTTTCAATGATTGTTCAATATCCTGGCATCTCAGCACAGTACGAAAGCTGGCAAATATGTACTGACTGGTTGAAGGTAGGGCCCTTACCATGTGTTATCCTGTCAACTAAGAGCATAGTAGATAAACAACCAGAACCAAGAAGAAAACCATAGCAACAATACAAACATCTGTTCATGGATGGATTGAAATCACAAGGCCATGGCAAGAGATAAGGTAGTAATATGAATATGATCAGAACAACCAAGTGAATAATTTCAAAGACAAGATTCAATATCAATGCAGGACGGGGAAGCATTTTGAAAAGAGAAAAAAAATATCATGATGGAGTACATATACACCTGCAGTAATGTGATTGGTATTATTGTACATTTAACACAAAGCATTTGCATTTTATTCCTTATTCTAGGACATGTCAGATAGGATGGAAAGCTCATCACTGCTCTACAATGCCAGCAACCATAGTTTGGAATATCACGAAGACTTCCACCAGCACACCATTTATCCACTCTTCAGCACTCTAATGACCCTCATCATGGTGATCTCAATTGCCGGTAATTCTGTAGTAGTTGCAGCAATGGCAAAAACAAAAAGACTTCAGAAACTGAGACACTTCTTCATCTATTCTCTGGCACTGTCAGACATTGGGGTGGCAGTCACCGCCATGCCTTTCCACACTATTCAACTATATCAAGGGGGCTGGAGGCTCCCCTGGACGGCATGCATGGTCTATCAAGGGTTTGACATTTCCTGTAATACAGTCTCAGTATTCAACTTGGTGGCAATAAGTCTGGAGAGATTTTACTCCATTTCATACCCTATGCAGTATGACAGATGTGTCACTTCCAGAAAGCTCAAATGGATTATTTTTATGCTGTGGTTTGCGTCATTTACCTACGGCTTTCTGCAATTGCTCTGGCTTGACAGAGGCAGCTTCGAGAATAACTCTGACATTCTTGATAAATGCACTTATAAGCCTGACTTTATATACAGTATTGTGGTAAGAATTCTTGAGTTTTGGCTTCCACTGTGTACCATGGTAGTTGTATACTTCCGTATATACTGCATTGTAAAACAGCAAGTGAAGATGCATGAGAAACTAATGCACAGAATTACCTCCAGTAATGTCTTATCAGAGCAGGGTTCTGAACTGCACCAGCGTGAACCATTGCTCAGTGTTAAAGAAGAGGACGAAAATGAGGAAAACAAGGATTCAACCTCAATACAAATAAATATACATGGTTTGGAAAAATGCTCCACATATGATGGTGATTTATTCAAGGATTTTGTTCTTAACTATAAGAAATATTACGAAAAACCTGTAAAAAAAGAATACATAAGGAAACGCAGGAATACTGCATGCATGTCTCGTCCAATTTTAAGAAAACAAAGGCCAAGACAACTTAAAACTTACAGATCTGCTTCCCTTCCAAGTGATCTTGATCAAAATTCTACTTTCCTGCCTGCTTGGATGCATGAAATCCAGATACGTATCAATCCCTACCAAAACAATGCTAGTCATGCTGATGAGAAAAATGAATACCGTAACTACTCAAGAGAAATCTCAACTACAATGAAGGACATCATACAAAATCCTCTGGACCTTCAGACCACTGCTTTCAGCTTCATGCCAGGGACTAGACCCAGGAGGGTCTCGATGGTGAAAGGATGCACAGTAGAAGGCATGGAAATCAAACCACAGAAAAATAAACTCTACATTAAATTTAAGAAATGGTATAAAACGCACAAGGCCAAGTTACGTCGAAGGTTACACAAAGATAGTTTTGCTTCGAAGTTATTTGCATTAATCATAGCTGCATTTGTGATCTGTTGGAGTCCATATGGAGTGACATTGTCCCTGCACACTCCTTGTGCTACAGACTACTGCGTCCACTCTATTTTCTGGGAATTTGTTGTACTACTTAAGTATGCTAACTCTGCTGTCAATCCTTTTATATATGCATTTTACAGTAAGGAATTCCGTGATGCATTTTGGAGAGTACTACATTGTCATCCACATAAAAATCTATTTGAGAGAAATAGCACCACATCCTTTAAGTAATGTTCACAGTAGGTAATATAAGCGAAAAACTTCACACAGGAATACTGCATGCAGTGCATGGGGTATGTTTTATTTGAAGAGGCAGAGTTTTTTATGTAATTTTATGGTCATATACTGTGGACAAAAAACAATGAAAAAATAAAACATTAATATATATATGTATAGTGAGTGCTATAAAGCACTATACATTTGACAGACAAAAAAAAAAAAAAAAAAATCGGAACAAATCTTGAACAAATCGGAACAAATCTTGAAAGGAGCCTTATTATGTCTGCTGGTACAGAATAAGACTCAAACAGGGTCTGATGTACAGTCATCTGTCCTGGTATATTTATGAATAAAAAATTTAACTTGGAAAAAAAACACTGGATATGAGTTTTGAAAATATATGAACTGCCCATGTAACTGCAGTCCTGATTACACTGACATGACAACTGGGTGGTGAGTATCTGTCATGTTACAAGAGGGATCTCCAGATGAGAAAAGTCCAAGGGACCTAGGAACAATGACATCTACCTTCAACTTGCATTTTTACAAGCCAAATACAAATAATTTAAACTTAAAGATTTTGGTCTACTAAAATGGCTTGATCTGCTACTGTTTTAAGACATAAACATTTTCCCTTTGCATGGGTTAAGACATGCACATGCTTTGTATCAAAATGAAAAAAGAGACTTTTAAGCAAAAGTGTTAAACTAATTCTTCACTCTCTTCCTTGACACATAACATATTTCCAGATTATTGCTGCAGACTCATGTTTTAAACTGCAGACATCCATGTGCCTGTTGAAGTGTTTATAATACAAAGATCTGATACATTATGCCTACCATGCTCTATTGACGTATTCAACTGTAAACCCCTTATCTGAAAAACATGGTTTTTTGTATACAGTTGCATTTTTCTTAAAAGCTACTTTAATGTATTAACGTGGTTGCATCAAAAAGCACTGAGGTTTGGCTTCAAATTCACTGGTTTGAAATATGCACAAACACGTGCTGTGATATGATTCAAGTCTGTCTTTTCATCATTCACCTTTGAAGATGATTTCAAAAACTCATGTAACAGGTAATTTACAACATCTATACAAAAATATAATTTATATGAAAAGTGATTTTCTACGTTTATGTTTCCCATCTTTCAATTTGTCCCACATCATACAAAAGACCAGTGAGAATACACCTATTATATAAAATTACAGCATGTTGCTACATGCATCACATCTCAAAAATTATTCATCTCTCTTTTGTATGTGGGTTGAGTTTGATGGGACGAAAAATTGATGAGCTTTTAATCCAATATGCACTGCATGTAGGTCTGCTGAAAATTCTAAATCTGCTCTAACAAAGGCACTGCTTATAAAAAATATCAACAGGAAAGATATTTGAAATTCAATACAGAAAATCCAAGGTAGTAGAATTTTAAACTGAATAACACTTTAAAGACAAGCATTCCAAGTAATAAAATCCCAGTTCAAGAGATTGGAGACTTACAGAGTTGAGTTTCTGTTCTAGACGACTCATTCTTGCCAGGGCCATGCCTGCCCAGGAGTCAAAACGGTCAGGATTCACACAGATGTCATGCATATAAAACTTGATGGCTTTGCTGTAAATGTATAAATGATAAATTAAACAAACGAATTGAAAATTGAGAAGTTCTACAAGGTGTGTTACATGAGTAACAAATATGAGAAGTGTATGGATTACACAAAAACATTTAGATTAATGGTTTTTCTTAAAGGTAATTAAAAGTAATACCTGAAGATTTGAATTACTATTGTTTAATAACTATTGCACTTTGGATGAACAAATAAAATATCTTATGTCAAACAAAACAAAACACATTTTAGAAAAAAATATTGTAAAATAAGTAAACGGATAATATCACTTACCCCTGTTCCTTGTTTTTGAAATAGTAATCAGCTAGCAAGTAGTATATTTCATTCACTACAGGCCTGAAATGATTGTGGTTTGAATCACATATCATATTATAACCACTGCTCATTACACAGTAAGATAAATGTTAACTATATCATAAAATATAGCATAAAATAAGATTAACATTATATTTATATTGAACACTCCACATTTTTAAACAATCAAAAAGTTTATCATTCACCAAAAAATTATTTTTCATGGATATCTGGAGTGACACATGCACGCACACACACACACACACACACACACACACACACACACACACACACACACACACACACACACACACATACACACACACACAACTTACATTTTCTTCACTTTGTCTTCAGGGATGGCAGGTACTTGGCTAGATGTCCCCTCAATGTAAGCAGTCAGACTGTCTATTGTCAGGGCTGCGCAAGGAAAATATTTTAACAAATATATAAGCTGTTTACTATAAAACACCATTTTCATTAAAAAAAACTTTTTTATTTAATCTAAATCTACAGACACGAGGAAAATATTATAACAAATATATAAGCCATTTTATACAACACAGCATTTTCATTTAAAAAATAACTTTTTATTTAAATTTTGAACATGTTATACACCTGGTTAAAGATGTTCCTAATTTATTAAAATAATCAGTGTTCTTATTGTGAATGGAAGTAAAATACTTACTTTGATTCTCCTGTTGTGGCACTAACATTGAAATTCTTCTGAGAAGGTGCTCCAACTGAATTGTTAAAATAACAAAAATAGCAAAAGTGTTGGAATTCTACATTTCACTGAAATATGATTGAAAATAATACTATTTTATTAAATAAAACATACACTTATTTAAATGTAGCATCATGGACTTATGACAAAATATCAGAATATTGGGACTGGAAGTTTGAGGAGAACTTGCTCACCTCAGCTGACACAGCACTTGTCCTGTAGCTGTCAAATTCTGGCATGGTCTTAGGTTTGAAGTAATCAAATAAAACTACTGCTCTTTCCCAGCTCAAGGTTACCTGTAAATAAAATCTTAAGGTTAAAAACCCCCCGATATGTCAGACATTATATGAAATATTTTGCAAAACTTGATATGTGACACATTATGTTGAAACATAATTATTACGGCCCAAAAAGTTTAATGTTCTAGAATTTTCACAACCTAAGCTAAATATTTAGTACTTATTTTCAAAATATCAGGCAAAACAAAAGCACTACACAGACCTGTGGGGCATTGTGATCTTGCAGATGCTTAGCTTTGGTTCTCTTGTTTGGATGTCCATACAGACAGTAGAAACACTGCTCAATGGCGTGATCTAACTCTTCTTTGTACGCCCGAGAGCGTTCTGAGCCATTTTCTTTTAGTCTACTTTTGATTACATCAATAAAGAACATCAGTAAAGCACCATCTGATTTTGTGCACCAGCATTTCCTGTGTAAAGGGAAATAACAAAAACTTTCTATATGTCTTCGCCAATTCACCATATACAATATGATAGGAGAAAATTGGAGACTGTAGTACAAAGTATGTTACATCTACCTAAGATAAGTAAAGATTGAGCATGGTGATCAAATGTTAAATGTCTAATTTGGGGAATAAATAACAGCAAAAACAAGACAGCAACTTTATATAAAAAACATTTATAATGTTAATTTTTTAACATATGGAGCAAATATAATAATTGTAAATAACAGACATGAGTCTATTGTTCATATAAAAAAGGCTAATATCTGTGAAAAAATTGGAAAGTTGTTATCAAAACTGTACCAAGAAAAGTAAATATAAATAGTACAAATCAAAGAAGTCAGTGTTTACCTTCCTAAATATTCATGTGCCACAGTGAGCAGCATGAGAGAGGATGGCATGCAGTCCCCCATGACCCCCTGGTGCTCCTCTGGCTGCATGCTCATAGACTGGAGCTTCTTCTCCTCACTATACGAAACCACAAAGACAAGCATGGAAAATATTTAGAATTCAAGGTAATGAAACATTTTCTTTATGTTGAACAAACATCACACTGCATGAGTCAAAATTTACAAAATAACATGATTTAAAATACAGCAATGCTGGCATATACACAGAAATCAAATAAAGAAATTGTGAAAAAAAATATTGGCAGTCTAGATAAAAATAGTAATATGTACAAATAAAATTCCTGATTTTTAATTTTTTAATATAACACCTGGGTATGCACTACTCATAGTGCTTTTGTGCATTAGTTTTAAATCTCACAGGTTAAATCATCTAATTTATTGTATTAAAACTGTAGCTCTATTTAGTTTTTCAAAACTAATGACTAGATTATCACTACCTGGAATGTGTCTAACTTTATCCAACTTTTATATATCACTGATGCATATCGTGTTACCAAATTAAACCTACATTAATATCTCAAACATCAAAGCATCTATTGTACCTTCAATATACAATGCGCTCTTTTTCTGAACTATATTAAAATAAGAAGTCTTACTGTTCAATCATCCTATAGAGAACCCTCCAGGGCATAACCGTGTTGATTGGCATCTCAGGCACAGAATCACTGACATCCATATTGATTTCTATCACACGGATCACATTTTGTGACAGGCGGACAAGATTCTTGGAAGGCAAGTTACTTAATGTGGTCACATCTTTTGACAGGCATCTGAAATTAATAAGAGAAACTTTGACAAGCATTTCAAATTAATAAGAGAAACTATAGCAGTTCTATAATGATTCCTTCATTTTCACAAGGAAGAGATACACCATAATCATTTTCATGAAATCTTCCAGCAGCACAACCAATACAGAGGAAAATGTGACATCTAAAATTAATAATATAAAATACATAATTTGATCTTAAAGACTCACAAGTCTAAGCTCTTGAATAGCTGAGTCATTGTAGTGGCCCACTCCTCTTTGATAGAGCTGCTCCCCACTGAGAGATACTGTTGAAGAGCTTCATTCAGGGATACCTCACCCCATAACACACATCTCTGGAAAAATAACCAGACAGTTGTCTTCAGTCTGTGTATCTAGACTATGTCCATTATGTGTCAATGAACTACTGCAAAAAACACACATGACAGACAAGGAATGCATCTTAATTCAACTGCTATATAAAAATATATTTTGCCATTTTGACAAGCTGATTATTTTTGTTACCTTAAAATCCTTCAGTTTGATTAAAGAGTCCAGAAGCAGAAGTAACTGGAGATGTCTTTCTGCAACAACTAGACCTGTCACCTGAAATACATATAAAAAACTGTAAATATTTTTAAAAAACACATTTTGTCTGCATTTAATTTTGACTGGATGTCTACAATTTTGAGCAGCAGATAGTAATAGTATAATTAAAACAGGATGCATCATTCTTTTAGACAAATGCACAAATTATTTAAATAGAAAAGAGAAAGATATGAGGCAATGACAATACAGAAAATTGACCCCCCCTGCCCTCAGGACAGCTTTTTCAAACCTTCTCTTTGCTTTGTGAAAATGTCTGCAGCAGTAAGTCCACAACGCGCTCATAGCTGCCTTTCTCATATAACTTCTGAACTTCCTCCAGTGACTGGCATCGTTGTAAGGATTCAAGTTGTTTATTTACATTGCCTGGAAAAATAACATACAAAATTATGTAGTATGTTTTCTACTTATACTTCTAATATCTGTAAAAATTTGTTGAAAATAAATACACCATCAGTGATGACTAATTATATCTCATAGGGATTGCATTGTGCACTGTTGAACTCACTGCATCACTGGCAGTAATGCTACATAGGAAATCTACAGAGTGAAATGTTTCCCACTCTTACCTTTGGTGATAACATTATCTGTTCTGCAGTTGACTAACTTGACAGTCATCTGTGGAGAGCCTGGGTCTTGCTCATAGCTCAGGTAGTCAGAGGCCTAAAGAATCCAAGGAAGTGTGAATTTACTGGCAATTTATCTGAACTAATTACCTGTATCATAAAATCACAATGATAACACCAAATGCTCATAAGTAAACCAATCACTATATCAACCAAACCAATAAAATAACTTTTATACATGAAAATAATGTATAAAACTTGTATATATGAATATGAAATATTTTGCAACAAATCTTTGGACAAAACTCACCCTTTTAAAAAATTCCACAGCCAGATCCATTTCTGTCTGTAGCACCAAAAATCTTGCCTTTAACCAGTACACTGTAGGGCAAAAGTACATCACTTGCGTGAGGAAGGTACAATTACAGTATTCTTATTCAATTCAATATCTCCTCTACACCAAGAACAAATCAGAGTTTACAGCATAAGGTATAAGGTCAAACCAGACATGTGACAATGCCCTCCTGAATACAACAACAGAAAGAATATACTTTTTAAAATAAAAAACTTACTCAATTTTGCCCTTTAAAAAGTTTTTATTCATTAAAAGTTTTTATTAATTAATATTATTTAATTATTTGTCAAACCAGACATGTGACAATGCCCTCCTGCACACATAGCAACCTAAGAGGATAAAGCTTGCAATATATCATCAACCCCTATCAACATTGTATTACTTATTGAACTCACCTCTAACACAGTACTCTTGCCAAAAATCCTCCATAATATCATGAAAAGCAGACAAACCCACCAAGTAACTCAGATCTTCTTTGAAGAACTTTCCTGGGAATTCTGGACCCAAGGTCAAATACCTGTGTTAATTAGAGAAAAGATGTCAAGGGGAGTGAATGTGATATTTAAAAATTAATAACTAGTTATGAGTCAAAATGAGACAAATAATTTTATAAAATTAATGAATAAAAACTCTTTAAAGAGCAAAGTTGACAAATATAAGTTTTTTTCACTCCAAAAAGATATATTCTTTCTGTAAAACTTACTTCATAGGGGATGAAACCATGGATTTGTTGCTTAGCCACTTGTCTAGTTTTAACTCTGCCCATACTAGACACATCTGAAGACACATGGCAATAAATTATTCTAGATAATACAAATTACTCCACATAATATGTAGTAAAACAATAAAATATACTTTTAGATGCTTATCTATCAATCAGTAAATAACTGCTCAATGTTTAACATGAAGCAAACAGGGATAAACCCTTGCCAATAACTTCTTTGCACTCGGAACTACTCGGATGTCTCCGCACTCGACAATGACCTCGGACGTAATACGGAGGCATCCATATTGATTGTTGATTTGTTGGGAAGGAACTACTTTCAACCTCGCGCTAATTTAGACCACAATCCTTTCAACGTTTGTATCTGTTTATCCTTTAAATCAAAGTCAAACTAAGTGCATTGTTTGGCAAACTGTAAAGCATCATAAAAATCAGGGGTATTGACAGCCATCTTTATGAGCGTAACGATCGATTGAGTGAGAAGGCATTTCCGGCGGACAAAATGCATGGATTTGGTGCATATTTCTCTGCCTATCACATCCGAGGTTAGTATGGAGCTTGCGGAATGAGCCGAGGATTGCCGATTGACTTCTTTGTGATAATATGAAATAATAAGAAAAATAATAAGTAAACTATATGTGAAGAATCAAAAATACTAACAACATAGTGACCATCTTACCAATGCCATTTCAGCAATTCTTTTATCTGTCACATCTTTGCTGTAATAGAGAAATATATCAGATTGATATATCATTTTAAAAACTGAATACATATTAATGAAAATGAATTCATTAACAGACATGCATTATCTATGTACCGCATTTTTCATCCTTCTAATTCTGAATCAATGCAAAACAATCAAAAGTCTTTATAAATCTACCTCTTATATTGTAAAATAAATACATAATATTTTCCATGAAACTGCTATCAAATATACATACCACAGAAATGATGGATAAACAAAGTGTTTCCTATATCTTTGGTAGACTTCCAAGTAGATCTCTGTTAAGCCGTCACACCTAAAACATATATCCAGTTCTTGTAGCAGTCTAAAATACAAGATAACTATTTTCACTAATTTTCAACGTCAATATTTTCAATAACTTGTTTATAGTCCACCTGAAGCTTTCGATTTCTTCTATAAAAGACGGTTATTTAAAAAAAAACATCATCTTTCATATACTGACAATCTATTTGTGAACTACACAACTCACCATTTCAGGTGTGCCCTTTCTGACAAACATATCAAGTACTTGTTCATGAGTTCCAGAATGCCACCATTCCGTTGACTTCTTGCAAGGAGTTCATGAACTTCCAGGTTTTCTTTGCAGTTCAGAGGAACTGTGTCAGAAGGGAGCCTGGGACGACCTTTTCAATATATAATATTTAAAATAACAATATAATATCATCTACTAGAGTCATACTGCACTCTTAAAATGTTGACTCTTTTTAACATCATGCACTATCACTATCACGTTATGCATTCTTTCTTACCAACAAATCAATGAAAATGAAACTTTGATGACAAAAGAAAGAAAGGAAGAATAAAAGAAAGCCAAATTTTAAAAAAGCACAATTCATTCCTTTTTTGAAGACCAGGATCATGGCCATTTTATCCACAGCACTAAACTGTACACATTACAGATCAAAGAAGGTGCTGGTGTTCTCACTAGAAAGATACAGTGTATCAGGTAATCTTATTTCCTCACCTTCTACTGGTGTCCCAGGGTCAATTACATGTGGCTCAGGTTGTTCCTCTTCTGAGGATTTCTCCTTGCTTTCCTCATCTTCTTCCACTCTAACTTTCCTACGCAAAGAAAGTTAACATATGTTAAATATTTAAAGAATTTACATCCCACTTTTGCACCCTTCCAGCTTTTAGTTTCCTTGAAACTTTTTTTCGTAGGGTTAAACTAAAAAGAAAAAAAAAACAAAAAACAAAACAAAACCACTGACCTTGCCCACAAAAATATACAGCTATCAATAAGAAGATGATCTATCATACTCACAACAAACTTGATGGTAAGAAACTCTGAAGCAGTTCCTGGTAATTGATACTCTCTTCTTCCTTCTTTTTGTTTGTGTTCCTCACCTACAAGAGCAAAAATAAAGAAAAATAATATACATATAAAAAAGTATGCATAATCATATTTAATGATTTCGGAAAATGTACAAAATATGAACTCGAGTTCTTAACAATTTTTACCTTATCAATTTTATAACTTTGTCTTGGTCAGCATCCACATGTCATTTTTAACCAGTCTGAAAGCTGACTAAAAAGATGACTAGATTCACTACCTTCCATTTACAACATCACGTAGAATAAGATATATTGCTTCATGGATTACTTTAGTCTTACTTACCCTGGCAGATCTCCTCTTCACAGAGAAGTCATCTTCCAATAGTGTAGCTTTCCTCTTACGCCCCCTTTTGTTTTGACCCTCTCCACTATCTGCTGATTTAGGCACAGTGACTTCTAAAACCAGGAGCACATAAATATTGTTAAGAGTTCTTTTAATCATATTTTGTTTTACATCAATACAAGGTATCTGTTTCAAGTTAATTACTGCACTTGAAACCATTTTACTTTAATAGGATGGTTTCATAGGTAAACAGCCCTTGTCATACAGTAATTAAGTAACCATTTTCAGCACTTGTACCTGAACCTTGGTGTACTTACCCTGCTTTTCACTGAACACAGGTGTTGTTGTGGCTACTGGAGTAACTGCTGCTGTAGCTATGGTTGGTTGTGATACCACTGGTGTTGTAACCGTTGCTGTACCTCCAGCAGTCACAGTAATACCCTCAGAGGTTTGTATCTCTGGAGCAAGAGGTGTGGGCGACGTTTCCATAGGAATTGGAATGTCAACTGTTGGACTCATAGCAGCATACGTAGACAAGTCAATTCTGCAGCCGATTTTCTACAGAAGAAAATATGCTACTGTCAATTTATTTTCAAATATCTTTTATATATTTACTTCATAATCAATTCGAGAAATGTCCTACTGCATTAACTGTTTGACCAAATATTACTTACTACTGGCATGTCTGACTTCTGAATATCATCATAAAGAGCAATCAGGCATTCTCCAAGACACTTCCACCTGCAGAAAAAATAATAAAATATTTTTTAATGATTTTTGTTAGCTTCACAAATATAAATTAGAGTTAAAAAATTTTCCATTAATAAACAAAAGTTTCCAAGTTAAGATGATAATAAATATGAAGACCAATGTTGGCTTAACTTACTTGAAGCTTGTCAGAGGTTTTACAAAAGAAAGGATGGGGAGCTCTGGCTGTTTCCCCATCTGCTGCTTCATCTGTCGCATTGCAAGAGCTTCACTGATGTACTAAAATTAATATTCACCTTGATAAGACAGTGCATGGGGATGCTGCCATCTTTAAGTGTTGTATTCATCTTTTAAAAGAGTCAGCAATCACATTTCAAAGGTGTGTTATATTCTACTTAAGTAAGGAAATTAAAACTCCTCCTTTATTAGAATAGCATATTTGCTCAAAGAAAAAAAAATGCTCAGAATGTATGTAAAATGTCACCAAGTTAGCACAGGCTTCAAACAACTGCGCATGCACGAAAAGTGCGCTGTTTGAAATAAACAAGTTGGTGAAATTGACAAAGCCTGCCGGTGGTTACCGTCTGGTTGATTTTATTTCATTTGCTCTCTGGTGTCTTTTTGAAATTTTAAATTAGAAATGTTTTATTGATTTTGTGTTTTAAAAAGTAAATCCATCGGAATTCCTTAGAATAACATTTATTTTAGCTTCATTACAAGTGGATTCCCATTGTATTTATAGTGTTATATGTGGCCCCAATTGGGATTTTTCACCCCTCCTCCACTCTTGATACATAAAATGCGCCATGTGCCAGATTGAAAATGACATTGCAAAATGTATTTAAAATCGTAGGAAGGTTGATTGCAGATAATGCTGCGAGGACATTCTTGTTCCAGGGCGAACTCGGCCAATATAAATTTTTTAACTTCGTCTCCCGGTTTTGCAGCGCCAGTTCTAATTTTTGAAAGCGAGGCAATGGAACCAAACAATACGATGCAATTTGTAATCTCGTAAAAATTGCTATTTTTCAATAAAGACCATAGCATGGAGTAAATCGAAATGCGACTCTTTTATTATTATGATCTTAAATAATCATTAATATAAAATGTACGATTTAAGAAGTTCTTGTTCCCGGCCTTTTTATTAACTTAATTGATTTTTTAAAGTATTTGGATATTAAAAACACAAAAGTTGTCTGGTTTCATATCGAGGCACTACGTTTCGTTCGTGTGCTCACCAAGTTATGAAAATGGTGGCCTGAAGACACATATGCTAAGGAAATTTTTGATTTGGCACTAGACAGAATGACCACCAGTAAGTTTGAAACAATTTGCCAGGAAAGTTTTAAGGTACTAATTTCTCACCAAAGCCTTGTATGATGTTCCTTTACATTACAATAGTAACCATTAACAACATCTGGCAACAGTATTGGCTATATTTCCTACAAGGTAGTTGGCCCGTTTTCTGACACAAGCTCTTAAATGTTCACTATGATTCATTGATAACAGTCTAAGAATGCTTGATTGAATATATTCAAAAGTAGTACTTACAGTCAAAGTTTCTCCAGTATCCACCTTTGTAGTATAAATACTCTGGTCACTGAAAGGATTACAATCATGAAAAACTGAAAGATTATACTGTAATTATTTTAATCATTTAAAAGCATCCAACACCTCACTTATTCCAATATCTTACTTTCTCATGGTTTATCATTTTCAATCTCTCGGTAAACTTTCCAACATGAGGCTAAATAACTTTTCAAAACTTTTGTGTCGGCAATTTTATGTATTGTTAACAAATCATGGTTTTGTGAATTAATTAATTCATTCCATTTTACTTTAATTAGTAATTTTCAAATAACAAAACAAGTGTAATTGACAAAAACATGCATAATGAAGTCAATAAGGATTTTTCTAATATTTACATAATTCTAAACAATTCACTTTCTTCTCTAAAATTTCATCTTTCAAATTACAAACTATCCCAGCATAATAATAATAAAAGATGTGCCTGGTTTCCAATAACATACCAAAACTGAAACATGTGTGCAGTGTCCCTCTCCAAGGAAGGCTGCTCAGAAAACATTTTCTCTCTCAGTGCTAAGCCTTTTGTATAGCCACTATCTTTTTCTAAAGCCTTGGATATGTAGTACAGGCAATCTGAATAAAACAACATTTTTGATTAAACTTCAAAATTTCTGTAGATCTGAAATATATCAAATATCTCAATGTAACTATTGAGAAAATTTTCAAAATTCTTTGTATAATGTAACTAAAAAAAGAAGGGATCAAACATAATCTATTTGGCAAGTATATCATCAACATGAACTATGGAAATTACACCATGGTTGAACACCAAGGGTAATAAATGAAAACCACTCACTGGTATAATCATTGACAGCATACAATACAGTACAGATGTGGTCCAAGCTGGGCCAGTGGTTGGGGTTACACTCCAGTGCCTAGAAATGCAAAATATATGAAGATTTTATTATCACAGTTACTGAACTAAAGGTCAAAAATAGCCAAAAATTAAGAAATCATGAAATGATTACATAATCAATTATTATTTCAATAGAGATAGCAACGCAACAACCTGTGTGCACAAAATCATTTATGATAGGCAAGATAAACAAATCTGAGATGTATTTGTCTTAGATTAATTTTCAGAGTTGCCAGTTCTACCCCATTTACTCATATTCTATATATTATTTAGAACACACTTCCACTGGCTACAGGTGCTGTATATTCTATTGTCAGTTAATGTCATGTTAAATGCTCCTATTATGTTTCAACACCAGTGTTACCTGTTCAAACCCGTGTCTTGCCAAGGGAACATGGTGGAGCTTTAATGCAGTTGTTCCTATCTTGAACCATAAAGTCACATCACTAGAATCTAACAGTGCAGCCTAAAACCAGAGAAAAATTTTAAAGCAGGGGCAGATCCAGAGATATTTTCTGACAGTCTTCCAAATTATCTTTGTTGGTCCATCCTCCATTTTTGACTGTCTTCCGAAAGAAAAAAATTAGATACCCGTCAATGTAAACTTGAAAATCGGACCGTCATCCGGAAGACCCAGAAGACAGCTTAAATCCGCCCTTGTAAAGATATCTATTTATCATTATTTATATTACTTTTAACACCATCCAAAAATCATACTAACATGGGGATTCTTTTTCAACAGCAACAAGTCTGTCATTTTCTTTCATTTAGGTGAAAAATACTTCTTACGGTTCAACAAAATGTGTTTTTGAGTGATGCCAGATAAAACCTGGATTATTCAAAATCAGTCTACATGTAATTATGTTAAGCACACAAATCTTTTCAATGTTCAGTTAGTTAAAATACAGAATGCAACCCTCAGAAAAATTAGCACCACAAAGGTGTCTCCATGGAAAGGAAAGTTCACAATGGGATTGGTAAAACATTGCCACTGGTAGAGCTGTCTACCTCCAAGTAGGCCTCCATGGCGGCATGGTGGTTCCCATTGTTTGCTGCCATCCCTCCAATGTTTTTATAGGTGGAATACTTGAGCATAAGCCCAGGATTCTGGGCAAGATTAGCATCTTCATTTTCTGGTGGTAGAGCCTGGAATGTAAAGAAACCACTTAATCAAAATGCACCTTTTATACACCAAAACAAAACAGAGACTGTGTAAAATTGTACAGTAACACATGTTAGAAGTAAAGGAATGTGAAATAAATGAAGGCTACCTCAATTCATTAGTGTTATTATCTAAAAGGTTCTTCATACCTATACAAATATATTTTCTTTTTATCACTTACATGAAGAGATGATATTTCAGTTTTTAGATTATAATAATGACTAACACTTATTATATATCAAAATACCTCACCTCTAACAAAAGTGGTGTCCTTAAGAGTTGTTTAAAGACATCCTCTGCTTTGGTTAGTTCACCTTGGCGTTGCAAGGTCAGGGCTTTATTATAAAGGGCAAATGCTTCTGATTCCTATAATACAATGAATTATACACCAAATGAATAATAAACTTAAGCAGCACTTTAGGAACAAAACACACGTCATGATTACTGTGATTTAGATGTTTTAAAAGCTTGTTTCAGGCTTGTCCATTTAAGATAAAGTAAACCACCAATTGATAATCATTGTCACCTGTGCTTCTCTGGTAGCAGATGGTGGTGATGGGGTACTGGCCTCATCTGATTCATTAGAGGACTCATTCAATGCTGCTATACGTAGCTGTAAATTGTAAACAAACATGATCAAAACATTATCACTTCTTTGGGCCTCCTCTTAAATTCAATTAACCTTTTTCTAAAATCCCAAAATCTTTTTAAACATTTTTGCATATCTTTGAAGATGAAAAGAAAACCAGCATTAAAAATTTAAAGAATCATCAATCTCCAACTTGAACTGCACTTCATGCTACTAAGTAAACCCAGCAGCTTGATCTGCATAATTAAGCACATGAAATATCACTGCGAACAGGCAAAACACCAGCATTGTTCTTCATTTGTTATAGTAACAAGAATTATGCACAACTATGGTGATGTGAAAAAAAATCAGGTAATGACAATATGAACAAACACTAGTTATGAACAATGCCACATGAACATTGCCTAACTCAAACGTCTATCTGGGTCATTGACTGAATTGAGGATCATTTTTTAAGAATTCATTACCAAGATGTTGTCAGGCAATAAAATTCTTATAAACTTGGGAATAGAAAAATCGTTTGGCTTAGCCGTAAAATGTGGGTTTGTGGATGCTGGATCATTCTTAAGAGTGAAGAGGCATCCGAAACGTTATCACGATCAGTCTAGGCAGTAACAACACTAACACAGTAAGTTGAGTAACAGTGACAGAGACCGCACGTCTGTCAACAGCAAAAGGGGGAGATATTAGTAGGAAGATATTAGTAAAGCTGACGGATCGGCTCATTGGAAGATGTAACACTACGTATCTATTATTGAAAAGCCATTTTAAACACAGATCTTAGAGCTACATGCAACAACATTACCATTCTTGTTTTTGTCCGAAATTAGCAACTCCATAAATAGCGCCAGAGCTAAGTTACTTTACCCACTTCAAGTTATTCTCGAAAAAAATATTTTTATTGAACATTCATATTTATACAATAACACAATTAAATTGCTAACAATATTAATCAAAATAAATGTTTTATAACAGAAAATTTGACTTTCATATTTTAAAATCTAAAAAGGTATGACCATTTAGTGTAAAAAAATAGCTTAAATCTCTTAGCTAACTTCCGTAAAATCTGTCATTTGCTGTGTACCCCCGACTAAAATACATTTGTATTCATAGCGATATATAATGATATTTTCAATTTAAAATATTTAATTTTTATTATTTTCTTTTGTTCTTGTATAGATATAAATGTTCGGTAGAAGTTGCACATTGTAGATATGTGAATAATTAATAAATGCTTGACAGAGGGAGGCTATGGGAACAGCTCTATCACAGAAAATCGGGAGTGCGAGAGGCGGCCGGCGGCAAAACTTAACATCACTCAAATAACCGGTAAGTTATTATCCGAATGAAATGGTCACTATCAGTTTATGACATTGTTTTTACATTAATTAAATTACACCTTCGTAACACAAGAAACCAAATAATAGTCATGGACAGCTTGATGTAAACTTGTAAATTTTGTTCAAGCTCATTCTTCAATCAGCCAATGCATGATTGAAAGTTGAACAAGTATTTTAGTGTAATATTACAAAATATTTTGGGGTATTGTATATGAAGTCAACACATATATGATAGTATTTTCTCTCAAAAACAGTGATATTATGAATGGCACTTGTGACAATTCATGGAAAGCACTCTATATCATGGGTAACGAATATACGTACTAGTACATTGATTCATTGACTGACAAAAGTGAGTGAAACTTGAATGAAATAAGAAATGAATTGTAGTAAGAAAACAAGACAGTGGTTAATCCAGGATGAGGGAGTAACAATTTGTTTTTTTTTCCCTTTCTGGATCAACTGAAGTGCTCATGTACACCTATTTACTTCTCTATCTCAAGTACACTTCTTTGTGTACCCAGTACATATGTATTCATCTACATGTAACATGCTATAAGAGAGACAGAGGCTCATAGAGCTAAATCTTGGAAGAGAAAATGCCTCAGGTCAGCTCAAACTGTCATGTTTAGGGTGGCCTTGCAAATGGACTGAATGGACCAGCTGATGTCCATAAGTGTGAAAACATTGTATACTAAGCTGATCTTGATTAGGATAAACAGAGCCTGAATTAACTTTTCACTGACTCACTGACATACATATATAGATTGATAGTGAGAGTAAGCTTTACAGGATGCTGTCTGTCTCACATTGAGAGAACATGTAAAACTGGAATTATAATTGTTCTAATGAGAGTAAACTCCTGTTAGTGTTGTCTTAATGTTCATTTTCATTAGTTTCATTTAGATATAACATACATAAAAAACTAGCAGCAAATTGACTATCAGTGGATTTCCAACTTTTTTGGGTGGTGTTGGTGCTTACAACAGTAAACTTTTCGGGTGTTTCATTCCTGCATGTATTTTACTGTGAGTATTAGTTAGAAATTGCAGCATTGTGTAATATGATAGCTTAACATAGTTGACAATATGGTTCAGGGCTTAATTGCAAAACTGTAGCATGTCTGCAAATTAAAGAATTGTGCAGTACTTTGGTTGACTTTGAAATTGTGTTTTATTTTTCACAGTGTATGTGGTCAAATGGTAATGTTGATGCATGCAGCTTAAAATCAGGATATACTCCTGCTTACTTGAATACTGAAATCTCATATAAAAAACTCTTCAAATGAATCATTTATACGCTGTATCAACTGTAATCCATATTTGAAAAGGGTACTCTTTTGGCTTTTAGCACCGTCACTGCTGTATCTTCTTTTCTATTGCTACCCACATTGAAAAACTCATTCTTTTTCATGACTAATACTGACTAACATAACAGTACAATGAAGACATACAAGACATACGTAATCCAGAAGTTGTATGCAGAACATCTTCATACCAAGCATGTTCAATCAACCCATGGACAGATTGTAATATCCTTAGGTATTGTCACTGGAGGCCAATGTAATATAATTGATTTCATGTGCCATTGTTGCTAGAGGAATGCTTTATTGATGGTGCTTCATATGAAACAGAATGAGCAATTGGTTTGCATACTAGCAAGCTTTGTTGATTTTTAACTATTTCTATTGTGCTACAAGTGCCATATATTTGAAAACCAGACAGGATTTGACAAGTAGGGCAGAGAAGTTCTTTCTTTTTATGTGCTTTTGCATTAACATTTTTGTTTTTAGAACACCAATATTGACTTCATTGGTAAGTGCTACTGCTTAATGACAACATTAATTTTGAATTCTAAATCTTAATTAGCATAACATCTCATTCATGAAATGTCATGTTTTGTGATATTTTACATTTTGTGCAGTGCATTACTAGTAACTGATATTATGCTTTATGCCTGCATACTTTGCAAAGGTTGTTAGCATGCATATTATTACTGGTTTCTGAAACTTATTTTTTAATTTTACACTTGGTACCACCCTTTACCATTTTAGATTATATACAAGGGTTTTTCATATCATCAAATATTATTCATTTATTATAGATATCACACGAGTGTTGAAAATGAAAGAAAATAAGTGTATTTCGGTACTTCAAGATTACTTCCACTGCACCAGTGAGACCTGTTTTATCTAGTACTAGTATTGAGTTAGTTTACTCCTATCCACTTGGAGTCAATACGAAACCTGGTACTTTTTGTTGACACATTGCCCAGCTGTCCAGATATTGGATCATAAGTCAAGTACGATCATGAGATGTCAAGATATAGACTGAGTGCTGGACCACTCAAATATTTATCTCCCCCTTTTGATAAGTACTTCCTACATAATTGTTTAATTATGTACATATAATTTTGTATTTATTTCATATTGAATTTAAACATTTGTACATAGCAGTTGTTTCTGGCAGATGTAAGTAGTTGTATGATGTGGTGTCATGAAATATACACAACTGACCTATTTGATGTCTGACTGCACAATCCAATAATTCTATCTTGGCTAATAAGTTAGAACTCTCAATATCATACTCGGTATTGTTTGAAACTGGTTTCTCATATTGATTGAACTTTGTCAGTGTACATCACGTGTAAGTCTCTCTTTTGTGGATTTTCTATCTAATTAGGCTAGTTTTCAGACATGGTATGGTGTTCATATAGGTAGTTATCACCCTTTGATATTCTAGTGATCTAAGGATGTGTTAAACCTACAGAGCAGTTTTTATGTTGTCCAATAGATATATTCACCAATGACTTTCACCTGTATTCCAACAAAAACCCTCTATGTCAACAAAGGTGTATTAGCATTTATATCACTGTATAGGCAGCCTGTGTAGTACTTCATCCCTGAAAATACAATCAATACAGTAACAAACGTGTTGGTTTAGGTGTGCATAGATTCTGTTCTACATCAGGGCACAGGAGAATGTTTGAATAGTGAAATTTGTTTTTCTTTTATACTGACTTACTCGCTTTCTGTAAACAAAGAAATCCCTCCAGTCCTATGTGTGACTCATGCTAGAAGTATAATCGTATTATTTCCGCACTAATTTTTAGCCACTTTTTACCACAATGCTATTGTCAGTATAATATTCATGAACTCATTTTATTCCACTAAATTATATCTCCTCACTCCAGTCTGCCTTTCTGTGTGTTTGCATTTGATAAGGATGTGGACAGATGAGAGGATGGAGAGCCAGAAATGCAAGTATCTTATAATAATTACTTATTTTATGGCAAATTGTGGTTTAATTTTTTGACATTCATTTTTGTTTTAAAATAGTTCTTGGACACAAGAATTGCTTTAACAAAAATTTTAAATGATAAGAATGACTTCCTTTTTAGCGACTTTTATATCACCATTGACCAAGTTATGTTTTACTATCATTGTCCGGCAATATATTTTTTTTATTGAAGACTACTTTTTTGTTAGATGTTATATACATGTAGTAGTATACTTATTAAGAATAAATATTAGAGGGGGCAGGAGAGCCAGATGTTTGTTTATTTATAACCATCCTGCGTATATTTTTCATATGGATTCAGCATCTGAGTAACCCTTACCTCATATTAATGCACATTTACCTGAGATGAACGTCTCGTACCGTTAGCTTGTTGACGTGGGTAAATGACTGAGCCAGGAGTTGGCAATGCCAGTTCGCCAGTTCTCACCCACACAGTTCTAAGTTTTACGTACATGGATTAGGTAGTTAATGAAACATTTAGAAAGTAGCTCAGGGTAGAAATATTTGCTTTTTTACCACAGCCTCAGTTCAGTCATTTTGCCCTAGGGGTGAATCCCTGTAGTATTATTTTACTTAGGTCTCCACTGCAAAGGTTACATTTTTTAATCTTACTGCAAGCTATATGGCCAGCAGATATACATTCATTTGACCTTTGTGTAATAGACCATAATAACTCACTCATGAAAACCTTCCTTGCTGAAAAAATTGGCTACCCGTTACTTTACACAGGAAAAACCATGTTTGGTCAGTAAGGATTTTATGATGATCCCTGTATAAACCTGAATGCCATATAGAACATACATGCATATGATTGACGGTAAACAATTTTACAGTCAAAGCTCCAAATTATGAAGATGTTGTTAAGTCATATAGAGCCCTCACACTGTAACTAAACACTGACAGCTGATATGTTTTTGCAGCTATTATCTAGTATAGTTGTCAATACTGAATTTTTAGTATTAAAGGCAAACTTATGAAACGTTTTACACATATTTTCCTTTTTTGTATACACACGGCATTATGTGATTTTTGTGTAAAGAATCACTCTCTATTATATTTTGTTTCATTTTAGTGTACTGCTGTTTAGAAATAAAAGAAATGTTCAGCTTAAAATTAGTCAGGAAGAATTTACTTCTGTTTCAAAATAATTTACTGTATTTCTGAGTCAGACAGATTGCTTTGATTCTTGTGCCAACTTTGAATTTGCATATATTTAGATTTAGCATCAGAAACAGTTGGTAAGAATGAATGGCATCACTGAACCATTGAAGCTCCCAGAGCCCTCCAGTATATTGACCAAGAGGCAGACTGAGTCAGTGAAGTGCATTTTGCAGGATAAATTTAGCTTGGTGTTTATATTGGCCATTTACATCATGGGCTGATTCTCCAATCAGGTGGAAGCTCCCCTGGAAAACATTGTTAGTAATACCTGTGTACACAACTTGTGAGACACACAGATTGTTTCTGCAGATCTTCCTCGTCACTCTGTATCTGTGTTCACATTTCTTGTTTTTCCTCTTTCAGGGGAGGAAAGTCAGTTGGCCAACATGTCAGCAGCAGTGGTAGAGAATCCCACAGAAGAAAATGGTAAGATAACCCCATGGTGAAATGTTCTTGCTGTAAATGTCAAAGTATTCAAGATGGGGCCATGAGCCAAAATGTAAGCCTGTTTTTGGAGTTGTTGCCCAGACAGAGAGATGGCAATTCCTCTACTGAAAAAGCAGCTTAAAATTTTTATGAATGTTGTGTGCTGTTGTCTTTTCTCCTTATTTTTCCCACCCAGCTGGTCATGATTTCTCTAAAGGATGGGTTCGGGAGAGGGGCTTATTGTGGTGATATCGCATTTTAGCACCTTGATACTGCTTTTGTGGATCAACTGGGGAAAAAGGGAATAATGATAGATTTTTATTACTAACTTAGTATTATTTTTTATTTGCAGGGTGTTTCTGTAAGTTTTCATTAAATTCATTTCTAGTATTGTATATAATTCCCAACATGACATAAAAACCACAGTCCTGAAACTAGTTTATCAGAAATTTGTAGCTCACACAGATTAAGAATTAATATGCTATTTGTCTGCAAATTAATATTTGATGTCTTGATTTGTTCTTACTATATTTGAAGGTGATTTTATATGCTTTTGTTAAATATAATTAACAGTACGGTAATTTTTAAAGATAATCAATAAACCAGGTTGTTTTAGTCTTTTGTTCAATAAACAAGTACAAGATATGATAAACAGGATTTGTTATCACTAGGAGGATCAGGTTTGAGATTGTTTAACACAACACTTTTTATTCATAACATTAATCATGGGAGGCTAAAGGAGAAATGAGTGTGTACCAATGAATCATACAACTTGTATGGCATATGTGATGAACGGCTATTATCTTAGTGATATGCTATGGCGATAATACCATTATAAGAACATTAATTGAAAATGATAGTATACTTTATTCTATTTTTGACCTATGATTATTCCCTGACCACTTAGAGAAAGTAAGACAAACTGTTAAGCCCACATGGCACTGTCCCATATAGTTGTACAGAACAAATAGGGATTTTTTTCAAAGGTAAAAAGCTTTTGTGTTTTATTTTTATCATATTTCATTTTTTCAATAACAGTCATTGGCCGTTACATGGGTTAGGGATTTTTATTGCAAATTGATGGTTACCAGAAGTAATCTCTTTTTGATATGACAACGTTAATGTATGATGAATGATAACAGTCAGGTAAAGTGTGGAAACTATATATCAAACATGTAATCACTGTCAGTTGCTAGGGAAAATGAAAATGGATGGCGTTTAAAGTGGAAAAAATGTGAACAATTTAATTGTTTAATCTTTTTCATATTTTTTTAGTTTGAAAAAAAGAATAATGTTCCACTCAAATTCAAGCCACATACTTAAAGCAGATAAACATCAATATAAAAATGTAACAGATATATATTTATCCTGTCCAAGGCCCTGTTCCCCCATTTTAAGAGTCCAGTGGTCCTCTGTGGATTAATCAGTGGCTGGCATGTGACTGACACATTACATGAATAAATTTTTAACTGATGATCAGTAACACTGTCCCTCTCTTTGTCGCTGTAGGCTTCACAGTGGACCTTGGCTCTCGGCTGGCTATTTTTGAGCAACAGGAACAGGGGGACTTTGGAAGGCCACCCATTGGAAGGACAAAAAACAGAGGGTTCAGGATGTTTCAGGTATTGTGTAACATATGAACGTGGTGTCACTGTGTTTTTTAAATTGACAAAACATGACAAACTGCATTGAAAGCATGTACAGATGTGTATGAAATATAAAGGGTGGAGTTGATGTTTATGTGGGAACTACATAATTCCTACAACTACTGGGAGGTATCATTCGTGGATTTTTTTCAAAAATTAAAACTTGAGTTACACTCTTAGCAGGAGTTAACTCCATTGAAATTGCCTCTTTACAAAAAGAAGTGCACATCTGTATTGTAAATTTTCTCCATGCAGCACAGTACACACTAACGTCAAACTTCAAAGAATGAATACCATCTCCTCCATCAGTCTCTTAAGGCCTTACCTTTCTGTAATAGCCATACAGGTAATGCCTCAGAAGTTCAGTAATACAGTCTGCATACTACGGTTACATTATTTAAGTTACGGTATTCACTTAGAACCCAGCCGTAATCTGATGGCTAGGTGCAGAGAGCAGCGTGAGGGAATATTTTGAAATTATAGATAATTCCCTGGCTTCCTTTGATAGTTCTGCAACATGCATCATGTGCTCTACCAGGTTTTGGCTACTACATCAGCTACAGATGCTCTGATAAGCATACTGTCTGATAAATACATGTACTTCCGGTCATTGGGGATTCCATGTGGGATATTATGCCTTTTGGTTGCTGATCAAAGAAATGGGCAGCCACAATGGTATTGAAAAATTTAACTAGAACTAACATTTAACCACTAGTAAACCACCAGAAAGAATATGTATAAATCTGAAGATAAATCAAAATGACAATTATTGAAAAGATGCTAACTGTTGTTTTCTGAAGTAGAAATTGCTTCATTATAACAGTTAAACCAGTCTCACTCAGCAGAAATTAATACTGTTACCACGTAATTTGGTTTTATAACAACATCACCCAACATCACTACAGATATTGCTGAATTAACGTTGAAGCTCATATCTATGCAATGTAGCCATGGCTTGATAGCATGAAATAAAAACTGAGAACAAAGCAGCTTTGGTCAAGATATAGTGTATCAGATGAGCATAAACTGCAGCCTTCAGGAGATAGGCCTGTAGCTGTGAGCCTGCAATATCTATGAATTTTACCAGGGCTTCCGAGCATGTGTATAATAATTAATGTAGAGATAAATCAGAAAATGTTAACCTGGTTAGTTTTCATCTTGAACCCTACACCAAATAAGCTTAAGGGTTCTTGCAGCCTACTTATATGCTTGAAATATAAATTTCAAGTGAGGAAATGTTGATTTTCGGAACAAATGACACTGGATGGGGAAATATAATTAGAAAAACCAGCTATACTACCAGTTGTGATATCATTTCTGATGACCAATCAGTGGGCTTGGGTGGCAACATTTAGCAGTTACCAGACAGTGACCTGTTGTATCTGGCAGAGGTTACAGTTCATGTCATTAGCATAAGTAGACTGGTCATTGTTATCATTGTAACTCATCTTGAGCTGCTGATTTATCTGCTGTTGTTGCTGATACTGTGGCCAGGGTATAGAATTAAAGTTGCAGAGAAAGCATGGCACCTTGGTCACTGCCTGTGTTATGTAATGATATTGAATACAGGAGAATGTTGGCTTTTCTGTTCTCTGTAAGCTGATTTATTTATTGGTTTTCTCCTGAATTTGGTTCATTACTCTCTAGGGGATGTTCAGTATTGAAACCTTTTGACTTAGAAATAACTGGGACTCTTTACTTGGTCATCTAGAGAAAAGTGTGAGAAAAATTGGTTTTGTCTGTTGAAGGCAAAAGAATTTGAAGAATGATGACCCACTGTTTCACTATATCATAAACTGACATATAATGGCATTCTTCTCTAGTATACAACCAACTATGGCTATGATGAACTGAATGGCTATTTCAACATTCATGCATAGCATGATATCATAAATGTTTGGGTGTGGGATATCTAAATTGCCCTTGAATGTTAGTCATGATATTTCATTTACTTATAATTTTGTATTAGTTACCTGTTCTCTTCATATCTTACTGCATCAAACCAATGCTTTGCACTTTGTTTTATCACAAAAGATGAAAGTTTCATTTTCAGAATCTTTTAATTATGAAAATACAAAGTGAATTGCTAACTTGCATTTGCTGTTGAGTGCAGGTGCATTCCCCCATTAGTATATATTTGCCTAACTTTTGTATTTTGGCGCTTCAATATTGTAGATCCTTTTGCTTCACAAGACCTCTTTTCTTTAAAGGAGAAGGCCTATACCCGGGGGAGGGGGGGTTAGAAAGAACCACCCTTGTTGTCAGGAAAAGGTTCATTCTGGTTTCATCGTAAAAGGTCCACTTTTTGGGGAAAAGACCCCCCTCTGAAATTGCTGGCTATGGGCCTGCCTTTAATAAACCTAACTGGCCAAGAGAGTAACAATGTCAAGTTATAACTAAAAGTTCAGTGAAATGAGGAAATTATGGAAAATTTGGGACTTTTACTTCCATCTAGGAATGGGGCACATCGCCAAATGCAAATTCAATTTATCCAATTCATTGTATATACATATTTAACTTTCAAAAGCATAGTAGGAGTTCACTGAATTGTCTGGTTGTCTGAGGCTATAATGTGAGCTAGCCTGAGTGCATTCAAGCTGTCTGACCCTTTGCTTGCTTGCTAATGCCCAGAAGTAATTATCCAGAATTTACCTCTTGGTGCTTGTTTTTTTAAAGAGAATGTTTTTTAAGGATCTGTTTGATGAGTCATTTAGCATATTACAAATTCATAAACATCTTACTGCAGTGACATAATAGGTGAATGTGCAGTCTTATGAAAAATATTGCACAAACTTAGTACAATGATCAGTACCATTATCAAAACCATGCATTGTATATATGTCTTAGTAAATTAAAATGAGATAGGTGTACAATTTGATATAACCGCATGACAAAGACAGTACAGATAATTTTGTCACCAGTTGCATGTCTTGGCACATTGTGGTGACAGTGAGATTTATCTCCATGGGACACATCTGCTGCCTCTGTCCCAACCAATCTGTCTGGCAAGATCTGATAGAGGTGCACTCCTGAATGCTTCATTTTTGTGGCAATAAAATGCCACAATTGTGCCCTTTCATTACTCTTTACTTACCTCTTGTTAAGTGTTCAGTAGAGACTGAATTGTATCTGCACTACGTGGGATCAATGCACTGGTGTGTTTTTGAAATGTGTTTTATAGATAATCTTTAAGAAAGTAGTAAATTGAAAGCGTGTATTGCATTTACAGGATGTGCGTTTACTTTTATTAAGTCTGGCACACAACAGTTGTATTTGGCATGTACCAAATTTAGCCCCAAGTACAAGTATATTTACCATTAACTACTTTTTAGACATGATAACCTTTCCTACCACTTGTTCACCTTTTTTCATAGGTTTGAGGTTTGAAATGCTTTAATCAAGGACAGGCCTTCCAGTTTACATAACGCACAGCACAATATTGATATCCAATATTGTAACTTTAAAATACATTTTTCATAAAATTAAAGAACAATTGAACATAAAAGGGAATATTGCCTCAAAGGACCATATTTTCTATAGCGTGCATGCCAGTGGGTGGTTTGATACGGTGCACCTCAAAATAGCTGAGGCTATCTGTTCTAGGAGGTATCATGGATAAAAGATCTGTACACTGTTCACAGACTCCTCGCAGGAATATGGATATGCAAACTTTTCAAAGGTCAAAAATTGTGGGAATATCTTGAAGCTGAAATCTTCATCAGATAGCCTCAGTGGTCTGTTTTTACAGGCAGCCCATGCTAGTTGAACCTGATCATGTGTTTCAAAGATATTGATTTCACCTTTGATGAAAAAAGGAAGAACTTAGATTTTGAATGTAAAAAAAAAAGACCAAAAATATATTGTCAAACAATAATTTTAGAGCAGACACTGTTATGTCATACTGTACATGGAGTACTAGATAAGTTAATGATGCATCCACTTGTTGTCAAAACATGTTGATTAATTGAAGGTAAAACTTAATAGTTATTTCGCATTAGCTGAAAGATTTATAGACCAAATTAGTTTCTTTCAAGCAGAAAAAAGACCATTAAGGTGTAATCTTTGACAGTTTGTCAAATGTGCTTTCACATTTTTGGGTACATTTTGTGCAATACCATGTATAATCAAGTTTTCAATGTTTAGCATGCATAAGCACATACTTGACAGCACAGAAAGCCTTTAAAACAAGGTTATATAAAGACCGTAAATTAAGTAAATTTTAAGTTAAGTAAATGGAAATGCAACAAACATTGCATAACAGACTCTCACAATTATAAATCCCCAAATTTTAATGTTTTTTTTTTACAAGTTTAGATATTTAAGTCACATAATGGTTATCAGTGAAAAAAAATTGCTTAATTTTGATTCAGGCTCCTACAGAAAAATGTACCACCTGTGACAAACGGGTGTACGAGATGGAAAAGATAACTGCAGATGATAAAGTCTACCACAAGGGATGCTTTCGCTGTGCTAAGTGCAACAGGACTTTGGGGTAAGTAACTGAATAAATGATGTCTACAACATACACAAATGTATCATAATGCTTTACTCATAGAATATAAGTTTGCTGTTTGTAAGGTATGTTTATTTCTAAGAGGTGGGATTTTATATTTGGGCATGACAATGAATGATAATGGATGAAAATATGATATTTACATTTACTTAAATTTGACAAGTGTGCCTTAGTATTTATTTGTTAATCCTCTCTCAGTGAAATTTGTTTTTGTAATAAACTGGGTTGAAATTCAGTCTTGTGACATGTCACAAATAAGATACTTCACAAAGATTAGGTTACTTCATTAAAACGAACCGCACAAAGCAGCTTAAGAAATATTCAGCCACGAGGCTAGGGAGCAGTTGAGTGCATCCTTTGGCTGTATTATCCCTATGCAACAGTGTGAAGTAATAAAATTTAATGCATAACTGTGAGTCATTGGGGTGTTGACTGACAGCCGTCTATTATGTCTGTGTCAGGATCTCTGTTGGGTGGAAGTCAAGAGCTTGAATAAAGGTGTCCTGTCTTATTCGTCATGACTTTATGTGGAATAAATTAGTATTCTTGAAAGTAATGTCTGGGCCTTATGTGGAAAAGATAGTACTTAGTGGGATTGTTAATCCTTATAGATAAAATTGATATGTAATATTTTTTTAAAACTGATTTGTCAGTGAATCTTGGAAAAGTGACTCTCAAGTTTTATAAAGTGGATTTGGTTCCTATCAGAAAATATATTATTGTTGGAAAGTGAAAGAAAGTGTTTGAACATTTTGAGAAATTACTTTATTGACCATTTAGAGTTGTGACAAAAAAGAGAGGTGTCGTGTTACTTTTATATGGATTACCTTGGTACTGTGGCTCAGCTATTAAGTATAGTAGACTGGGTAAAATAGATTAGCTATTGAATGAATCAATTTGCAATTTACCCATGGCGGATCTTAAGTGCTAACTGTATCACACTGCATCATGAATTGAATAACTTTAATTTTTAGATTGGGCAACTATGCCGCCTTGGAGGGACAGACCTTCTGCAAACCACATTTCATAGAGCTATTCAAAAAGAAAGGTATGAATCTTTCTTCAGCTATGTATATTCATTAAATTTGGTGAGCTTTTAGTGAAAATCCAAATAGGATACTCAAAGCATATGATTACATTTTCTTTGTGAAGAGATGAGTAACTCAGAATTGTCATCTCATCCAGTTTCCATGTATTAGAGAGACTGTAATGTAAATTTTGTCCAGAAGAGAACATTTGTGTTTTTATCAAGTAACAGAACTTCCTAAAAGCAATTCATGAGAAGAAAAATGGACCTTATTTAAGAAATTGATTGTATGAGCTTGATCAATTTTTGTGTAACTGCAGGCAACTATGAAGAAGGTTTTGGCAAGGAAAGACACAAGAACAAGTGGCTGACTCCTACTGGATCTAGGGAGACCACCCCTAGGCCCGAGGGTAAGATTTTGATAGGGAAATGTTTTTTCACCCCTGTTCTAAAAAAAAGAATGGAGGAAAAAGAGAAAAAATGTGGCAGCCAAATATGGTGTCAAAGCCAAGCAGAATCTAAATAATAACGTGGGTATAGTTCTGTCAAGAGTTCAAAGTTAAGCAAGGCATGCCAAAGGGCAACTTACTCTAAGAAATAGAACAGGTAAGGAGCAACCTGCAAGAAAACTGGGAAATTGGTAGCATTTTATTGTGTGGCAGCTTGAAATGTATTAGAATATGTGTAACAATTGTGCTGTTTTTTCATTCATTTTTAAACCGAGTAACCTTCTGTACACTTAAATAACTACGTTCTGTTTACTTTAGTAACATATCATTTATTCTTGTATAATCTTTACTTGATTGGTTTGCTTGCTTTAGATATCATTTAATCTGTATTTGTTTATGTCATCTGTCTTACCTTTGTTTAACCAGGGTGCATGTTAAAGATGGGTTGTAAGCAGAAACATGTTTACTTATACTTTCAGTGAAGATATACTGCTTTGTGTTGTGTTTGTAAAATTGTTTATGTTATTGCCCTTTCTACTCTTAAAAATAATGCATGAAAATGTGTTTCCCTAAAGATATTATGCATTCTGAGTGAAAACTGATTTTCTTCCTCTTTGCTATTTAAATTGTAATGACACTAAAGGGATCTGCTGGTTTTGGGTTATATCTTGAAGTGGTGTCCAAATGCATGGGTCTTGTCTTGCAGAAACCAAGCATGTGCCAACAAAGCATGTTGCTGAGGAAAGCAGGCGTGCATTCAGTAGTGGGAACCGTAAGCCTAGTGTAGACCGTGAAAGCAAACCCAGTGTTGGGTATAATGACAGGCTCAGAGAGGAAACTACCCATAAGCCTCGTGTAAAGGATGATGAAACTGTAACTAATGGCAGAAGACCTAGCTATCAGGATAAGCATAAGACTAGTGTTGTTGGTAAGTGTTATGAAACCTGGAATGTAATCCCATGCTTTACCTTTGAGTCTGATATGGTGTTTGGATTGTTCATATTATTACACTCCTCCTGTTGCCAATTAGGTAACAGGATATACTTGAGTCTGAAGACTGGGTTGCTTCAGTCCCAGGCTCTGTTATCAGTTGGGAGAAATGTGGTAAGTATGGGAGGGACTTAAAACATTTTTGAATCATCAAAGATACAGTCAGGTATTTCACTGTCAACCATAGCGAATAAAAATGGATTGCTCACCTGGCAAGCTTCACCATTTCTATTACTGAGTCAGAAAAAATAGTAAGGTTGCATTTATTATTGCAGAAGTTGCAGAAATGAGAACCTTGGGGTGTTTATTATTATTATTATGCTCAGATTATACAAATCAAGTACATAAAATAATGTGCAACACTTTTATAATCATCATTATCCAGGATTCACATTCAAATTATTTTCCCTTCTTTTTCATCCATGGTGTTTTACATTGTCATTCAATGTAGCACCCTGATGGTGTTGGGTATGTGTATTCCATGTTGTATTCTGATCTCTGCAGATGTCTTCTTCAAGACTCATCGTTTTTTGGTGCCATTTTGCATCCATGCTTGAAATCGTGAAGACTAAATGTACAAAGAAAACAGTATTCATATTACTTGTTGAAAACAGTTGATCCCAAACTGTTTACAGTTTTGTATTACATCCAGCATTGTATGATATATATATACCTCATTCGGTGTTGACTGTTAATTGTGAAACTAGATTTGCAAATTGAGATTAAGTTACATACAATAAATGTAACTCGAGGCTTCTTAATACTCGTGGGAAACTTTTTTTTAATGTGTAAATTTTGCTTGAAATGTTATCATTCATCTCTTGTTCTTCCAAAACAAAGTTTGTACATTACATTCTGCAATTATTTGTGATTGAATATAGAAGTGTTCTTACAGTCCATTAAAATGATACTCAGACACCATGACTCAAAGTGGATCCTTTTTATTGCAACAGAAACAATTTAAAACAATTGGTGTCCAAGTGAGAAATTTGTGAATGTAGACTTTGATACACATCTTTTGCTAGGTCATGGCAATGTGATATTTGCCAAGATTGGAATGAAACTGTTTATTACACTCACCATGTCAATGTCATTTTACTGAAATGCTCAGGCATTTTCTTCCATTCCCAGTGAACATGCACACACAAAAAACAGTATTTATTAAATGCCTTAGATGTGATCTGTTATACCAGCGTGACATATAAGTATATATTCAAGTGTGACTGTACTCAATTGTAAATGTACCTGATCGTCACATTGTTAATAAAAACATATATAGAAATATGTAGAATGTTCTCAAGAAGTATATGTTGACTTCAATGCCTCTCTGTCAGTGCACATGGTGCCTCCCTGGTATAGAGCAGTGCATAATCTCTCCGTCTCAGCTGCTGGCTTCTTCAGTCAGGAGAACAGTGAAGGTAGACAACAGGAACCTTGGGCATCAAAATATCACCATGATCATAGTTAACTTACTTCGCCATATGTACAAAATTATTTGACCTTTGATGTTAGGAGCAATTTTTACTGAATTTAGTTATGGTAATCCAGTATTTGGAATTTAAATGCTGAGCTGGTTTAAAAAATGACTTCAGTGTAGAAATTAACTGATGAGCAATGACTGTTTTTAATACTTCTAGTTATTCATATTTTTTCATTTATGTCAGCACATATATTTTTAAGAGAGCTTGAGGTAACAGATGGTGTTTTGATGCTCAGGCTCTATGGATAGCATGTTATAGCATCCAGAATGTTTGTCTTTATTGTTTTTGTTACTGCATGTTTGACATTTTTTCATTAGTTCCTTTTGACACCATGTTTGAAAGCACTTGCTGGAATGTTGAACTGCTGGTCTTCAGAAATCAGGCAATCTTTTTTTAAAACAATTTCAATGAATAGCACAAAAGATGAAAAAGAGGATATTTGTACATTATGGTACTATTTATAAATAAAATAGTATTTAATATATCTATGGCACATTGCTACAATGCAGTTATTGACTATAAAAAAGTGAAGGTTTTAAACATTTATCCATATATCAGGTGAGATTTTAAAAAATATTTTTATAACATTTAGTAAGGCATGCCTAAATGTACTTATACTGTTTTATTATGTTGAGATGTGCTGTTGATATCGTAGTCACATTTTAAGTTAATACTTTTGAAACAACATGTAATTTACATGTTTTTCTCATTTTTTTATATGTGAATGACATTTACTTTATTACTTTTTTCTGATTGCCCTACAAGGTACTGTTATGTGTAGATTTCTTTATGATAGTATAGGTTGCTTTATCTTATAAAACATCACTGGTTTACTTTTGTTAAAGCTTTTCACAATTTTTCAAACTTACTAAATGAAAACGTTTGGAAATACAATGCAGATGGTTATTATGAACCATACATATGCATACCCATTGTTCATATTAAATATCTGCAAATGATATTTCACATCAAGCAGTTGTCTGGATTTATGATTAAATTGTACAATATTAGTCTTCAGTATTAAAATATAATCAAGATATTTGGGTCACTAACAGTTTAAAAATTATGTTGACCAAATATTGCTGGCAGTATAGATAATAAATACTTATTTTCTCTAGATGATGAGCTTGATGCTGGCCTGGTTCATGCTTCAAGAATTGAGATTTCCAATGGTAGATACGACACCAATGGACATGCAGCTGAGGAGGATGAGATTGAATTGCCAAGAGATGACGCTAAGTCTAAGAGGGAATCAGTAAGAACATACTATTAGTACTCATTTACATTTAGTTGGTTTATGTGTGCTTAGTTTGTTAGATTTAAGAGAACAGGAGACAAAGGTAAATCAATTCTAAGCCATTGTAATGACATCTTCCGGCGGCTTTAATCAGCAGACGTGCTTCAAGTCGCCTGTATAAATAATATAAAGTAGCAAATTAAATAACACATACCTTAGCATGTCTTTATTTTGTTATTTAAAACGGTACATCTTTAAGTAAAAATTTTCACATTTTTAATAATTGTTATTATATTGTAGTTCCACTTTAAGAACATGTCATCCGTGAAGTCTATGTGGGAGAGTGGAGAGGTGCACCCCAGGGAGGATGACATCCCTGAGTACAGACGCGACCTCCAGGAGGTCAGCCAAACCAGCCGCCCCCGGGGAGCCCTGCGTGCCAGGTATGAGATGGCTGTGAAGGAATCAGAGGTGGCAACTGCCAGGAAGGTAGCACCTGCCAAATCTGTACCAGACCTCAGGGACAGCCCAGACAGGGAAATGTCCCTACCATCCTCCAGAGAAGGCTCTGTCAGCAAGGATGATATGGATGATCTCCCTAAACCAGGCAAAATGAAGAGCCTGTTGGCCAAGTTTAAGTCCATGGAAAATGTCAGCAAGGATAAACCCCTTGCCCCGCCCAAGCCTAGGAACATCACTCCCCCCAGGGAGGCATCACCTAAACCTAATCGCTACCGATCGATAAGTAGATCTGATTCAGAGAAGGAAGACCAGCCACCTCTACAGACTAGAGAAATCATAAGATCTGATGACCAGGTGGATGATGGTATTCCTCACACTTCTTCAATGGCCAGAAACATGGCTGCTAAATTTCAGCAGATTGAGCATGAACACGAGGTGGCTCAGGCAAGAGATAGAGTTCACTCTACTTCTTCACTCAGATCTAGGAAGTCTAGCACAGCTGAGGAGGATGTGTTCCATGCCACGCCTGTTGTCAGCCACATGGAACCCGTGGAACCTGCAAAATATGACAGACAAGATGATGCACTCAGCCCAAGATCTCAGTACTCTGAACCAGAGGAATATGGAGAGGAAGACGAGGAAGAGCACTACATAAATGATCAAAGTGTCGAACAGGAATACATAAACTACTCAAACGAGCAGCCAGATGAGTATCAGGGCAGCTATGAGGACCACCATGATTATTCCCATGAGGAATATGAGCAACAACAACAACCTGATGAACAACTATCATACAACAGGGAGTATGCAGAGAATAGCTATGATAGCTACACTGAGGAACAGTTAGAAGACATGGCACACTACAACAGCAATAATAACAACAACAATGCTTACTATGGACAATACTACTCCCAATATACAAGCTACCCAGAGCAGTATGATAATTACATGGATTATACTCAGAATTCTCATTTCTATCCAGGCTACTATGATGAAATCAGTGGACAGTATGGGTATTACAATCCCGACACGCAACAGTTTCTTCCATATGACCAATGTGACCAATATGCTGCCCAGTATGGTGATCAATATGATCAATATGTTCAATATGAAGAGCAGGGCACACCAGATCAGACTGTATGTGAGCCACAAGTACTACCAGCTTCAGAAAGATCGCAATCAGAAATTGATGCCTGTGTATCAGTGGAAACTGTACAGCTAGCAAGGAAGGGAGAGTCCATACCCCAGCCAATGCATAGGAAATTAGATGCTCAGGTGGTTGAGAGGCCCCCAGAGAAACCAGCTAGAAGCAGCAGCAAGTCTGTGCTATCAAGGTACCAGAGAAATGTCAGCACTGATGCAACAGAGCACCCTCCTGCATTTGGTAGTTATTTTGGACATCCTGCTAAGTAAATGGAGACTTAGATTGAAAGTTTGAAGGTGAGGTGAAGAAGTTTGGTGTGAACTTTTTGGCTGAAATGTTAGAAATTACAGAAGGCTAACCACTTAAATAAACCAATGCTAATGGTTCCAAAATTTTCTTATGCTCTTCTTGAAGAAGTATGGCGAAGTTTGTAATTTTTCTATATTATTCTGATTGGTCTTTAAGCTTTGACATATGGTGTTTGGATGAGCATTATTTCATTTAAAAATTTTTAAAGATGAGATGATTTTTCTAATCTTAGGTTGAAATCGATTTAAAAACCATTTTTGCTTATGATTTTTCAGATGTGCCTTAAAGGAGGACATTGGTAGGACATTGCAGGGAAAATGAGATGATTACGTGAATGAATATGAAGTCTTTGCCTTGGGGCAGGAAACTGCCTTGTTACAGAATATAAAACTATATGGAAGCTTATCTGCTGGCAGTGTACTGGATTATACCAGAAGAAGCTCATAAAATAGAGATTTGTTGGCACTTAACTGAAGTCCCTCTTTTTACCATCGGGCCACAGAATCTTTAACCTTTATGAACATATTATATTCTATCATGTATGTTATCTGCTATTTGTACTCAAGCCTTGGCATTATTGATATTTACATATATTATAGTATTACAATATCATAAATAAAAAGAGAATTCATAAATCCAGTCAAAACCTAATATGTTGGGATTTCAAGAATAGCTCTTAAAATTAAATCTTTTTCCTGACACAGGTGCACTAACCTTGCAAAATTTAGACACTTTAACTGTCACTCCTTTGTCCAATGTAAAATCCATGAACATTGTTCCTGTTTTTTTGAAACCTCTGAATGACAAGAACTACAAGTGGTTTCATGAATTGAGTATTGTGACATTGTGTGTAGTAAGTGATTACTGAAAGTAGCACTCCACGTGTATATATACATATATATTAGGTTGTGAATAGGCATATAAATAGCAGGACTAAACAGCCAAGCAGATGAAAAGAAACAATATGCAGCTTTTGTTGCAGATTACAAGAATTACTGGGTCATTAGATTGAACTTGTTGATAAAGGAAGATAGTAGACCAGGTGAATTGATTATAAATCAGATTTGTCTGATAGAAAGGGCTTCCAACTGTTTGGATAGGAAAAGAATGCCATCATTTTACTGGGAGAAAAACCATTTTGCCCCAGTCAATAATTTGAAGAACATTCCCAGATTCAGACTTAATTCATTTTTAACTACTGGAATATAGGATCTGAAGGATTGTCAGATAAGTGTTGTTAAGTTTTGACATCTTTCCATCCATCAATTATATTTAATCTATATCTGAAATCTAAAAACAACACTACTAGCCAAAAGTCTTGATGAGCAGATTTTTTGTTATCTATTGCATCATGATCATAATACTTCATTACTTTACTAAGCACGCTCATAACATTAGTTAAACATGTTCTGGAGTACAAAGGATCAGTGTAATTTTTTTTTTCAAACATACTCTGAACTGTTTATTTCAGTTTAAATAATATTTGTAGATTTTATGTAAAGCTGCTGAATATCACTACATATTGTGGATATGTTGAGTTATTTGAAATTTTGAATCTATATTTACACCTATTTATATATGATAAAAGTGGAAAGTTTATATATAATCTTGATAACTTTGTATATTTTCTTGCACAAGTAGGATATTAAAGCTTTTTGTAGCCTTTAATTTGAGTATGATGACAGAACACAAACCTTGCCAAAGGTAAGACCTAATTTTTGCCAAAAGACACAGTGCTGAAAACTTGGATCAGTTTTGTGGGAGTTGAAGGATGCAATAATTGCCAATATGAACAATAAATAGTGAATTGTGAGTACTTTTGCACTGTAAGCACAATTCGTTAGGAGAGACTAAGAGAAGACAACTTACTGATGCTTTTATATAGAGTAAAAGCACAATGCCAAATGCACAAATATTGTTATTGATGATCCTTTTGTCTACAATCCTCATTTGACAGTATAGTATAATGTACAGAGAGCTTTGCAAACATCTGGAAAGTGGTCAATTCTTTGTCAGACTATTGATGTAAAGTGTTAAGATCTTTCCATTAATGGAAACTGAAAATACTGCCCTGCAGTAAAGATGGGTGCATTATAGGTTAAAAAAAGGTGCGTCCAATAATACAATATTGGTAAACTGGTGCAATGCGAAGGTTTTTTCCATGTGATATGTGAAGTTATTAGCTGGTCTCTGTATGGTAAATGTACCTTAGGTAGCAAATCTAGTGACGTGCTGTGCAATACATTTCCAGTCTTTTACTGGATACTTCAAGGGCAGTGCACTGGTCAGCCAATGATGTTCTACATTAAAATCTCAAGATTACAAACCCATCTCAACTGTCAAAGGGATGGGAAGCCGTCTCCCGTTTGGTGACTGTGGATTATTTGTACCTAAGGTACAGTTTATCTGTAAAATACTAGATCTCTCATTACATTCAACTATAAAAGGTTAGAAATATTAACCAAGAAATGAGAACCTTTAGTCTCATTTCTGCAGACCAGATTTTCACTCAAATATGCGCTCAATAGTATATGTGAATATGCTGGCAATGTGGTCAAACATCTCTTGCTTATATTATAGAATTTCAACTTCCTTGCATATCACAAATATCTCTATTACATTTGCTCGCTATAGCCTGTATAACTTCATTAGCTCACATTATACACACACAAATAAAAACGAAGACCAGATGGTCAGTGAAGGGGTAGAGGAAGGAATAAAAGACAGGATTTCACAAAATTGGTGTTGTGTTTTTCCTCTACTGACCATTTTTACTTTGAACAAAGATTTCCTAGATATGTATAAATCACCTGTAATTTTTAGAAAACCATATATAGGATATCGACTCAAATTTTTCAACAAAAGTAAAAAAAAATACATTTTTGAATGTTGTTGCAGGAACATGGGTAGCCAGAATAGAGAGGCCTTTTTCAGGGATGAGACTTGTAGCTCCCAAAAAGTTGAAAATCTGCCAATGGGAAAAATCTCATTACTGTTGTAAGCACCAACACCAAATAAGTCTGACGTGCCAATAGTCGGAAAAATTTCACGCCTGTATTTTAATATAATATTTTAAAAGAAGAGGTTTATGTGAACAATAAGTCAAACTAGTGCTATGATACTTTTCATGTTGACAAACAAAATGACAAATAAATCAGCATTTGAGGTTACGTTTATTTGACACAATTGGCCATGCATTTCACTGCTAACAATAACCCTTCAATAAAGGGCAACAACGTCTTCCATATTGATGCCAGTAAGAAATGAGTAACTGGCTCGATGCATTACAAATATTCCCTCTGTATTACCATTATATAGTTGAAGCTTTCATTTTCCTTCCTCGTGCTCCAATTTCTTTTTAATCCACCCTCCCCCAAAAAACACAGCAGTAAGAACTGAATAGCACACAAATTACCCTCTTAACATCATATGGTTATGTTTGTATGAAAAGCGAGGTGAAACCTTCAACACTGGGTGTGAATTAAAGCTACCAACTGGAAAAAACTGTCCACTTTACCTAGAGAAATGCCCCTAAAATACCACTCAAAAGTTTCACTTGAGAAGTTTTCAATGTTAATCTTTGAAATTCACTTCAATAAAATATTTCAGCTTAAATTTTCATAATACCTAATACAACATCATATCAGTCCCTGTGTGACTTGTGTTATAGCAAAAGAGTAAAATAAAGAAACAAGGCAATAGTCCTGTTTTAATGTCTATTCATAATACCGATTCTCCATAATTCTTCCCCACTTTAAAACATGGATGTGAATTTGTTTTGCCAAGTCTTCGTGATATAACATAGTCAATGACATGTGTAAAGCATTCTGAACTGGGATAACTGAACTGATGTCAATGTATTGCTTAAAAAGCCCACCTTGATAAATATAAATAAAGATCATACTAAATCATGTTTCTCTGTTAACAAACTCATCTGCAATTCCTTTTCTTCCAACCTGCATTTCACCAACTACATGAACAAATAAGGCTGCTCCGTCTTGCCTTAAAGCACCATAATTTTGTCTGACATCACCAAATGACACACACATAGTCTGTTTTACAATCTGTCTATTCTCAGTTGATACTACTACATCTATATGAATTAGACATGAAGTAATGTAAATATATGCATTAGATTACAAGTTACAGAATTCAACTGGGGCATTTCTCTAGGCTTATTTCCATAAAATAGAAGCCAAAACTGTTTCATCATTGAAGTCCTGAAAAATAAATATTACATATAGATGTTTATCATATTCCGTGAAAGTAATTTATATGTCTCACATTAACAATGTCTTCTACAGAAACTTGCACACAGAATTTAATTAGCCAAAGAGCATGACAAACAGTAACTTCTGGCTTTTTTCTTACAAGAACAGTGTTAAACTGCAAAATAAAATAATTGGTTCTATCACTTCTTTATTTGTTCTCGCACAAGGTTATTCTCATTGTACAGCATTTAACATGACTTAGTACCCAAGTACTATATGTTCATTACTAGTCTTTTATTTAAACCTAATCTTACCTTCTGTCAACTGCTGCTGTTCTGTAAACTGTGCTGGGGGTCTGAGTTGGGTCTGAAAACCTGGGGGTGGAGTCTGCACCTGGGGGGGCCACACCTGGGGGGCTAAACAATACACAAAACAACATATACCTTACTGACTTATAAAAAATCTAAAATTTTATTTTCAAGAAAAGCATCAAAATTTTAGAAAAGTTATTAGTTCTTGGTAATAATATCAGAAATTGCAACTATTCCACTGACCTCTGAAGGGAAACTGTTGTACAAATGGCAATCTGTGATTATGATTAGGAGAGGACTCTATCTCTGTTAACTGGTGGAGAGATTTCATCCAGTGTGGTGGACTCTCAGATAAAACATCACCTAAAAACATATGTCAAAATTTAGCTCTGAAATATCAATTTATATTCTTAAACATTTCAACCCTACAAAACCCATGTTGAAACCCACAAAAATATTTTCCATTACATAAAATATTTTAATATGGTGACTGTTAGGAAATAAACACCATCTAGACTTTAAACAGTGAAACAATACATATAGTGAACAATAAAAATACACCACAGTTCATAACATGCTGCCAGAAACAAAACTTCTATTCAAAGAAACTACACAAATTACTAAGCTGCTTCAGTCAAAATGAACACTACTTCCTTGAAGATAAAACGACAGAACTATGCAAAGTAGAGAAAAGTCTGATGTCTTACTGGTGGTAATTTTACCAGATGTGACTATAGCTGGGTCGGATCCTAACCAAGATAAATCTTGAGAGGATGCAGAGGATTCTCGCCAATCTGCAGAAGTAGAAAAGTACTTCATCTCTCTAGTTCTTTTTTAACTTATACTCTATGTCCAAACGGCATTTTGATTGCATGCAATATTATTATGCTAGCCTCTTATAAGAGGACAGGTTGTGAGGGACCCAATTTTTTAAATTAGGCATAAAGTTTGCATAAAAAGATTCATTTAAATACTTTCTAAGAATGACATTCACACCGTTATGAATACTATACTAATAGGTGAATTTAGTTTAGCAGCCAGTCAAAAAAAAAAAAAAAAAAAATGAACACAAATTAGGACAGTGAGTAGCATACAATCTAAAAGAGACAAGTGAACTTTTGAAAAAACAAAAACTTCTGAGAGAAGTTAACAAACTATATCAAAACTATTTCTTTTTAAAGTAGAAGTGACAGGTTACTTTTCACTGAAACCACAAAATTATTCCAATGGCATGAAACAAACTAAAGCCTCTGCAAGTCATATTTGCCTGTCACTCTTCCACTTCAGTAGAAATAGTTTTAAATCACCTTTAATCAATTCCATCTGGACCAGACTTTTTATTCTATTCTGGATTCCAAACTGAATCTCATTAAAAAAGAAAATGCCAATAACAAACAACAACAACTGGTTTACACATATTCACTTACTGTTATGTTGTTGTTGTTGTTGTTGTTGTTGCTGTTGTTGTGGCCTGGGTTGTTGTGTGGTTCGAGTCTGTTGTGGTTGTTGTGGAGCACCAAAACTTATATTGATATTTGGTAATAATGCTCTAAGTCCATCTTGAAAGTCTTTGCTGAATGCATCACCCTAAAAACCATAGAATTATGTCTAATTATCACAACAAAATAGGTAATCCCCTTGCTGTAGAGAAACGTTCCACACACATGAAGCACAATCATTTAAAAAGGTTGGATTAGTCATTACATGTCTGATTGTTAAACGATCAGAAACTGATAAGAACTGTTTAAGAAACATGCACAAATATATCTAAATAAACTTACTGTATTTTTGTTTCCATTCACATGATCTCTGTTAGCTGGTGCCCCTGCAGCCATCTCAGGTACTGTCCCACTAAATGGGTGTGACAGAGGGGTTTGAATAGGCAACTGCATTAGACCCAGCATTCTACTACCATTAGGATCTGTATGAAACAGCAATCAAGCAAAGGTTTAAAGAATGCAGGATATACAAGGACATTGCTGGCTTGGTTAAAAATCTAATATTGGCCTTAAAAGGAAATACTAATTTTTCCTGCATAATGAGATTATTCATAGTAGTAAATGAACTTGACACAAATCAACTTGCAATGCTTGTTAACAATTGTACTTTCTGTTCATTGTGTATACATTTACCTAATTTTCCAGGCATGCCATAATGTTGAGGGGCAAACCCTGGTGGAAGACTTCTAACTGCTGTTGGCTGTGGGGGGATGAACTGTCCCTGCTGAGGGGGTGCTGTATGAGGAACTTTCAGAGCCGTTTCTATCTGTATCAGGTCTGCAAGAGCTTTGGATGACTCATCCCACGGATCGAAACCTACATTAAGATCAACACCTTACCACTCAAAAGTGAAGAATAGTTCATAATACATTACAGTCTATGTTATATAAACCAAATTGCTCACTGCTTTAAAATCATTTCAAAGGTCAAGTAGAGGCTTTATTCATCCTGATCTGTATAGCATTGGCACGAAACATTCTGTGCAATTTTATGGTTGAAGTACTTCATTCAAGTAAGCAAAAAATTTAATTTACCTAGATCATCATCATTTGTCGCTGCAGAAGAGGAAGAAAAACCAAAAGCTGCACTCCAGTCTGTTGAACTTGAAACTGCAATTGTCTCGGGTATTTCTGTTGTGGGTACAGAGTCTGAAACAAAGCCGCCATTAAGAAAATTGTTGCTACACTATTTTTGTACACAGTGAAGCTAAATAAAAAGGCCTTTTACAAAGAAATTTTATAAATTTTGCTAAAAAGAGTAACAACAAAGTTTTGCAATCTATACAAGATTGTGAAGTTCTACATGATAGAGAAGCCTCTGGGGGAGCTGAGAGACAACAGTAACCCAGTTGCTACATAACATGAAATTCACTTATAAGGACTACTTAACCAATGAAAGTAAAATAAAAGAGACATATTATCAAGAAAACCTGTGTACCCACCTGTGTGTTGTGATGGTAACTGTGGTTTGGGGTTTCTGTTTGAAGAAAAGCCACCACTGTTTGTAAACAGGGACAGACTGTCAGACTGTCCAAAAGGCAATTTTCTGGCAGCTCCCAGAGACAACTGGGGGTGTGGGTGGGGGTGTGGGGGCATCTGTGAGGGGGGTGACGACTGCTTTGATGGTATATCTTTTTGGCCTACACTGTCTTTAGATTTACTGCAGTAAAAACAATGCCATGTATTATATTTAATGTTCATCAATGCATTTAACATCAAAACAAAATTAGTTTGCCAAGTCTGCTATAAATGTTATCCTGCTATGATCATTACCAAATAAGAAATTCAATCTATTTTGACCAATTTTTTTTTTCAGTCGTTAATTTCACCTTTCATTATTTTCATTTGACGGTTTTCTTCTATGATTCCCAGGAGCTTTGTTCTGTGTTGGTGAAGGAGCAGGAGGAGGAGAGTCAACAAGGTTTTCTGAAGCCTGTGTAGAACTAGATTTATTGCCATTCGTAAGACGCTCTGGTTTGGCTGTACTGTGTAGTGAAGGCCAAGCATCTTTGCAAGTTGAATTTGGTGGGGGATTTGTGGGTGCTGACTGGGTAGAAGATGGCTGCGTCAGTGCTGTTGGGGACACAGTCTTCTTTCTGCTACAATTATAACACAATAAATGGGGGCGTCTCGATAGTCCGAAGGTTCATTGGTCCGAAAAACGGTAACATTTTCATCGGTTTTTTAATCAAGGGTTCATTGGTCTGAAGGTTCTGTAGTGAACATTCGGACCAATGAACCTTTGGACTATTGAGCCTTTGGACTATTGCTACAGCCCCCAATAAATAATTATAATACAATATTTGTTTTGTAAAGGAGAGTCTATTCATTTTATTTTAGAAGAATGCAGTTTTTTTTTCTAAACTTAAATCCTATGTAATATTCCCACCTTTGCTGTCCTGTTGCAGCTGGTTGCACTTTCCCTACAGTAGCCTGTTGAGCAGCATTGATACTATTCAAGTAGCCTTCATGTAACTTTTGTTCATACTCTTGATGTTTTCTACAAAAACAAGTGAAGATGTTAAACTCCAAGAAATCTCTATGTTTGAAAACCAAGAGCAAAAGATTACATAAACACAAAATACTACAGCACATCATTTAAACACAACTGTTTCTTCAATCCATACGTCCAGTTGTTCTGGAATAAACTCATACTAATTTCAATTAATATAAAAACGTAAAATTACTTTGCTGTATTTTTATTAAGTTTTAAATGTTTCCTGATTCATATCATCATAACAAATCATCATTACCCTTGTTGCATTTCTTCTTTGGTAAAACTCGCAGCTTCCTCCCCAAGTTCATGTAAATACATGCAGTCCTGGAAAGAAATTTATAAGCTGAATTACACAAATACAAGAATTTCCAGAAGACACCCATCATTATTGTTTAACATTAATGGTCAAATCAAAGTTGGCATAAAAAAACTGAAATAAAATAATAATTGGAAAAAACACACGCTTACCGGCTTGGGACATTGTGTCCCTTTTAGGAAGTGACTACAATATTTAGTTGTCCCCAAAGAAGCTTTCAGTGTCCTCCCATCAACATGCACATTGTTCACGGTCTGTATGGCTCTTAAAGCATCCTCTGGTTTGAGATATGTCACATACGCACTTGCACTAGGACCCTTAAATAAAAGAACTTACATCAATCTTTTTAGCCTTTTTTCATTTTTACACATCTGACTACAATGGGTAATTCAAGCTCAATTTTCATTTGAATAATTCCATTCTGTGAGATTAACAATTTCCCTTATGTTTGAAACTGTAATAAATTGTCTTTGGAGTGATTATATAATAACTTAAATGACCTACAATTTTCTTTTTGATGTTACTTTCCTAATGTAAAGTGTTTGCATTGTTTCATTACCTGCGCTCCTGCATATGAAGTACTTTGATTGATCACCACTTTAATGATCTTTCCAAATTTTCCAAAATATTCATGCTTTTTAAGAACCTCTGGCTCTGCTAGCCTCTGGGAAAGGCCAACAACAAAAACAAGATTCTTCTGCACAACTCTGTGAAAAGAAAGATAAAAAGTTAAAACCTTCAAAACAATAAAGCACTTTGTCAAATATAGTAGTTCTTTACATATTGCATATTAAGACAATTTACACCACTCTTACACCAAACTGCAAGAAACCATAGTACTCGTATTAAAAAATAGTGTAATAAGTATTTTTAACACTGTGGTCTCTGACAAGATGTGTTTACTGACTTTTTTCTTGTGTTTAACAAAAAAAAAAAAAAAAAGTGATCATTTTTACAAACCTGACATTTGCCAAGTGTCTTCTGTTTTCTGCTGCTTTTTGTTTGCGCTGAAGGTCTTTCTGGCGTCTTTCTTTCCTGATCCTTTGCAACCTGACAAAAAAAGAATCTCCTTTTAAGAGATAATATTACCAAATATGAAACTAACAAAGTTGGCAATATGAAAAAAAGTATAACCAATACAACTAACAAATGATCTTCCCTTAAGATGAGGAAAAATAATTACATTATATAAATAACTGGTAGCTAGTACCCTGGCAAGTAAGAAGATAATTTCACACATCAGTTTTGATCCATTTTTCACCTTGAATGACAAATGGAGCTTCAAGTGACAACTGACAATAGTTTTGTTCTCATAAGAGACTAAAATAACCCAGAGGACTTCACAATTCACTTTATCTCTACATCTTTGATCAAAGAATTAAATTATGAATAAATAATACCTGTCCCTTGCTTACTTCAAAATCCATATTTCATTCACAAGTGCCAATACCAAATATGTAACACATTTTAAGCCAAATATCAACCTAAACTTCTACATAATATTAAGTTTTCAAAATATCAGCTATATGTCAATAGTACACTTTGGAACTATTTTTCACATTAATAAATGATTATCTTTCCAGTGACAGCATAAAAATGGTAACATAAGAGCTGATGAAACTGTGAAGTCATACAAATGCAAAAACTACTGTACATTACTTGTTATATCACTTGAAGCCTTTAACCAAACTGTCAAGGACTCAAAACAAAGCAAACACACTTTCAACTGTTAATGCTCAGATTAGGAAAATAAACCATGAACATTAAAATAAAGAAAGCAATTTACACAATGGTTCAATTACAAACAATTATCTAAGAAAAAAGCATGAAATACTAGCGAGAATAGTAATTACAGTCAGGAACTGGCAATTGAGGCATTCTGTCACTACATTTGTTATAATGACTAGTGTTTCATAAATACAATGTTCTTTTTATGCTTAGAAACCTTTCCATCAACTGTCCTGATAAGTTGCATTGCTGCCATATATATATATATATATATATATTCTTTTCCTGCTCCAAACACCTTAAAATGATGCTATATATTCTTTTCATATTTCAAACACCAATGCCTTACATGTTATCAATAGGTATGTCATTAACTTATTTTAATCTAAAACAAAATGACTTACTCATCTTCTGTCAAAGGTTTGAATTCTGCAGGGTCTTCTGGGTATTGCTATAATAAAGAAATTTATTCATAATAAATATATATTTGTATCTAATTGGTATGTACAATAGCAAAATTTAACTATTGGTACAATATTTAAAAAAAAAGTCCAACAGCTATGAAAAGATATGAAGCCTCAAGTCTTTATTTGAAGCTAGATCAATAAAAGTTATCTTTTAAACATTTTGAAAAATTATTTATATCTACATGCTTTATACTTTATACTATCAGACAAATGACCTACCTTTCTGCAAGCAGGGCACAGACCATTTTCATCTGTTCTGATACGATGCCAACAAAAACGACAAATCTGAAATCAAGAAACACATTTATAAATATAGCTAACTAATAACGTATTGGAAAATATCTTTCTTCAATGATAACAAAAGTGTGCAAGCAATAATAGATTGAAAGCTAGATACTCTCTAAAAGGAGAAGGAAATCATGGTGATAAGAATGAAAGCACCTTGGCAACTATGCAGATTTACCGCTCAAATTAACTGCAACTATTACTGTTTTTTTTTTAAATCCATAATCCAAATAGTTAATTTCTCATGGACAATTTGCTGTGATTAGTAATAGATAGACCATGAAATACATAATCCTGAGATAATCAATAATTATGTGCCTATGCTTTTTTCTGTGTTATTTTTCTGAGCATATTAAAAATGCCACAAGCTTTCAACTGATCATCTCATGAATGAATGAATGCTTTGAAGCAATCTGTATCACTCTTCTAGGAAAACATTCTACTTTTTATACTGGAGACGTAAGACATAGCATTTATGCTATTATAATGTTTTGTTAACTTAAAAATAAGAATGCCTTTCCAGTTGTCGATTCTTATACAAGCGATTTGACAAAGACTTCATTGTTATGCTATCGGCTGGATTTCAGAAAATACAATATATCCCTTTACTATAAACTATTAACAGAGTTGAAAACCATACCACTTACCTGATAACCACAGGTGCAAGGGAAAAAGTTAATGTCATCAATCTCCAGAGGTTCCATACACAGAGGACACTGAAATTATAAGAGTTATGATTTATTTTAATATTGATATTCCGGAACACTGTGAACAATTAATACATTTTAAGTCATACAATTAAATAAGATACTCTAGTTTGCCTACATAAATATCTAAATGAATACAATAAAACACAAGCAGGGAGTATTGGTGAAAATGAAGACCACAATGTATCAATACTAACTGCATGCTATTCTCAGTGTGCCATTTTTTATCATAAAAAATTTACACATGTATTTATAACAAATGGTTTCAGAATGATCCATCCATATGATGCAGCAAATGTAGTTGTATAAATATATCTGTTATATACCAAACATGTATATATCCTTCAACCATGGATGCATCTGTAAGGCACATATTACAGTGTAATTAAGCACTTAATTACTTATTTCCTTGATACGTCCACATTCCAAGTGAGGACAGATCTTATCATTTGCAAATGTTGTCCCTGTCAAACTACTTGACCTTACTTTGCCTAAATATGCTGTTATGTTGAAATAGCAGTAATTGTAAATGAACATAAACTGTATTACTGTGTCCATATGCTGACACAGCTCCCCATATGTGTATATAATTCTTTAAAATCTGTACACTGCAGACATTTTTTCTTCTCATACATCATTATGTATGTACATGAAACAATGAAAGCTGTGTTAGCTGAATCTTAAAAGATAAAATCATCGGATGTTTATATTCCATGAAGCACCAATTGCTTCAAATAATGCAATTTTATCCACTGATATATGAAGAAGTGAAACAACAAGGAATCAAACTTTCAATAACAATAATAATGTACGAACTGGTGCTTCTTCATATGTTTTATCATAAATATATACATAAATAATAAGTATCACCATGACCTACTGTCAGAGATTCAAACATCTATTAAGAGAAAATTATTCTATATTTGCTCATGATAAATGCATCATGTTGTATATCATATAAATTGCATACATACCTTACCAAGCAATTAATGGGGAGTCACTGTTTAAGTTTCACATTAATCATTTCATATGGACTGTAAAGGATTTCCACTGTTTATTTTCTGTATAGATAGCCAGTACTAATGAACATAGCCACATTACATATAACTGTTGAATGTATTCTATCTGCATTTGAAAATGTCCCAAAATCATCTGTCTATATATCCTGCAAATCTATGTAAGTTATTTTTTTTCAATATGACCTTATAAACTATGACACCCTTCAAATGTAGAACCTGATGTCAAATTTTCCTTCTAAAATGTCCCCAAAGGCATGGCAGGCTCAGTGCCTGGCTAGTCATTTAGAAACTAATTTATGAATTTAAGAAACATTTTTACAAAACATCAAAACCAAGTGCAAGGATAGGCCATATGATCTAGAAAAAAATTATCTTTATAAAGAAAACTCTGATTTGGAGGGAAAATAGAGTCAATAACTAACTTTCACAGTTATCTCCACTTAAAACAAGTGAAATGATTCATAAAAGCTCTCCAATAATCTATTCTGTTTTTCTTCATCTGAAAATCCTGCATATGGGCCTTAAGACAAAAATTACCTTCAATACTGCACTGCAAATGGAAAACGGTATTAAACACTTGTTAAGTAATGTGAACAGAGACTTTTCAACAATATCAAACTTAAGAGCCTAATTATCACCCTAAAATAGGAACATTCAAATCATTTTCTTTCCAAGAAGTAAAAAGTAAATGGATGGCCAATAATAACAACTATTCCATACTATTTCATCATCATCATCATCATCTTCATAATAATAATAATAATATAATTTATTGAGCTCTCATTGGTACATATGATACATTTGTAGGCTCTCTGTACTATGGTTAATATAAATATATAAATAAAAGAACATTCTTTATTAGGTTTATCCAGCATTAGCTAGTATCAGGTATATTATATAAAAATAGCTAAGGTTTATAAAAGGGCTAAACAAGCAATTACTAACCAGTTCTTTCCAATTGAAACAAGACAAAAATTTCCCCGAGTGCCCAGTCTCAAATCATTAAAAATGTAGTCAGCAGTTTTTATGCAAAAAGTCCCTTCAACAAAAATTCTTATTGAAACCAATTCTTTGAATACCTCTTCAAACTTTCTTTTCTAACAAAATAACCTCAATAAAATCAGTGTTTTAGCACCCAACCAAAGTGACACATACCTCAACTGCTTCTTCTCCAACAGACATGATGTACAGCTTCTTATAGCTGAAAATAATACAACATTGAACAATACTATATTAAAAACTCATGGTAACATTTTAGAACAATTAAAAACATTGGTAAATTCCTCCATAAGATAAGGTGCAATATTCTTGACAGCAATCAAGACAACCCAATCAAGATTCAAGTTTCATACAGATGTGACAAAAAAAGATGTGCAAAAAGGTTTGCAAGCATCCTTTCATTAGACTTCCACTATTTGTACTAAACCAAAGCAAAACTGAATATTAATACTAATCAAAAAATAATAGTGTCGCAGACAATATATAAATATTCTAAACACACCTACAGTCATTTACATAAACCTTACACAAAAAAATGTATCACAACATTCAACAAGTCAACATTTCATCTGCAAAACAGCCAGGTAAAATATTTCAAAGTAAGCTTTAAAATCTGGTATTATGAATCATATGGTTGTTCACATATTTTTCTTCTTTTCAATGTAGGAGGGGTTTTCCATCTACTGAGCACTGCTTCTATACATCCCTGACATACTTAGACATATTCGCCCAAATTAAGTAAAATTGCTCTTGACTGTGGATTGGCACTAGTTATATAATGTTACTAATTGAATGGCATGACCAAACTATCATGTATTTGTTGTCATATCACACGCTGTAAGACGAAATTGCTGAAACTGGAGGATATGTCAAAATTTTCATCACGACCTAGTTGATAGTATTTATGGTGTCTAACTTTGCTTTCGATTAACCATAACACAAGTTTTTGAAAAACAAACAGTTATTCTAAACAATATAAATGTTTATCATTTGACAAAATGATTGCCCAAAAAATTGAGTATTTGTTCCCATTATACTTACAAATTGATAATTTCTCACAAACCAAAGCGGGAAGGATATTTCCTGCGATAGAAATAATCGACAAATGCGCACCAAAATCGCGCATAACGTCCCGGATGTGCCAGCTGTGGGTTAATGATTTTTTAGTGTTTAGTGCAAAAAGAAAGTAAAATCTTTGAGAAATAATAGTCTTTTTTGATAAAAATGAGCATCAAATGACTTTTTATCATATTAATTCTTTAAAATTACTTTATACTATTCCAGTGTCCTTGACCTATATATTCGGCTTGAACATATTATCTGCACCCCTGCAACACGTTAGAAATGGCGGTTGACAACATGATATTAGAAGCTTTTAGAGACTACAAAGATATATTTGCAATTTTTGGTGCTGTTTCTGCATCGTTTTTTGCTTTGAAGCTCACTCTTTCAATTCTTCACGGTTTTAAAGTATATGCCCTCGGAAGAATGGGCCTTGCCACAAAAGTAAAGGCAACCGGTAAATGGGCAGGTGAGTCAAGTCAAAGGTCTTACTGGGAGTGAATCAGTGGAAGTCGTTGTCATGCCCAAAAATGGCCCTGTCAGTTGGGGAATGTCAGAGTTACTTGATTTTAGTATTCAATCGCTATATTTTTTTTTCTTATTTTACTATGTTGTAAGGACCACATGCTTTTTTTAATATTGTTAATATGTTATTTATATTGTTGATATTATCAATAAATTGCCAGATTTTCGGTTTGCTTACACTGCCCCAACTCAGACCCTATCCCCACCCACCTACAAGATGTTTACCACCACAGGAATCAGCACTTGCATATTATAGGGCTTCAGGTTATATATAGTTGACATCACATTTCTTTATTAAATGTTAGTGTATCAGTAGTGCCAGACGCAGGGTAGAACCAGCCGGATAGCTCAGGCGGTAGAGCACTCGCCCTGTAAGTGAGAGGTCCCAGGTTTGATCCCTGGTCTGGCAGGTGATTTTTCTGCACTCTCCCAAAAAAGCACTACATTACAAAACAACCGGAGGCTCTGCAAGTCTTGAATAATGACCATTTCATACTGTAAACTTTGAAACTGTCCTTTTTATAATTTCCAGTTGTTACTGGAGCCACTGATGGTATTGGCAAGGCTTATGCACTACAGGTATGTAACAAAGTGTTTTTCATTGTTTTATTACTTACTTTTTAAATGTGATAAATATTATAAGTGTGATATTATTTGGGAAAGTAAGGCTTCGTTCACATGCAATGTCTATTTTCTAATTTCTATTTTCTATTTGCGCTATCTTATGATCACGGTCTGTGCCCTGAATATCCCGCCGCGTAATTACTGGCAGCGCGAGCCAGTTACTTATAGTAACTTATAGTTACTGGCTCGCGCTGCCAGTAATTACGCCGCGGGATATTCAGGCCACAGACCGTGATCATAAGACATACCGCAAATAGAAAATAGAATTTAGAAAATAGACATTGCATGTGAACGAAGCCTAACTTTTCATAGACTGTATATCATATTTTACATAAAACATTTTGTTTTTAAAATTTATTTTATTTTTGTTTATTTTTTTGCATCATGCAATCTCTGTCAGCTGGCTAAACAAGGCCTCAATATAGTTCTTATCAGCCGTTCTCCTCAAAAGTTGACAGATGTTGCCTTGGAGATTGGTAAGTCCAATTAAGTTTCAATTTATGAAGAAAGAATTACTGAATAAAACTGTTGGATTTTATGTTTAAATTAATGTATGATAATTCCATACTATTTAATTACTACAACAAACAATTTTTTTACTCAGCTTTGTATCAATTTATGTTTAGAGTCAAAACTGGCAGTAAAAACTCGCTCCATTCCTATTGACTTTGGTGGGGGTCCAGAGATATACACTAAGATCAAGCAGGAGTTAGCAGGCCTTGAAATCGGTGTCTTAGGTAGAAAATAGTTTAATACTTTTTATGAGAAGAGTGTACAATGTTAAGATGCTAAGATCAATGTTAAGATCAAAAACTTAATTTTAGCATATATATAACCATAAACTATCACTTTTAAAAAATAGGAATGAACTTTATTTTATGGATTTGTTAATGTGCCTTTTGAAAAAATGGTCACAAGAATTTGAAAAAATATTTTGTAATTGGCATTAAAATGTCTTTAAATGAAATATCATAGCAAATATATCAGCAATGTGTGTGCTGTGTTTATTGATGTACCATCTTGTGATAAACTTTCAGTAAACAATGTGGGCATCAGTTACCAATTTCCAGAGTATTTTACAGAGTTGGAGAATTTAGATGAGGTATGTTAGAGAGGCCTGACAGCTTGTTAGAAAAACATTTATATTAACATTTGTTCTTTCAGTTTTCAAAAATTTTAATATATGCTAATGACTGGTGCTATCAATCCTTTTAACAACGTTTCCAAACTATATAAATACAAATGCTTATTGAATATCGCATCATATAAAGTTTAAAATGATCAAACATTCCCAGTTGAAGTAGATATGGAGATTTTACATTTTGAAAACATAACTTGGTTATATAACAAAAGCCTTGTATTAGTCGGAAGAAAACATGAGATCTTGTAAGGAGGACACAGTGCTGTTATTTAACTATGCTGGCACTGTAAGTCCAGTAATTTGATTGTTAACAATAACTCTACATTTACTGTCTCGCCATTTATCAGTTTTGACTGAAAAACGCTAAGTATTATAAAAGCATTTTAAATAGTTTCATTTGTTTTCTTTAGATGTGCCAAAAGATGATTAGCATTAATATCACATCTGTTGTTATGGTAAGTTGTCTGTGGATTATAAGAAAAAATAATAATAAATTTTCGATTTTTTGTGTTCAGTCACATTAATAGCAGCGACATTGGATATGTACATTTTCATTATTTTTGTTGTGTAAGATGGGATAATTTATTCCAGTGGATTTGAAATTGAATCTTATAATTGTGCTTTTTACTGTTATAATGAAATATGGAATTTGAAGATTTCTTTTTTAAATTCAAGATGTCAAGGATAATATTACCAGAGATGATTGAGCGCAGGAAGGGAGTGATTATAAATGTTGCATCCGCCTCTGGCATTTCACCTGTGCCTTTCCTTGGACTCTACTCTGCTACTAAAGTAAGACAGACCACTGTGTTCTTAATTTTTAATTAATAGTTTATTTCTGACTAACAGTATTGTCAAAAAAATATCATTGTTAAATTTTCGAAATGACTGTTTTTTATTACTGAATTCATATTTAAATTTAATTTTCCATTTTAGGCATTTGTCGACTTCTTTTCAAGGTCTCTGCAAGGAGAGTATGGTTCTAAGGGAATTATAATACAGGTAATACAGTGATTGCAAGATTTGGGAGCAGTGTTTCAAATGAACATTTATGGTTATAGTATTGATATACTGATGGTTCCCCACCTCCACACACGCCATTAAATGGATTAAATCACGACTCCCAAGGTTAAATTGCGAGACCCCTGCAAGGACTGCGAATGTGTAGGCGGGGAGACCATCAGTAGATTAGTTGGCTCTTTTTTCATGTAGGGTCCTCCATATTTGATCCATGGATCAGTAGATCCTCGGATCTTCTGTTCTGAATTGCCTCTTCAATACTGATTGTCTTTATTATTGTTCTTCCAGTCAGTGATGCCCTTCTTTGTGTCAACAAAAATGAGCAGATTGAGGCCCTCCTTTTCAGTACCTACTCCAAATGACTATGCCAAGAGTGCCCTCTGTACTTTGGGTTTGGAAGATAGGACATTTGGATGTATTTCCCATGCCCTGCAGGTACAGTTGCATTTTCAATTATCAGAATAATTGATGGTTAGATTATGTCTACATGTTAGCACAAAAAATTGAAATGGTAGAATTTGAAAGGGCTACATATAAGTCTGAGATTAAAGTTATACTCTAGTTTTAGGGTTTATAAATAATTTGATAGTTATTTTTGATAAAGAATATATTTTTTACTCTTTAGGGATGGGTTATTAAACATTTACCAGAATGGCTTGTAACAATGGTTAGCAACAAGATCCATAAGAGTGTGAGAGCAAAAGCTCTGAAAAGAAAGGCACAGAAGAAGCAGTGAAGAATGTTGTCATTTGTTTACAATTGTCAATATGAAATGCAGGACAATACTAAATAAAATTCCAATATTATGATCTTACTTCGCTGATTTAGGGGTAGTGCATGTAGTTTTAATTTGGCCTACTGGAAAGCAAGATTTTTTTATGGATTCCAAATCTTTTCCAATGATTTGTTTATGATGAAATGACATTTGAATTATTACCTGTCAGGGATTAGTTATACATAATGTGTCCTATATTAGTCAGTAACTGTTGTTGCTAAAATAAAGTACTGTGACATTTTTTCTACTTAACAGTCACAGGCTTCTTAGAACAACCTTGTAAAATAATTGAAGTATGCTAATATCCAAAGACGGTCATTGTTTTTGTTTTTTCATTTATTATTTTGTAATAGTGGTTGCTGTGATATTATAGAACACATTTGTTTTTGATGAATCAACAAAGGAAAAACTTTGGTAGAGACACGTAACAGATTTTTTGTTACCATCTTAAGTTACTAGCAAAGAAACGTAGTTCATTTATCAAAATTTTGATGATGAATTTCACTGACAGACAGAAAAAGGTCAACAGATCTTGTATCATCTTTTAGAAAGAGAAGCTCAAAACATTAATATAAACTTTTTTTACAATTGTATTACTGATAATCAGAAAATTAAGTAAATGATTTTTCTGAAAATTATTTAATCATGTAAGTTTATTAAACTTAATAAAATTCTTTTTCTTCAAATTCAATTGAATAGTTGATAGAATAGAAGTGAACGTCCTGAAATACTAGTTTACAACAAGCAAACATTTTCTTCCAAATGTTGAATAATTTTAGCTTTTCAATTTCTTCACCAACTTTGAAAGCATACCATGGTGAAAGCTTGTAAGTTTTAAAGAGGAGTAGCTGTAAAGTATAGAAATGCATCTGAGGTCTCACGGCACAACATAGACTGAGGCTCTCAATCATTACGAGTTCGGTCAATGCTCAAATCTTGGAGGGGTGAAAGAATCCATCTACACTGGGGACCACAGGCATTCTCAGAATGAAGAAGGTGCAAAACCTGTCTCAGATCTGGAACAGTTATAGTGAGTAGTTCTCACTTTGCTGGTCACATATAGGCTGCATTCAGAACAGAGCACTAAATAGTCTGCAGGTCAAATATGGCCAACCCACTTAAATAGTTCCCCAGGGGGAATCTATTCAGAGTCTATTAGCAGATTAGACGGCAAGCTTTTTAGTGGGTCACCACATTTGACCCGTGAACTAGTTAGTCTCCTGACAGTGCGACTGAGAAAGTCCCAGATGGTGGGAAGAAAGTTTTCAATATTGCACACTTTCAAGATTGTGCAAAAATTGAAAAGTTTCACATGACAATACTACATGTACTAAGGTGAACTTCCATCAGAATTTTCTTTCATTCTTTATTTACACAAATAATTCTTTAAATATAAATATTTCACAAGTATTTCTATGAACATTTACATCTTAAAAGATGAAGTACAATTGTCACCTTTAATCTTATTGTAGCGCAACTAAAAATGAAGAAATAATGCCATCAAACAGCAGTTGTCTTTCTTTGAACAACCATTAAGTACATCGAAGAAGACAGCAAATATCAAATGTTGAAATGACAGATTATCAAATAGTTTATAAAGCAATTTCGCTTCACACAGATTGTCTCTTATGGTTCATGCTATTGCCATTTTGTTTGAAAAAGTATACCGACAACTATTACTTTCTAAAATCTTATCTTGTTGTCCCCTTATATTATGAATTAAAATTGCTTTTAAATAGCAGCAAGACACTCGATGAGTATTACACATTTCATATTTAATGTTTCTTCCATCTTTCATTTAACAATATAAATTAAATTGATCTGTTAGTATTTAATACTAGACATTACTGGGGTTTTAATTTTAAGATTCTTTGTATTGTTTCTTATTGTTCTATGAAATAACTCCATACAACATGCAATACAGGACTCCCAAGATCTCCCAATAAACATTGAATATCGATGTCATCAATAAACATCAAAACTGTCACAAGTTTTCAGGTCACAACTCTTAAACAGCAAAATTGGAGTAATATAAAGCAATATGTATGAATGTTATAAATAACAGCACCTCTGGAAATATGGACTGGTGTATGACACTTAACATTTCCTCATTATAAACTCTGTTTTGCAAAGTATTTTTCTGATTTTTTTTCTGTTGTTGAAAACTGTCAATACCATTAGTCCTGCTTTGACTGTTGGGCCAAATCTTCATCACTAAAAGAGCTTAGTGATTCACTATGTTTTAATTTTTTCATCTTGATACGCCGATGAGCTTGTTGTCGCAGTGCATTGTTCAGGCGCATGGAGAACCACATCCACAAGGACTCTGGGATGTAACTGCAGAACCAAGACTACAAAAACACAAAATGAGACGCTATAAAAGATGGCATACACTTTATGGAATCTACTTTCAGATACTGAAGTTGAGCATGTTAGCAATTTTTTTAACAGACCTCTTTGACCTTAACTTTTGAGTTCCATAAGAGGCCTGTGTTCCAAAATTTGTGGCCCTATCTCAACTCCTCAAGTTACAGTGTTAAAAAAGTTTCACATGGCCTCTTTATTCTTTTTTTTTTTAAGTGACCCAAGGTCAATATTCATGAACTCCTTGAAAAACACCTTTCAGACTTTGGTGGTTGTATCATTACACTTTCTCAAGATATGTATTGCCTTCCAAGATTATGACAAGTAATTCTCAGCATGACTGACTAACCCCCAAACAAGTTTTGCAATCTAGACTAGGTATTTGCTGCAAAATGCATACAGGAAGATTAGCATAGGAAAGGTGATCAACATTGAACTCACCAATATTGAATGTGGCCAGTACCCTGTTGTTCTGGATGAAAACCCTATGGTAGCCACAGCATTTCTGGCATACACTTGTGCACTAGGAATAAGGGTGCTTGGATCAGATAATGTTTCACTATACTGCGTCATCCGAGTGGCAACATACCAAGGCATGAGACACTGGACTATGATCCCCCTATCTTTGTATTCCACCTGCAATGCTCTGCTGAAGCAGTCAAGGTATGCCTGAAATAAGATCAAATGATTTCAGATATGTACATATTACACTATAGGTAACCAGATTAAAATTCAAAGAGAAGAACTTTATAACACTGGTGTTATTTAGTTTTGTTTTTTCTTTTTGGTTACAATAATTAACTAGACAAACAATCAGAATGATGTCTAATGACTCTCAATACCATTTGTTTATTTCCCACCAGTTAAATAATTCCAATACTTAACAAAACCAATAAGAAAATGTATGCTATCAATGTTCTTCATGTTCTCAGTACCTAGACACAGTTACCTTTGTGGCAGAATAAACAGTCATTTGTGGAGTGGGGAGAAAGCATGCACTGGAGGACATGTTCACAACAACACCTCTTCCCCTAAAATAAGAACTTTGTATAGAAACTTATGGATTTCTTGTAAGCCAAAAGTAATATTGTGAAAGTCAAGTTGGAACATCAATGCACCAGGAATATTCAATAGTACCAATGTTCCAGTCAAAATAATTATACATTTTATTTTTCAAATAAGTGCAAAATAAGGTGACACTCACCTGGCAACCATCTGAGGAAGAACCAAGTGAGTCATCTGGAAATCAAAAATTAGGTACCAAGTCAGATAAGTGAATAATTCTGTAGGACAGATTTAACCAAAATAAAAGAAATGCCTAAACTTTTAGGTCTAATCCAAAAAATTCTTACAAATATTTTGACCCATTCTATGTCAGTTAGCTCAGATGAAACACAACATGCCCCCCTGTAACTCAAAATGTATATTATGATAGAAGGCCATGCAAAGATGTGCATGAATAAGATGGCTTTTTCCTTTACCTCATGTTCAAGCAATTTATTTATCAAGTTTTATATTGTTTTATTTTTCTACAAAATTTACAGCAAATGTAAGTTACCATTGTTGCAGCAGCTACATTTACATTCACTAATTGCCAAAGTCTCTGAAAATTGGAGAACAAAATGAGTTAGCTGATCTATCAACCACCCTCTCCAGGGAACCCTCAACACAAACTTGTAAATAATGCACGTATATAGCAGATCACGCAGCATTACATGGTGTGTCTTCACTAGATCATATCTTTTTTATTTGATAGTACTTTCCATTCAAAATATTCATCATATATTCCGATAATCCCATAACAGATGGAATTAACTTCACAGTTAATGAATGAACCTCTTTTAACCATTTTCTATTATAGAATTAATACCCACTAATATCGCTGAATTTTAGTGTGTAAATCTAAAATAAAATATATATATATTCACATACCTCTGGCTGGACATCTAAGAAAAACTGGGGATAATCATACATAACACCTACATTATTAACTGAAAGCCAAAAGAAATACCATTTCTAAATCAAAGTTTCAATAAAAATGTTGAAACTGCTTTAATTCAGAATCCATGTACATGTCCTCAGTGATACTGTAATCAATGCCAATTTCAAACTTCCATAGGTGAGATTGCAACTGTACTTTGACCAAAGATAATTTGTAATCCACTTGGATTTAGTCTTCTTTGTTGAACAAATAGTCGTGCTTCCTTGTAATTCCAAATAACATTTTATCATGTCATTTTGTATATTTGTTTCCTTATGAAATCTGCTCTGGTTTTTAAACATACCTAAAATTCCTACTTCTTTGTCTTGAATCTTAGACTGAATACCAGGATATGCATCATCTGCTTCATTAAAATCCACTGGGACAATGCAGGTCTGCACTCCAAAGCTCTCCTCTGAAAACACCAAGATACAAATCAATATGCAGTCTTAAAATAGGCACGTCTCTCACTCTATGTATATGTACAACTACCAGCATTATTTATGACAAAAATCTGACATCGAAACTGAGATCATGATATTTCAACCTTATCACAAGGCTTTCTTCAGGTGAACTTATTTTGAGTTGTCACTGGTGTCATGTTCAACTGAAGAATACCTTGTGATAAAGTCAGAACATCGTGACTTCCCTTTCAGTGTAAGATGTAGTATTAGAATTATTTTCTTTTTTTTTCATTATCTTAGTATAATATAACTGGATAAATCAAAACTTTTACTTTGATATTTTTACGGCAGCATGTCTCATTCCTTCTACCTAAAGGTATGTTTCTAAAAAGAAACTTGAAATGCTTACCAATATCTTTCGCAACCTCCTGAAGTTTTTTCAGACCTCTGCTTACAAGTATGATATTAAGTCCACCACTGGCCAATTCATATGCATATGCCTTTCCTATGCCATGTGTGCAACCAGTTACAACTGAAATAAATTGCATTTTATATTGCAGGTACTAAACAGGTACTTACTTCAATATTTGTTCTACATCACTCCTATTATTGCTATTAATGTTTTTTAATTCACTGTTGTACTGGAGTCTAAATGCAATAGATGTGCAAAATGGTAAGCTCTCAGGAAAGGGAGTGCACTTAATTCCATTTTGGAGACAGAAAACTTGAGCAATTAACTGGTCCCTAATTATGTATGGTATCCAACTAAAAAGGAAATGGCATTTTTTTTTTTTTTTTTTTTTTTTTTTTGACAAAAGCTGCCCATTCATTTGTAGATTACAGTATAATTTTAAGTACATGCAGTTTGCAATCATCGCGGATTGGTCTCTGATTCTTGTATGTCAATGAATCTCTCATACCTTGACATGTACTAAGTACTGTACATGTACATGTACATTTGTACATGTATTTACAAGTACTAGTACCATGCTCAGTGAACATAATATTTTACAAACCGGAAAAATCGTAGTATTATACATTTTAGTCAAATGAAAGGCGCCTATGTCCATTTTGTTTTTCCATTTCTTTTCAAAGACACCTATGGTGCAAATTACTAAGCCTGTGACAGTTACACAAACAGCACACGCACCAAATCATTACCTGCCCAATGTCCATAGCGAACTAGATCTCTGCGTCCAAATTTGGTGTAAAGAACGAATCGAATCGCGCTGACAACTTTGTAACTCAATCCAAGGGTCTTTCTTGCTGCATAAATTGCACCTATTAATGCCAATGCGTCTCTAAATGATGTGAGGACACTAATAATTTCTTTTGCTAAAAAGCTGAAGCTATCGACCACTGCAGCCATATTTTCTTTCCTCTGTCCGAAAGAGCTCAGACCCAAGATAAGACCATACCATGACAAGACAAAGCCAGCTAGCTCATCTAGCATCCCAGTTACCACAATGGTATTTCCCCCAAGTCTATCAAATGTTAGTTGAAATGTACCTATAAAATTTTTAAGTATATCAGATGCAATAAAAAATTGGTAACAGGTTACTAGCAGAACCTGTGGTCATAGAGTGACTAAGTCTATATTTTAATCGCATTTTAATCTCTTAAAAAATACATTATCTGTTATCTTTATCATCAACAAACCATTTTTACCTTCATTAAACAGGATTTATGAACTGGCAATTTTTATTAATAAATAGTCACTTTTCAACATGTAAATATATATATATATATATTTTTTTTTAAAGACATCTTACCGTACTTTGGCAGAATGCACCTTTTTGTAATGTTGATAAGATTAAGGGGGGAATGTAGGTTTGAGATTTTCTCTTAAAATAAAGGTCTGGGCTTTTTTATTCCTGTCACATTCATTTAATGTATCTTCAAAATATCTAATAATGCTTGGAACACAGCTCCAACTTCATCGTGTGACGTAATATTGGGATTTTGGGGACAAAAACGCCATTTTTATATTACACCTGATTTTCTCAGGCACCTGGACAGCTATAAACTTGCTTTTGATGGCATTAGAACACTTGAACAAAGTACTACAGCATGGAGTCAGGGATTTTTCTTCAGACACTTATTGTTGATTGTATCTATAAAAACGTGAAATTACATCAAAATATTAGGGAATTTTCACTTTCAAAGTCTATAAATTAGAAAAGAGAGGATCAATCAAAACGCGTATTTCGAGCAAATCCAATGTGTCGGAAAAGATTCATCTCAGCGCTGATCACAATCAAGAGCGACTATCAAAACAGCTTACGCGGAACAATAGGCACTGCTTTGCCGATCGCTGTTTATGACAAAGGGGGTATGACGCATCCCTGTTCTATTGTTTCTCGAGTCGGGCTGATGCTGCTGAGGTCCGCCCACCGAGTTTACCCATGCCAACGGCCCTTGACAACGAAGGCGGGGCATAGACCAGGCCACCGGTGCCGATGTGTGCAGCATCAGAATCCTCAGAAAAAAACATATTTTTTGTTCAAAATGTGAAAATTTTATTCTGTTAAACGTTAGATACACATTTAATCAATAATTAGACATAAAAAACCAAAAATGACGATTTTTAGCTATATTTGGGTACATCCGTCCCTTAAAACAAGTAAAACATGATTGAACTCTTCCAGTCAGAGATCCACACTTTTCTAGAAACAAGCTACCATCATGTCCAAGATAGTATGCCAAGTAGCATGTTTTTTCAAGATAAGATGTACCTGCAGGGGCAGATCCAGTATAATGGAAGGGGGGCCGCGGATACAAAGCCAACCCTCCTCACCAACCCCTTTTTAGAGGGTGAATGGTGCCAGCTAGTCAAAATTCTAATTTCAAATTTCTAATTTCAAGAGGAGACCATTGGTGTGATGTTTCGCAGAAATCGAAGGTGGGTCAGGATACCCCTGACACCCCTCTAAATCAGGCACTGTACATGCAAACACAGTAAATGGTTCATGAGCTAACTTTATAAGCAATTGATCATGCTCAAAGTATAACAAAAAACAATCTTGAAATTATATTTTTTTTATTCTATTATAATACAGCTTTGATAATTGGCACTAATCAGTCCTATAAATTATCACAAATTATCTGGTTACAGTTTTCCCCATTTGCACATCAGAGTTTACTCTTCACCTCATCAGAGTCTTCATCTGAAAATAGATAAAACATGCTATTAAAACTGATTGTTCAAAATTATTGACATAATAAACATCTGGATTTGTACTTCTAAAGCAAAAGTGTGAATAAAAGTGTTGGTTAAAAACAAACAATTAAAATGATTTATAACGTACAAAGTTTTGCAGTCTAATTTTCCTCTTTTTTTTTTACAATGTCTTTCTTAGGCCACACTTTTTTATTTTTATGGATGACATCCTGCGCGTGCACCGATTTTCGTCCGTTCTCAAAAAAAAAAAAAAAAAAAATCCCCCCTCCCCCCCTCCATCGAAGTCGGTTGTCGCAAACGTCGTTATTCAATTTGCCAGAAAATGTGCTTTCTGCGCATGCGTATTACTGCCACGTGGAAATATGGCCGCTTTGCCATCAAATTCATCTCTAGGATTACTTTCAAATTACAGGACAATTAATTATATAAAGTCATAAAGAGGCCGTCGTTTTGGGTTGTTATGCCATTGATATTGGGCATGGAGATATCCACTTTTTTACAATTATGCGAAAGGCTGGCGGCGGCCAGCAATTATCGCCCGCAAAATTTCAGTGATATTCTGTCCAAAGCAACACATACCAGGTTTTTTTGTAGCGAAAAAAAAGGGTCGACAGGGCGTCGAGGTATCTGGTGGGCTGTAGGTCGGTCAGGCCACCCGACAGTTTGGCTGCTTCATGTGAGTCGAAGTAGACCAAATGGCATCGACCGAAATGACCTTTTATAGAATTGGTAGTATTAAGCATATCTTTGCATCATTTTTTAACATTTCTGTGTAATGCTTTAATATTCTGAGAGTACAAATAAAGACATGCTGTTTGTTTGATATTTGTTTTATTGATTGTTATACCAACAAAATGCATGAAATAACCTTAAATAGATTGGGCAGTGATGCAGCACGTCTATTAAGCCCGTAGCCAGCAATTTCAAAAGGGAAGGGGGGTTCTTTTTTTTGAAAAAGTGGACCATTTTCCATAAAAACTTAATGTATCTAGATCAAATTTTACCCAGAGTGGACCTTTTCCCAGCAAAAGGGGTGGTTCTTTCTAACCCCCTGGCTACGGGCCCGTCTATTCATACCCATAGATGGTGTGACTGAAATGCGCAATACACGGCAATACAGCGCAACATAGCCAATTCAGTCACACCCTATTCATGACTTTTTTTACCTTTCTGCAAAGTATTCACAATACTTTAATATTTTGAGAGCATGGATAAAGACATATTGTTAGTTTGATACGTGTTTCTGTGGTAAATTTGTGTTTCCAGCTGTGTACTGACAGCATTCCTTTACTTAAGAAACCTTTTTTTTTTTTGACTGTTTTTTTTTTCGCCCTCTCGCACCGATTTCGGGGTCCCCAAAGGATGTCATCCATAAAAATAAAAAAGTGTGGCTTTATCAACTATTTTTTGACTTAGCAAACAATTATTTTCTTTAAAACTGCCCAATTTCTGACACTATTTTTCTGTCTGTTACCTGTTTTTCTCAACAGCCAAAGGTTTTCAACTAATTTGTCTTTCACATGTAACTTTTCAAAGCAAGAAGGATCTGGAAAGAGAACAATTTCTATTTTTCACCTTGTACAATTCTTCACTTAAATGACTGCTATGATGTACATGTAGCTTAAAGGTACATGCGAACCGAGCATCGGTGGAGCGTGGATTCCCAGTAACACATGTACACCACTTCTACTAGATTCTGATATGACTCAAATAAATTCAACATGCCAAGGGATTAACTGAATAGATCACTCGATCAGCCATAAAAGACCTTTAGACTGCTCCTTTCTTTAAATTTTTGGTTGTAAATTTAACCTACTTTCATGACCTACTTTCCTGCCCCATTGACATACAGTTTAGAATGCCAGCAGAAAAAGCCGTCCAAACATCATTTTTGGGTAAAATTAAACAATGCCTTTTGGTAATTCTCTTAGTTATACTACTTGAAACTATATGCTGGCATTTGGTTGGTTTTTGTGACAAAAAATTGACTTTGTATGCATCTTTAAACTTAATGATGTTTCATTTAATTTCATATCTTCATGAATATTAAGGTCATCTGTGTAAACTACTATTTTTGTGCAGCTAGAAAATTGAAAGAATACAGCTATGTGCATAATCACTATTCTCAAAATGTGAATTCTAGTGACATAAATATAACATTACATGACATATCCGGTGGATCCACCATTTCTCTGATCCATGCATAGCAAATATATTCACACCAACAAACCATCATATTTGACGGTATATATTGTCTGTGACACTATTAATTCAACAATTCATACTGTCACTATTGTCTAACCTTTAGAACTGCTGTACTCTGATATCACTGGCCACAGCTCTGTAAAAGGAACACTCATGTTGACATGAGGATAGCTGGCTCCAGATTCTACATCTCTAGAATGAAATAAGTGAATGCATCTATGAGTGCATTCAGAACAAGTTGATCCATGGACTAAATATGGCTGATCCACATAAAAATGAAACCATTAAATCTCTGATGGTCTCCCACCTCCACACACCCCGTTGCTGCAGGAACCTAGAATTTAAAACTCTGAGCCAAGATTTAATCCGTCTAATGGTGCGCGTGGAGGTGGGGAGACCATCAGGGGATTAGGGCAGCTTGCTTTTTAGTGGGGTCAGCCATATTTAGTTGGTAGATCAGTTAGTCCACGTATCATTTGTTCTGAATGCACTCTATGTACACATACAAGTTATAACTGAACTTTCAAATATGAATCTACTTAAAAACTTATCTAAATGAGATATTTTTAACCTGTAATAGCTTGCACAAATCAGATCTAAAACTTGGGGTTGACATTAAGGATTCAGAATTACATTTGTAAACTGGCAGTAATGGATGACATACATGCAGTGAAGTTTCAAAAACAAATTCCTCCCTAAAAAATGTTTGGTCTGGGCCAACACGGCATTCTGATTGATTTCAAACAAAACTCATACATTCTTTACAACTTTATGATGCAGACATTTTATCCCTCCTCCCTTCCATCATTTCATCTTTTAAAAAACAAGATCATCATTAAACCTGGTCCCTTAAACCTATTTGCTTTATATACTTTGCATTGCAAGTAACCATGCCAAGCAGCCTCCCAGATGAAGATACAACTGCTCCCCCACTTGCCCCGCCATGCACTGCACATGTTGTCTGAAAATGAGTGAAAATGAGTATTTCAGTGCAAAATTCATTATGATACCACACTGTACCTCATTTGGCAAAACTGCAATCTAGTTTCATGATGTAAAATTCAAATTTCTTAGACTTAGATTTAAGAGAATGGAGCTGTTGCTCTTATGTAGACTACCTGGATCATCACACATTGTTGATCATTGGAAGGGGAAAAGATCACTTTGGACACCATTCCCTTAGATAAAGAAGGTGTTAGCTCTTTATCCACTGCAATCAGACCATGGCCAATTACAAAAACCTCAGCTCCTGAATTTGAAGAAAACAATTATGAATGTGAACTCATATTTAAGAGAATATTGCCTGTATAAAACAAGTAGACATAAAAACATTTAAGCTAAAATGGATTTGTGCATATATTAATATAATATGTAAACGAACAAAATATTAAGCTGTTTAACCCTGACTCTTTTTACCTGTTTCTGCATGGTTCTCCATTCCAAAGTCTAAGTTCAGTCTTTGAGTCCTTTCATTATTATTGACCTTTCTATTAGGAATCAGTTTCAACACAGCTACATCATATACAGCACCCAATACATTCTTGTATAACACCTCGGCATTATGCCACAACTGTGAGTGGTCCAAATCTTGTCTCACCATCACTGAAATTATTGCAGATGAGATCATTGTGGACCCAGATCTTTCCATCTCTTATAAATTTTGAGAAAATGTTTGAAACAATATCTTTTTTTACTGTTTGGAATTTTGTCAGTTTTTTATTCAGTTGTTAATTTTTTTTTAATAGTACATACAATATGTTTGAATTTGGATTTTGTCTTACAGATGGCAGATATAAGAAAGATAACTTATCAAAACAATTTCAAATATGCTTTATATCAAATATTGTAAGTACATCCAGGTTTTGTGTTTTTCCCTGTACAATATATATGTCTTTCTTTATTAACAAAATACCTTTTCTAGCATGGTTCCCTTTTAAAACATGACTGCATGTAAGGACAATACCATTTGTAGCATCTACAATAATTCCTGAGCCCCAGCTACTGCCACATGTCACAAGGACCACTCTCCTGGACATAGCTAGAATGAATATAAGGACTATATATAATACAATATGACCTAGTTATTATCAAGATTCTTTTCATTACTACTCACATGATAAATTTTCTTTTAAACTAAGTATATGGATTTTCAATGGATTAGCATACTTGTCATCTAATTTGTATTCAGAAAGTGTTAATCACCTACCTTTTCACATGTATTGATTACTGTAACTCACCTTTAATGTTTTCCATCTTATCTTTGTTGGATGCTGTAAGGCTGAGATAAACTTCTTGTGGATTCCCAAGAACAAACTCCTGAAGAGAGTGAAACACTGCAGACAAACTACAAATTATAGCCATACCAATCCATTCATTGTTCTTCCAACACAGGGGAGAAACAACAATACCACAAAGCCTTCTGCAAGAAAAGAAAACACATGGAATAGTCACTTTTCTAGTTCTATAATAGCAAATTAAGTAAAGCATACACAAACATGTACACAGATGGCTTGTGAAACTGGGCATAAACACATCAAAGGCAGGGACCTGAAGATGGCACACATACCAAAAGCTAAGGGGCTTTATACTAATTATATAGTCGATCTTAACTGCTGCACTTGACTTTCAATCTTATTTATTTATTTCTTAAAGAAGATCAACATGGTGATTATGATGTATATTCATAATACAACAATTAAATTACCTCTGCAAATCATTGCAAGTCTCAACATAAAATGCCCCTCCCTCTGATCCAGGTATACATCTAGCATCAGTCAGAACCAGGCTACCATCTCTACTGACATTTGACACAATTCCTTTGCTGAGCGAGTTCATAAAAACTTCTGGACTAAGACTACCAAATGGAGTGCCACATATATAAGATGTTTCACCAATAGTAATCTGAGGCTGATCTGGGAACATGTCCACTTCAAGGTCACCCAGTTTTGACAAATCATGTCTAAGTTTCAGCACCACAAAGCAGGACAAAAGGATCTTTGATATAAGCTCTACTGCTTTGTCAGATGTCTCTTCAGATAGCTTCCAGCCATCCGATTCTGGCAAAAGTGCAAGTACCGTGTTGGCAAAGCATTTACACTTAAAAATACTAATAATGTCAGCAGGATATGAGTTGATGTTTGTCTCATAATTATCCTGTTGAGAACAGTTCACAACTGAAGTGTAGAAGTTTGGGTGGGCACCATGACGTCGATGTTGAATGTCAGATTTTCTGACTTTTGTTTTAGATTTTAGCAATATAGAAATGTTACAAACTCCTGGTACATCTTTCTGGTACAAGCAACCACTGCGGTGTAATTTAACTGATGTTCCTCTTGACATAAAGGATGTTAAGATTGATGCATGTGTCAGGACGATCCCCTTCTTTTGATCCAAAACCACACCACTACAGCTTGCTTCTTCCAGCTTCTCCCGTTTGCCAGTTTTCCTTGCAATCACAACACATGTTTCTTCATACATCCTAGAATTGAAAGCCTCTATTATTTTAATAGTATTAAAAAAGCATCAAAATAATACAATCATTCTCTATCGTTGATATTGAACAAAAGTGACAGCCATGTACCACAACTGCATCCAAGATAGATTAACCCACATTTAATGTTAAATTAAGAATTTCAAATGGGGGACACCCAGCACAGGATTCAAACTACTGTGCATGCGCGAAATTGCGCTGTTTGAAATAAACAAATGGTGAAATTGACAAAGCCTGCCAGTGTTTACTGTCTGATGGATTTTACTTAATTTGCTTTCTGGTGTCATTTTGAGAAATTATTATAGAAATGTTCTGTTGATAGTACTGTATATGTACTAAAAAGTAAATCCATCGGACTTTCCTTAGAATAACATTTATCTTGCCTTTATTGTTAGGGGATTCGCTTTGTACTTAGAGTTATATGTGGCCCCACATGGGATTTTTCCACCCCTCCCCCACTCTTGATAAGGAAAATAATCCTTGAGCGCTAGTGTGAATGTTATTGCAAAATGCATTCGAAAACGTAAAACGGTTATATTTAGGTAATTCATAACAGAAAACCCATGTTGACCAGCAAAATTAACTAACATGACATATTTAACTGTCACTGCGGCGACATGACAAACAGAACTTATTTTTCAAACTGGACTGGCACTAATCTGCAGGTGATGATTTTAACCTGTAAAAAATTGAAATTTTGTTATGAAAATAATCGTAGACCACGCTAGGTATATCACAATCCGCTAGGTAGTAACTATCCAGGGGCAGTGAAGTGCAAAACCGAGACCTACATGTACCTGCTAACAGCTCACCTATGACATCCCTTTTTTTTAAATATCTCTTTTAACTCCATGTAAATAAACAAATACAAGCCATTTACTAAATAAGCTGTAAATCAAAGAGTAAATTCCGGTCACATGATTTTCCGTGTTGCAGTCTTAGAGAACTTTGATTTGAGGGGGGCGTCTCGATAGTCCGAAGGTTCATTGGTCCGAAGGTTCATTGGTCTGAAAAGTGGTAACATTTTCATCGATTTTTTAATCAAGGGTTCATTGGTCCGAAGGTTCTATAGTGAATATTCGGACCAATGAACCTTCGGACTATTGAACCTTCGGACTATTGCTACGGCCCCGATTTGAGGATGTTTTTAAGTTTTGCCTCGACAAAATGTTAAAAATTTCAGATAAGTACTGCATGGAAGTTTTTGTAATTTATTCTGTGTAAAGTTCATGAAATTTGCAATATTATGCCGAAAAATCATGAAAATTGAACCATGCGAAGTATAGTTTATTTGATGCGCAATGATCTGCACGGAAGCCATCCCAGCCATGTGCTTGTGCAGTCTCCAATTTTCGGGTTTGTTTTCGGGTCATTAGATTAACATAGAGCCCTAATTGCCCTAATTGGTCACAAGCAATTTGAGCTGCAGCTACAGCTGAGTGATTACTGCTGGTTAGTGGTCACGGGTCTCTAGCTGAAAAGTGTGGACACTTTTGGTGAAATTTTGCAGTTAAAATACTTCAATATCTTTGTTGCTTGTAGGAATATTTTAAAAATTCCAAAAGAATTCATCTGTTTTTTGCATTACCTTTCAGAAGATATAAGTATTTTAATTTTCTGATCAATTTGAAAAATTTTCTGATATACCTAACCACGCTCAATCGAAATACTTTTGGTTATAATTGTGATCTTCAGAAATAATGAATATAATCAAACTTCATTAAAAAATATATATATAAAAAACGTGGTCGTACTATTTATTAGATAAATTGTTTTTTTTTTTTGTAGAATTTGGAGGTTAAAAACGCCAGATTGTCTGTTTCTCATATCGAGTCACGATGTTTTGTTCGTGTGCTGGAGCGACGCCCCTTGTCTTGAGCGCTTGGGAAAACTTAGTTTTATCAGCGCAATTACCTGTTCGAAAGCTCAAAGGCGAAACTTTTTCATAAATCAATGAACAAAACATCTTTAACGAAGCTAAACACTCAGAAGGAGAATCTACCTATATTCATAGATACTTGACAGCGTTACATTCTCGTTTTCCAACACCTCTGTAATTGAAATTCCCGGCACTTCCTTGTTGAGTTCGTCATCGATTTTAGTGCTACAAAAAAGTTTTTATTTTCATCGACCCAAAAAGAATATTATCAGCTTATTTTGAGCCTAAAAAAGAAATAAACTACAAGTTTGTTCTTATAAAAAAATCTACACATTTCTAACCACGACAGATATGGCCAAATGTCTATTTTTAGTAACTGCCAAACAGTAATGTATGAAATGCCGCAAAGGGATCGTATGATTAGTACGTCATCAGTTTGTGTGTCCTAATTATCCAACAGAAAATTGTTTTCTTTTCCCAATCCATAATACTCAAAAATATCTATTAGAAATATTTGGTTGTATAAAGGGATTATGCAACTATCAACATTAACAGATATGTTTGATATTGGTTATAACTTGTATAAAATATGGGGATTCCCAAAATGACGTCAGAGGCACAGAGGTCAAATTGATCCGTTTTCGCACTTTTGTGAACCCCAAATTGCAGTTGCATGTTACAGTAACGGTGAGTGTTTTCTGAATATTATTTTGCTGATAAAATTTGCAGGGGTTAGAACGGGTTCGAGGGCGAAATCGTCTTGAAAGCTAAAATTCAACGCTTTCCCTTTTAATAATCCGATTCTAGTTGCAGGATTAAATTATTGCATTCGTGAGGGCTTTAAGTGCTCTTTCAGGTGCACCTATGCACTTGCATCATAACGCCTGCAAGAAAAAGATATGAGCATGTGAAAATGCATGGTTTTCCCAGGGCATGAAAATTACCGTGTCGTGTAACCACACCATAGAACGTTTTGTTTCGGATAGATTTACTTCTGTGCGCTGTTGTAGACATGCTGTTTCTTGGTTTTTGTATTTTTATGTGTTAAATAAACGAGGCGGCCTGGAAAAGGGCCCCAGAGATAACGTCGTAGCACCGCCGTTGTTTCTTTCGGTTTTTATCATCTGCTCGACCTAGTAATAGTATTGTGGCAGATAAGGCAAAAGGTAGCGAGATCCCAACGGGTGATGCATCATTAATTCTAATTAAAGGCATGATGTCCATTGTAGGTTGTGGATTACTGCTGTCGTTATTGCCATAAACGCAAATTTTCATCGGCAATCGTGTCACCTTGTCGGTCGTTATATTTCATGCAAACGAGATTGAGAGCACTAGAAACGAAAATGCAATGTATATGTACAACAAACAACACACAGACATTGACATAAAATATTATGTGGTCCATTGTTTTAGCATCTCTTGCTGAAGTTCTAATATAACTCAAAATTTTCAATAGAAACAAAATACCCATGCTAGAAAAATGTGTGGCTGTAACATACTCTTTTACACCCACAGTTTATGGGGTGCATAGAGGATAGTATATTTGTTGTATCTAGTGTCCTGGTGGTGTTATATATAATATGCATAATGTATTATGTGGATGGAGTTTTAAAAAATTTAAGTATGAGCCCAACCAGATTGCCCAAGATTGTGCCTTTGGCATGTACCATATGGAGTTTTTTATTCCATGCCTTATACTTCAGAAATGCAAAGACCAAACTTGGTGTAACATTTGAAACATCATTTAACACCTGTACATATGTAATATATCAGAACATAGTTTAACTTTTTTTCTAAGCACATAAATCTTCGGGGGCCAACCATACCAGTTTTTAATGGAGGTTCTGTATTAAAGTCATTGGAAGGGACATATTGTATAGCTATTTTGATGCTTATATTGGTAACAGTCAATCAAAACCATCAAACTGTACAAATGCTGTCAATTAAAATAATAGAATTCTTTACATCTTAAATTTTTCTTAACTTATTCTTCAGAATCTGATATTTGTAATCTGATTTTGATTGATATTAATAAGAGGATACAAAATTACCCATTTTGTGTACCCTATTGCCTACTGAAAAGTTCAATTTAAATTAAAATTTTAATTTTAGGTGTGGAGATTCTATTCTTAATGCCCATTAAATACCTTAAAATTATTTTGCATCAAACCTGAAATTGATAATTTAACTGCAGTAGAAGTATACATTCAACTTTGTTTCCCCTTTTCATTTTATATTGTTTTGTTACTTTTATCAAAATGTGTACAAATTACCTGAAGTTATTGACTAAAGGTTTATAATTTGGGGTTGGAGGGGGGGTGCTTGGCAGAAAAATTTGCTTTGCTTGGTTTGCCATATCTGCATTAAAAAAGTTCAAGCAAGAAAACTTTAGGGGCACCTGTCAGTCTTCTCTATACACCCTCTTTAACTTGACCTGTGAGCTGCACATGGATTAGATAGTTATTTTATTTTTCTAGATTAAACAAGAGGTGGCTAGTGAAACTGTCCTGCATGAGATGGCATAATGAGGTGCCATTTCCCAAATACTGAAGGAGCTTTTGAATTTTAGTTTTGTCAGTAAACTGCAGATTATTGTGCTGAGGTTCAACTCCCTTTCTGCATTATTTTTATTGGAAATGTTGAAACGGAAGTATATTGACAGACAAGCGTATTGATTATGGAAGTGTTGTCTTTAAGATCATATATTTTTGATTTATTTTGTTGTAGGCCCAAGACCATCAATGATTTAACATTAGAAGAAAAGCACTAAAAGATGAAGAAAACACAAGGTAACTATTCACATCTTTATGCACACAAAAAGAAAAAACGTGTAGGAGAAAGATGCTTACTCCAGCAAAATTTTGAATGGCAAGCTGTGCTGTTTACTAAGATGCGAGAATGATAACTGTTCAATGCTCATTTTTACCACCTTATCAAGTTTTTCAGACAGCCACTCTGTTTGATAGTACCTAGGGTTTTCAAGATAACCGTTTTGAAATAGGAAGGCCTTTTGGTGTGCTGCCTTTGTTATAATTCTCACTTTGGTTGTTTTCAGTTGCTAATGTGTCACTGTGGTATTGAAATGGAGGATGGCCGATGTCTTTTGGACGTGATCAAGTAAGTTTTTTCCATACACCTGTTTGATTCATAGTTTGATTTTAAAATAATGTTTTCACATTTGCTCACTCTAGCGTATTGTCCCATTAAGATATAAATGTGTCAGAAACATACAGCCTATATTTGTAATTATTATTTTACAGTGATCCACAAGCACTGAATGACTTTCTTAATTCAACAGATGACGAGGATTCTAAAGTAAGTCTTCATGAATTTTTGGAGGGTGGTGAATATTTCGATTTGTATTATTTTTACTGTGATTGAGAATGAGTTGATTCAGTTTGTGACAATCTGTTGTATTGAATTTTAACTCATAAGATTCTGTCAGAAGTATAAAGCTGAATATAAAATATTTTCAAATTTTCAGTTTGATCCTCCGACCCCCAACTATGACCACTCCTCTCCTAGTCAGCCACAGTGGAATTTAAGCAATGGTAGCAATAGCACTGACCCACAGCCACAGATCACTGTGACTCCAGGTGCTACTCAGCAAGTGCTCAATCAAACCCCCAGCAACAAAGTGATCCAGGGGATACAGAACACAATGGGGCTCAGTCCAAGGTACGTACTAGTTGTTCTGATTGAGACTGGGAGAACATTTGTTTGGTTTTCATAACTCATTTGTATTTAGTGAAATGAAGTGTAACTGGATTCATTTTGACAGGGTAATGTTGGAATTGTTTAATAAAGTAGAAGAATTTAATTCACCTGTTGTGACATGTTCCTTAAAAAGGTAATGTTGTATTTCAAGGATAAAGCAGCAATTGCATGTGAAGAGTGGCCACTGTGATATTATCGTGCAAAAAGAAATGTACACAACAGGTCATTAGTGTGCTTTTGCTTTCAGGACTGGTTCTCCATTACTACAAGTTGGTGCCCAGCAAGTACTTCTGAAATCAAACCCCACATCTAGTCAACAACCAGTTCAGTTCAACCAGGTGACGGCAGTGCCCCAGACCCACTTTGTGGCCCAAGCTGCCGCAGTGCCACAGAGCCAGACTGTACATCAGCTAGTGCAATTTCAGAATCAAACCCCAGGACAACCACAGATTATACAACAGGGGGCAGGCCCGCCACAGACAGTGATATTGCAACAGACTCCTACCAGACCACAACAGAATGTAGTGAATTTAGGCCAAATAAGGACTAGTGCCCCACAGCAGGGTATTAACATAGTGCAAGGGACTACACCCAGTCAGATTAGTCTTCAGGGAACTTTGATACAAACCAGTGCTGGCAAATTTTTAATACAGGGCCAAGCATTGGTTGGACAGCAAGTGCATGTGCCAGGTCTTGGAAACATAGTTTTAAGGCCACAAGTGCAGTCTCTTCAAAATATACAGACAGTTCAGTCCAACATAGTAAGTTCAACGACAGTGCCACAAACTAACTCTGGTGCAGCTCAACTGCACACTCAGTCAGGCAGTACTGCCCAGCACACACAGGTGAATGGCCATGTGGGAACAATAGGGGGTCAACAAATAGTTCTACAAGGTGCAAACCAGAACCAAGGTCTTGTGCTTCAGACGCTGCCGAATGTTGTCAAAATGCAGCCTGGTAACAGTGCAGTCACAGCTGGTGGTGTCTCTAATCAACAAGGTTTAGTTTTGACTCGAGCCATCACTACCCAAACCCAGCCAGCCCAAGGTGCTAGTACAGCTACACAGTCAGTATTACACAGACCTTTAAACCAACCCAACAATTCCAATGTTAGTCTGAACATTGGGGGTCAGGTTATTAACTTAGCTCAGTTGCAACAAGTACAGAAGAGTGGCCAGGGCATTATTGGACACTCCTCTTCAACAATAGTAACTGGTTCAAATACTATACAGACTACTGCTGGTACTGGCATAATAAGCCAGGCCAACCCTGTGCAACAACAGCAGCAGCAAGGGGTTGCTGTACAAAATTATACAGGGAATTCACAAAGCCAAAATATGCAGTCCTCAAAAACATTCATTATCCACACACAAACTCCACAGACTATGGCTCAGAATTACAATGGTCCTCAAAAGGGACAGCAGGTTCTACAACCACAGCAGTTGCAGCAAGGGCAAGTGTTTGCAAGGCAAGGTGGTCAGGCAGCATTACAGTCTTCTCCACAGGTTTCTGTAGCAAACAATCTGACAAATCTCCAGACAGTTCAGCAAACTAATCATACAGGGAATGGTGATAACCAGCCAAATCAAGGAGTTATTGTAAATTCAATAAATAATTCTAACAATGTGAATAATCAGCCCCCCAAAAGTGCTGCAGTAAGTAATGCAAATCAGGGAGGAGATGCAGACAATCGGAGTCAAGTACAGAATGCCCAGCATGTGTTAGCAAGGTTACAGATGCAGTTAAAGCACCTTCAGTCCATCCCAGATCCTTCAGAGCAGCAGCAAAGGTTGATCAAACGTCTCCAGGACCTGATGACACAGGTGATAGCACAAACCAGGCAGCAAGTTCAGCAACAAGGCAGTCAGCAGCAGCAAATACTACCACAACAGACTTCTCGGCAGCAGCAACAGTCACAGCTACAACAAAGTGCCACACCCTCTTTAAATACTTTATTGGTGCAGCAGAACAATGGTACTTCTGTCCAAACATCAAGTGCAACAGTAGTGCAACCACAGACACAGACTGTGCTCACATTACCTCAAGTTATACAGAATATTTCTGTCCAATCGGCAAATCCACCAGCAGGGAAACTACCCATTCCAGCATTGACCAAGGTTTGTGATATTTTACACATGGAAATATCATGTTAATTTTTCTTTAAATAAAAAAAAGGGACTTAAGTCTGGGTATTCAGAGATGGGCACCTAAATCTTTGAGAGAGGGGAATTTCTCCCTTGCGACCCACACTGGAATACCCAGGATTTTAAAACTTTTAAACTAATTTAATTTAAGTAATAATAATAATTATTATTATTATTACAAAACCGGTTACTACTGTCACTTTCATCCCCTTGTAAAATGGATCAGATCTTTCAAATCTATGGAAATTTATGTGGGAGCATTGTATTGTTGGAAGTTTGAATATTTTTATTTTGCTCTATAAGAAATATTTTTCATATTCATATGTTGCCAGGTTGAGCAGGTTCTCAATAAACTTACACCTGAACAGAGAGAGAAACTACAGAGTCAGCTGTCTCGATTAACCCCAGAACAACAGCAACTTTTCTATAAACATCAACAGACACTGATCCTTCAAAAATTGTCACAGCAACAACAGAAGCCTGTGCAGCCTACAGCAGCAAGTACAAATTCCAAAGTCCCAATAATGGTGCAGGTAGGATCTTACAATGGACATTTTCTTATTCTTATAGTTTATGTTCTGCATTAGTTTTTGATGTGATATCAGTTGTAAGCAGACTTTTCATTACAGAATTTTGTTTCTGGTATTAAAAGGGTGTTTTTTATGTTCCCAGAACTAGAGTTTTGACCAGTTGATATAGGACTTATTGTTTACTTGGCTATTTCAGCAAATTAACAAAGGTGTGACCCAGTTAAGACCCATTATCATCCAGCAGCAGCAAATTGGTCAGCCAGTTCAGGCACAGAAAGATGAACAGAGGGGAGTTAAGAGACCAAGTTCAGTGTAAGTTGTATCAGTATTCTGAATATGAACCATACTATTTTAACTGAACTTGGGAAGTATTATCTTTCTGCATTAGTTCTACATCTGTTTTATAATTATTTAACCATAAGTGCATTAGGGATAGAATGTGATATTTGCATTGTTTTCTTTTAGTTTACTACAACAAATGGCAAGAGACCAGCAGGGTGTATTAAAACCTGACTACAAAACACCATTCAAGGGTTACCGTGACTGTGTGAAAAGACTGATGAGGTATCATGTTTACTATGAAAAAGATGCAGGACCTGCTGCTCTGGTAAAAGGTATGCTGTGTGCTCTACAGCTTGTTCATGGTTCTATGTAGAGAACAGTGTCTGATTTAAATTTGTATCATTTTAGTTTCCTTCCTTTGTTTTTTAGGTTTATATAACATCAGCAGATTACTAAAAAAATTATTTTTTTTTTGACATTTCATGAATGTGAATTATTGTCAGTGTCTAAGTGTTAATGAACTTCTAAACTACAAATTGCTGTAAAGTTTCATCTATATTTCAGCTGATGAAGAATTTGAATCTCAGTCTCAGGACTTCTTAGATCGCTACCAAGGAATGCTGATGAAATACAGGGATTTATTATGGCAAGACAGCATGGTAGGCCTGAAATTGTAATGCAACATTGTAGAAAAAAACAAGAGTGCTGGTTTAGATCACTGACTTTGGTTACAAAAGTATAGAAAAAAGAAAAAATCAAATATCCATGCATATGGGCTTGTGTGTAAACTTAATTTGCTGTGTTTCAGAGAAAGGATCCTTCTGCTGAAATGGTGATGCTTGACAGGATTTTCATTCAAGATGAAAACAAACAGCTTGCAAGGGATAAGCAGCTTGTCCTTGAAGACCCAGGTAAAGAGTTGTTTAAAATAAAACCATCGTCCTTTTTTGTGCACCCTGGTCGCCATTTAATCAAAAAATGTGTGGAATTACATAGTGGTGACATCAATGACAAATAGTATGTTATCTTGCAGTAGTAAATTGCCCCAGTTCTTTGTGCATGTTTATTACTTAGTTTATTGTGTCTTGGATTCACCTTCATGTGAGACTCTATTTTGACCTTCAGATGCATTTGAACCACTTCCCATCCTCAAGCCAACAGAGGATGAGACCAAAACAGAGATGCTAGAGGACGCTGAAGAAGAAGCTAAATTTAGAAAAGAAGCAGATGAGGAAAAATTATCATCTCCTGCCAATAAGTACGAACCAGAGATAAAAGCTGATCCGTCTAGCTCGCCTAAAAAAGAACCTACTAGTCTTGCCAAAGAAGAACCATTTAGTAGTGAAGGTGAAATTGAGCACAAAGCTGAAGTCATTCAGAATGAAGCAGCAGAGTCTGCTGTTGAATCTAAAGTCATACCAAAACTAAAAATATCTCTAAAATCTGAAAGACCGTCCCCAGAAAGGTGTAACTATAATCCTGGTCCGTCTTCTCCAGATAGAAGAAATAGTTCTGACTTTGACAGGCCTTCTGACAATATTGATAATTTAGAAATACCAAAAGCAGATCTAGGTGACACAGAAGAGGAACATCATCTTGAGGACAGCTATTTGAGTGACCAATCAGATAGTACAACTGAAAACAATCATTTGCATTCTGAATTGACATCAAATCACATGATGCCTAATCCTTATGAATATGAGGACATTTCAAGTGATTTCAATGGTAATCTTGATGATGATTCACCAGCTCAGTGTATTGGCAGCAGCAGCCAGACTGAGGTGGACACTGCTTTAGAAGGTCTGTTTACTAGTGCAAGGTTTGAAACAGGTCACAACAGTAAGAGTTATATGGACTACAATTTACAGTGTGATAATGCAGTGCAGGGGGTGGAGAGTCAAAACAGTGAGCTGGACAGTGCAATAAACAGTCTTGCAGCAGAATTGGAGGGCCCGGGACAGCATGGAAGCTTGAATGACAACCACATTCAGATGGATACAAGAATGGACCAGTCTGAGTTGGAAGATGAAGAGAACACAAGGCACTCTGATTCAGATAAAGATTCACAGGCTGTTAGTGAGTTGAACACCTCTCAGGAATCGGAAAACTTGGAAGAAAGTCATACAGTTGATGGTGACATTTCTTATTTCCCCCAGGGATCATATGGTTTTGGTTCACCAAGTCACAGCATGGACACTGGGGATTTGAACACAGAAATGGAAAGTGCCATCAACAGCATACTTAGTTTACAACAAGGTGAAGTGTCTATGGCTTCTAGTAATGGCCGGACTAGTTCCTATATTGATGGGGAGACTGGAATGCAGTCTGAAGAGGAACCCGTCATGGAAGATGATCTCGATGCTGCTGTGCAAAGTATTTTGATGTAAAAGCAGGTGCTTCATGCCAAGTGCTAAAAACATCATTTCTGTTGAAAAACGTAACTATAACCTGTGAGAATTCTCAAAAAAAACTTAAAAAGTGATATTTTCATATTATTTTGCAAATCTCATGATTCAAAAGTATTCAAATGTTAATATTGACTTGGTATACTTATTTCCGTAATACTAACAGAGAGAAATTTGAAGATTTTTTTATATAATGTGGAAAAAATCATGACCCAGTCCTGTGGTGTCTTTAATACTAAACGCTGCAATATTTTTACTGCTGCTAAAAAGGGGTGCAGAAAGTGCTCTAGTTCATCCCATAGTCGTTGCATTCCAATAGCTTACTGTGTCTGCTACTGCCTTTACAGGAAACGACTGAGGGGGTTTGAGCAGCGTTTTTGTCTATTTTGCATATTGGTTCTATTCCTTAGATATTTTTGTAGGCGTTGGAATATTTTTTCACTTTTTCAAAGTTGTATATAATTGGTACTACATCCGAAGATATCATCATATTATGTAATTTTGTATCAAGTATTTTTGTCCAAGACAGGAGTTTCTTGTGCTAGGTAATTTGGTTACAATTATGGCATACCATGTAGATCTCTGTGTTAATATGCTTATTTTGACATGGGCATAGCACTAGCAATTTGAGTTAAATTATTGAGATAAAGATAACTTTATACTTATTTAATGAAATGAGAGAAATCATGTTGTTAAAAATGTGAAATACATCGCCAGTTTTATACACTGTCGTCACTTCTTGTCTTTGCTTTTCAAATGCTTTCACAAAAACTGAATTTGAGTTAAGAGTAGATTACTTTTTACTTCTAAATACTTCGTTTTGGGGAGTGTCAAAATTATTCTGTAACCGCTGGAAGCCACAATCCAATACGCATCACAAATTGAACGAGAAAATGAACGTCACTACTTGTTGATAAAACCAAAATTATCGAAGAAATGTACTGAAGAATAGATCATGCCTATTTGGAACTTGACCCAGATATGATGTCGCAAAGTAACCCAAGTTTTCGGCTTCAATGGTAACCATTTGGACGATACAGTGTCCACAAAGCCAAAATCGCCAAATGGTATGTATAAGGAATAATTGGACAGAGTCCGTTTTTAAACTTGACAGGTATTAAAGGACTAAAAATAATTCCTGTTGGTAAGTTTGAAACAAAATGGTGACTTTGTTTCCCAGATATTGCGGTAACAAGCAATCCGCACTGCTCCTACCAAGGCAACGCGTACTGATTGAATCGCCATTGAAAAGACGCTATTAAAACTTTCGTGTCGGAGCAACGCGTTGTTTGCGAAAATATTTTAATCGTCAATGAACAAATTTCATTAACGTAAGATCAACTTTTCTTGTGTGAAGGATTTGTAGTGGGGGTGAACATCAGGATTCTAAAAGCATTACACACCTATCAAGATTCAGTGGATTTAAGAAATACGTAGATTTTAATTTCTGGACTAACAGTCTGGTCACAATCTGTACCAAAGCCTATTAGTTTAGGTCATTCACATGTACTGCTTTCGGCTTATCATTGGACAAAATACACTTGCATTTTCGGTCTTAATTTAGAAAGGTAAGTATGTGACAAATGTGCCTTTGAAACCAAGAGTTATTCTTATCAGGACTTGCAAAAGATGAAAACTTGGTGAAACCGTTATATATATATATATATATATATATATATATATATATATATATAACGAAAATACACTTTCGGAATATTTTGAAGAAATGCTTTTAAGAGGAAAACATCTGAGGGGTACGCTGTGCGAGGCTGTAAGCGTAACCCTACTTTATGTAACCCTACTTAATTAGTAAACTGGGCACACCATTAAATGAGCTTTTTTCAGTATTCTTGCCAAATATAACATGTCTGTCTTTTAACTCGCGTTTAAACTAGATGAAAAAAGACACGGCTGTGAAATCGGCCGTCGGTGTTTTTCATTTATTTTTCATAATATAATGCGTTTTCCTAATAACAATTCTAACCATGGTGTCATTGTTCTAAACCAATTGCAATAAACCAGCCCGCATCACTTACGAAGTAATTCGTATAGCGTTCCGCTACACGAGACATGTTATCTTTTTTCAATGAATCATTAATCAGATGTGTATACGACGAATACACGTGCTACAATAGTTGTCTCTTAAGGTAACAGCCGAAGTAAATTATATAGTGGTGGAAAAGGGTACGGATCACGCGTCTCCTCTAATGCAACTAAAAGAGTACTCCTTTAAACGGACAGACGCTGGGTGATGCCTCGTCAAAACATCGTCTGTCAGTGCTGACACCTGCCGGTAAGTCCGTACTTTCCAGGGATTATATTTCTCTGGGAAATGGGCAGCTGCACAACAAGCACTCCTAATTTTAAAGTGATGTACATTGTATTAATTGCGCAGAGGAAGAAGCGCTGGGGCAAAAGAGTACGCCCTGTGGCAGGCTTAAATTCCAGTTTATGATAATGAATTCTTAAAATAACATGACTGGTAATTTCACGATAATGTAGATATGGGAAAGAAACCTAGAAATAACAGTGGGGATGGGTTCTTAAGTAAATGAAGAGGAAGTCGGGCGTCCGTGGGTTGTATGGTAATTTCTATAGCATCAAAATTTTGAGTAACAATAAGCGCATCTGCATGTATGCATTAATGAATGATGTGTCAACGTCTGGCTTTCTTAGCAAAGAAAGGCGTATAATAATAGAGAAGAGGTCCACAGATGTAGTCTTCTCTGTAAATTAGATTTCTGTGTTCACTTAGTTGTCTGAAATAGAAAGAGGTCAACCTGGCCTTGCTACCCACATGAACTTTTCTTAATTGGTAGAATTGTAAAATTATAGTCGGAAATGTGCTATGACAACCATCAGCCATTGTCAAACCTCGTCCAACTATCTAATTTCAAGACGAAAAAGAAACTTAATGAATCACAAGCACGTCAATGAACGAATATTGGTGATTATTTATCCCGTAAATAAAAGAATATGCATTGTGCTTTTTTTGAGTTTAGCCAGCACATTGTTTATGAGCTCCTTATCCTAGGTTTTGTTGTATTACATAACATTAACGGGGCCGTCCTGTCACCGGACGAGTAGGGCGGGGTTTACGTCTCACAAATTATATGGCGTGGACCAGGGGGTGTCACACAGGGGGGAGAGTATCCACTTGAGAATATTTTTGAAATTTTAATCAATAATTTTACCGCGCCTGCATTCCAGTGTTTGTTCAGTTGCTGGTTCTTTCTTCAAATTTCGAAGACGTTCGCTGTCATCATTTCTTCTTCATTTCAGACTAAGTTAACTTTAAACAAATCGAAAAATATTAACATGCATAAACAAACAAGGTTTCTTTTTTTACATAAAAGGACCGCCAAAAAGCGAATGTCAGCAGTGAGTTGTTGCTCAGATGAAATCAAACGGTGAATATTTCAAAGCCGGATCAATGAAATCAATAAGAATGCCACACTTGCGAGCAAGAGGTCCGTGCCCCGTGGCTATAGGGCTAAATGCTCACAAAAACTACCGTATTAATTATTTAAGCCAATTTATCAAACTCTTTCCTCGTGTACATAGGGTTTAATTGCATAGAACAATTATAATCAATGAGTTTTATTGTTTAATAAACTAGGCTTGAAAATAAATTTACCTTTATTATGGTCCAGACAATACCCCACATCCTGTGCGTTCCATCGACAGTGAAGCGTTCTACCCCTGCAAACAAGGTCCGGGCCTCGTTCACATTCAGAAAAAGTTTCAGATGTTTCGATTAGTTTTATCTGGTTTATCTTTTTAATGGGGGGGGGGGGGGGGGGGGGGTTTGTCGAGGGACTTTTTCTTTAATATTATTTGTCACCATATGATGGGGCATGTCTTTGACTAGAATCTTTTTTAAAAAGAAATGGTTATTTGTATATCCGCTATACATTGTGTTTATATATTGAGTGAAGAATAATTATTGGCAGAGCTGGTGTAGGAAGCCTCTGTCGCAAGATTAAACTTTAAACTTTCTGAATAATATAATTTTGTTTCTTTTTTTCGAATAAAAAAAACAACATTGTTTGGTTTTCATTGCTATGAGAATATAATATAAAAGAAAGATGATATCTCATTCCTTACGAGCTGCTTGGCACATTTGTCTAGATCATTTTGTGCCAAGGTCTTGGGAAATCAGCTGAAGAAATATGAAAAAAATGAGAGAAATATTCATGGGCAAATACGGACAACAAACTATTCAGCTTTTATGTTGTTCCGTTTCGTTTCTTCATAGACTACAGCGAGACTTACTTTTAGAACATACGACTCAGATTACCCACCTTCTAGTCTGACATTTCCCCCTCAAGTCTACAATAAAATCCAGTAACAAGTCATTGATGCTTTCGAAAGCATGTCATCAGTGTTGTTTTCAACCGTTTCCCTTATTTTCATCAGTCCCAAGAACTCTAAATAAGCAATAAACGATAAAATGATGACCATAAATAATAGTTTAGGGGGTTGCAAATTTAACCAGACAGTTGTACAAATTGAATCTCCCTGAAGCAAGTTTGAAACACAATGCAATGAGTTATAATGAGATCATCTCTGACTACAGCCTCGGCCAGCCATTTCATGGTTAATAATATTCTCCGCCGAACGGGCTCGTCTTGTAATCTGGATTTGAAAAGGTTAACCCTTTGGCAGTTGAAACAATAGGACAGTTAAACCTTCCAATCAGCCACTCCACGGGGCACAATTGGATTTTGTTAATTACACTGTCAGCATGTTATATACAGTACAACCAGTTCGTCAAATCCCTGATAATGACATGACCCAGTCCTATTTGCTTGAAATTTTCTGGATGTTCATTAAGCTTAATCAATCGTAAGGGACAGTCAAGGGAGTTGAAACATCTTGCCGCGTTTTCTTCTACCTTTTCTGCTGGTTAAAATGGCAAGTACGGGCTCATTGTCTGCGTGGTAAGCGCAATACGGTGCTACATTTTACCCCGCCCCCCCTCCCCTCGCCCTTTTTCGACTCCCCGTTTACACGTATGTTGTGGGCGTGATTCAAGGCACGATAACAGAAGCATTAAGGATTCTAGTAGCTGGAAATCTTGCCATTCCCATCCGTAATCAAGTTGTGGCCATATTAAATGTCAACAGAGTGAGTTAATGGGATGAGTGTGTAATACAAACACAATATAGCGTACTGCTCTCATTGCTCTTTTTAATTCACAATATAATACATATCATTCTAGTATTTGCATAATATGACTCTGAAATTTAACATCCATGATTGCACAGGGCAAATGTACTGTAAGTCTACTCTATTTCTGGGAGTGTGAAACACATTTTTATTATAATTTGTCCATTCTATACCAACAGCCAAAGCTCTTATATGCAGCAAAAACTTCTAAAAAATAACAGCTCTACGTCAACATAATAACACACTGATGTTTGCTACATTGTCAATAATATTATGACACAAAAATTGCACGTCAGATTTTAACCTGATTTGACTTTTTATCTTCTGACTCGAATTTCAATAAATTAAATATTGCACAATAAATTAATTAAACTGATTATAAAACATGAACACCACATAGCAATATATTGTCATTCTTTACAATTTTTTTCTGGGCAACACACCCACGTTTAAATTACACTGCTCTAAACTAATAAGTACATACATATATACATACATGCATGTATATACGCATAAACAGTAAGAGACCTCAAGTGATTTAGTGACCAGCCTGCATGGACTCAGATCTTGTAATTTCACACAGGAATTTGAGATCAGAATGAAGTCTATAGATAATTACATATTCAGCCTATTAGCCCTTGACTGCACGCTGCCTTTTTCAATTTGATCAAATGACTAAAAAACACTGCTGAGATTTTGCTTGATCCTTTTAAGCTGGCCACTAGCATGTAGAGAACACCATTAAACATCCTATTTAGATTTGCCAGTAAGATGCAGTGCAAGATCAAAAGAATATCAATTTATATGACCCTGTAATATTTTTCATATGGAAACTGGTATGTAGGCAAATACTGTAACATGGACAACTTCTGTATAGGAAGAGATGACACATGTGAACAATGCTTTCTGGTATCATATTACAACTACTTTTGTGACGAGTCCAGTGAAAAACTTTGGTGACATTGTCTACAAAAAAAGGTAGGAGTGTCTCCTGATAAAGCCTTACTTGGTGATCAGCTGTATTTCAGATAAACCTAATATATATTTCACAAACACCTTGCTACTGCTTGATTACACTTATCTTTTGTGTACCACCTGAGCAGATTGCCAGGACAGAGCGCTCCCGGTAACAGTGCCATTTCACCAGCAAGGTGCTCATTTCAGCAGTTGCCACAGTAACCGGCTTCATGAACAGGACAGAAAACATTCATAATTGATGTGCTGGTACGCTCTGATCTGGCGCTGACAAATGGGCTGCCAACTTCAACTGCTGCACAAGTGCCAGCTTTCAACCGTGCAGCACTCTAGAGTGAAAGCAAATCAGAACCTTCACTTTGCTGTGACTTTACTTAGACCAGTCATCATAATACAGTGATACAGAAAAACTAGACAAAAAGTTTCATCGATGACAGTTTTGATTCACAACACATACTGTACAACAAACTTGTAGTCTCAGTTGGGCCCCATTTGTTTTGTTCTCCTAAATAAATACAATACAATACAATTGTGAAACCAGAGTAGCAGAGCACGCTCCAATTCAAGACTTGTACAGTGCCGGCAGAATAGACATTACAGTATTGTTTGAAGACCTTGTTAATTATTCATGATAGGTGTTGCAGATGAATGCCAAAAATAACCATGTCTCTGTTTCCCCTTGGAATAATGTGGCAAAAACCTAGTAACCTGAACCCGAGTTACAGACTACCTTCCCCTTACTGATGGCAATTAAGCTGAAATGGAGGCATTAAAACATGACATATAAGAAAAAAATGGGATAAAATATCAAAACTCCATTCTCCTTTGGTTTAAGTGAATAAAATCATTTCTATTAAAAATTGCAAAATTACTAATGTCTCAAATAGGCAAAAGCCATAACCATAAACTGCACTTTGTAAAATAACCAAGAAAATGCAGGCATTTTCATTCCTTGCTTGTTAATGCTGAATTATAAACTAAAATAATGCACTTTTGACAGTATACCCTGTATTAAAACTGGACTTGCACATACCATTTGTATATTTTGCCATAGCTCCCTTCTAAGATGTGTAAATGTGACTATCATATAGTGACTAAATTCTGAATTACTTTGATTTTTACTCTTTGTTCCAATTGAAAAATTAAAACATGATTGCCAAATATATTCCTTGTGTACTTCATGAACCTCTTGACTTGGGAGTTTCATCCAACAATTAATGACTCTAGCACAACCACCCAAGGGTATGGCATAGTGACAAAAGCTATTGTCAAGTAAAGTGTGCCTCCTAAATCTCCAGCAAGACAAAAATAAATAAATGAGCAGCCCTGCACATATTTCTCTGACTAGATTGCTCGAAGAAATTAGTGTTTAGATGTTGACGTGATATAGTGGAACTTTGAAATAGTCTCCTGCCTACTTCAGGGAAAATCTTTGGTGACTCATGGAGCTACCACTCCTGTGGTGTAAGTTATTAATACTCTTATTTAATAAAAGAAACTGATTGTTCTCACATCTAACAATAAATACAAACTGGAAAACAAAACTAAATATAAAATGTTGTCTACAGGCAGATTAACAGCTGCAAGTCAGTGTCATTTTTAAAAAGAAACATCAGCACACACTTTATAAGACACAAATATAACACACAATATAAATGCAACAATGATACTGATTAATATACATAACAATGGTTCTAGCTCCAGCCAGGAAGTTCTCCATCAAACACTTTGTACAAGAATCTGCCACTGCAAGCAATGTATGGAAGGAAGATGGACTAATTTTGACCAATCACAGTACAGAAATCTAGGGTATGTAAACCACATACTATATTGACTATGATCTATTGTGTATTGTTTAATATTGCACATTTCCTTCTCTCCCCTTTCATTTTTTCATACACTGTTTAAAATTGGAGGGACATTCTTATGCAAACAGTGCAGAAAGATTGATACAGTGATCTATATTTACCATATGCTACTTCAAATGTAGCACAGATACATATCTACAGCTAAAATGTTAAGTAGTCATTATGCAAGTTTCACAACAGAAAGTGAACAACCATTTATACAAATGCTATAAAAATGTAAAAATCTAAGTGCTCTCTGACTATACCAATGTGTTTTTTTTTTCAAAGCAGTGTGTATGTGTCTCATACAAGAGTTGAAATGGGAGAAATCCCAAACTTTCATTGCTGGCAGATAAAAAGTAAAATAATTCTTAACAGTAATAATAAATAGCAGGTCTTAGACCTGAAGGGTATTGGGCAATAATTTAAGTTTGTTCCTCAGAGTTAAGTTATTCAAATATGATTATCAGTATTGCATAAATTATACCAAATCATCTAAGAGACTTTGAGTCCATAAAAAACATATCTGGGAACATAAAAATAAAATCAACTGATTGACTTATATAGCTTGACAAAAATGCCAAAATAGAAAATAAGTTATGGATGGAATGTAACAAAAATAAACATTAATACTAACAAAACTGTCTGTATGTCCAGTAGCTGGAATGACCACTATGTGCAATGGACATACTAGACCCCAGTGTTCTTAACTTTAGAGATATTTCTATTGGAAACTAAATGGAATTGTTTGAGATAAAATGCTGCAGGTTGGAATGAATGAATACAAGTTGCCAAAAGGCTTTCAGTATCTAAGGAATTAGAGAGATAATGATGAAAGTAAGTTGGGTTCTTGTGGGATTAATCAAAAAGAATCCCTGATCACAAGTTTCTTGTGACAAATAAATATATAAATATGGACCACATATCTGCCAACTTTAGTACACATATGTAGCCTCATTTGCTGCATTTGGCAGTGAGATATGATACCTCTATGGAAATATAATTAAAGACCACATCGTAATCACTAGTCAAAGTCAAGGTCCACGTCTAGTCACTTGCTGCCAGCAGGTGCAGCTGAACTACGTTGGCTATTTCCTTCCTCGTCTTTCCACTTGTCCAGAGACCGCCTCCGTGCGTTCATAAAGAAATTGGCTACTGTGGTGACCTCTAAACCCAGTTGCTGTGCTATGGTGGCTTGCATCTCCTTGGATGGTCGTTTAGTCTCTTTGAATATTGCATGCAGTGTGCGTCGTTGAATATCTGTAAATACCAAACGTGGCTTCTTGGGTGCTCTACTGTCCTCAGGAGGACTCACTTGTTCTGCTTCTTTTCTCTTGCATGCTGGAATAAAAATGAACAGGAATTAAACCTCAGCTCATCTTAATGTGTGTAGGTAAAAATATGCCTCCAAAGAAGACAAAAATTCAAATCCCCAAAACACAGCAGAGTAGTTGCTTTTTTACTCCACAATAAGATGATGAAAGACAAAATCAAGAGCTCCCATTATGGGAACATTCAATAGAAACTGAAACTGAACATTTCTGGTTTGTAAATGACAAGAGTTTAGGAAGTTAGCAATGCAGAGCTAGAACAGAGCACCCAAGAATTGTAAGTAATTTAATAAAGTTAGTAACGGTTTCAATCACAGCTGAAGCACGTCTACCTATCAAAGTAAGGGTGTTCTAGAAAAGGCGAATCTGTTATTCTTTTAAATGACAGAAGCAATTTCTACATTTACAAACCAGAAATGTTGTGCGATACGACACACCTGTCATTCGTTTGGAATTATCAAACAGTGAAAATGATTGGTCAGTTGGGAATATATGATTTGAGCCAAACTCAGACTGACCAACCATCCCACATTTTGCCCACTGATCAATCACATGGAGTCACATTTTCTGGAACAGCCCTTTATCAGGAAGGGAAGAGTACAATACCGGTTAGGTCTTCGTTTTGTCACACCTTTTGAGTGGCCAGACGATGTCACTAAACACAAACAGAAAAGTGAGAAACTGTAGTGGAAACAGATGATTGATTTTTCTTTTTCATTTCATTTAAAGTCACACCAATTAAGAAGTTAAGGTAATTTCATGGGAAAATAATTGGTCTGCAGGTAAAATTTGCAAGAAATTCATATTTTCTTGCAATAGAATTGAAATCTTTTCCGTTTGGCGCCAAGGAAAATATCCATTTTACTTATCCCTTCTTTGCATGTCTTCAAGAGAGCAAGATTAGTTGAAGTAAGAGCTGTTCCTCAGAAATAGAAAGTGAGATTAGTGAGTTCACACCTTGTCAATAACTCTGCGTTAATTATCATGTATGCCGTCTCATGTCACACACACACCTTGCACGCACCCACACACCCGTGTTATCATGCAATAATGGAAGCAATAAACCCGATGAAAGTTTTTTTCAGAGTGGTGTCAAGTTTTTGTCACCTAACTTTCTCTGAGAAATAACTAAAACTTCTAATCACATGTTATGATGGCTGCACACTACACTACTGAGTTATATGAATTCACACTGAAACCTTTGGATATTTTTGAACTCATTCATCATGACCCAGTCACTTGTTCTAAGAAATACCAATGGTTACCACAGCCAAGTGCATGGATCACAGAAATAAAAGATTACAACAGGAGAAACTAGAGATAACCATAAAAATATAAGCCATTGAGAAAAACATACAGAACTATTAACTTGGAAGTATAATAGAAATTACTGGATCCTTATTCCCTTTAGATCCGTAAAAAAGAAACCTTGCTTGGTCTGTTGAAGGGGTTATGAATTCATATTACAATGCGGTAAAAAAACACCATAAAGCTTGTAAAGTCAGCTTCCTGCAGATAATGAATAGGCAAAGATAGAATGAATCTGCATATTCAGAACTGACAGATGGCATGCCTGTCAGTGCAGTCCACTTGATTACAATCCTATAACCACCACCTACCCAACCACCACCATTACTACTGCCATACACATGCAGTTCGCTATAACAACACATATAAATATAAATATATCCATAATTACATAATATCAATGAATACAGCATGCATATTTGATGTTCATGTTATATCTATGATAAAAATGTTTATATAAACCAGCCATCAACTGACAGTTAATTTACTAATTTTAAGCAATAAATAATATAATATAGGACAGAGAGTGTCAGGTTCTGTTCACTGCAGTAAGCCACAGCTCCTGCATTACCATACACATATATGCATAATTGCATTGTAATCTCACTAATGCCTCCCCACACCTGTCCCCAAGATGGGATTATCACAGTGCTTTTCCCATCAATCCACAGTAATTATTGAAACTCCTCCACCAAGGAGAGCACTTCAATCATCTTCTAAACTTTCTATGGTCTAAAGTGAGAATCTTGTGAGTATATTTAAAGAACATCCGGCCCGGTGCCCATCTGGCTTGCAAGGCCAACAGTTTGCACTCCAGCCACTTATTAGGTTTATCTACAGCAAACCTTGCTGGAGGTTACTTTTCAATTCTGTTAGTTTGTCATCTACTTCAGGAAATAAAAAAGCAAACCAGCATAAAACTCTAAATCTAAATAAGCATGCAGCTGATGTTACTAAAATAATTGCAAATTAGTACTACTAGTAAGGTTAGTAATTATTAATTTTTGGTTGTACAACATACCGGTGCTTCTTTTGGGTTTGCTGTCTTTTGATGAAGACTCAGAGTCGTGATCATCATTTTCAATCATGGGGCCTAAAGGAAGGAAGCAAAATAAAATAGTTTGAGAGACGAAAAATAATAAAAACAGATGTAATAACTAAGAGCAACACTGACTGAAATAAAAGCAATAATAATACAAAAAATTTGGTGAAAATACAAAGACAACATTTCAAAGCAGTATACAGGTAATAATAACAATGAAAATATAAGTAGTATCTTAAGAAAAATACTAGAGAACTGAAATGAAATACAAACTTGAGGACAAACAAAAGACATTGGGCATATAGATGAAAATCATGTCAGTATCTTCTGAAAAGTCAGTTTCACTTTGTGTGTTGATGCATAACAAACAAGGCAACACAGGTCAAGCCATTATTAATTGCCTGTCATTCAATCATTAACAATTTAAAAGTTAACTATGTTCAAGAGTGGATAAAATTAGCTCACTGATGAAATAATAATCAGTTTAATCGGATGTTGCCCTGTACTCGGGGAGAGCCGAGACGAGGATGACAGTTCTCTGCCCTGTGCATGGCAGATACTCTCAGCTTATTCATTAACTTTGCATTTTCATAATCACTTTGTGACACTATGGGACGAGGTCCTATGACAGGGTCATTACATCCAGCCTACTCAAATGCAAAATCAGCTGGTAGGAAGTTTATGATGCCCATCAAACCCTTTCATTACCACTGTCAGACTAGTTAGGTGTCAAAGCAGACCGGTCTTGATTAGTAAAAATGATAGGATGCAAAAGCTTTTATTAAATCAGGACTAGGATGAACTTTGGAAAACAAAAGACAAGGAAAGGGCAAAGAACAAGTCTGCTCTTCACTGATGCTTTGCAATTTTCTTGAATTTAACACTTCACTTCTCCTGAGGTCGACGATGAAAATGAATTATTTGGGTTGCTTAGCAACTTGCCAAATTGACATCCCAAAAGGTAATGTTGGGATATTCATTATTTTTTAATCTAATTGTCTGAGCAGACGAGGACTGCAAAAGCAAGAGAAAATTCATCATTGCCACAGTCTTATCCTCCCCCTTGCCAATTTCCATGGCTAAACTGCAGCGGCAGTGAATTGATGGTGACCCGTCACTACATGCTGGCGATACTTCATATTTATACAGCAAACACAAAACTCAATTTCACTCTTGTTGAAACAATAAATTAGGCCTGAGAATTTTCTGCCTTGTACTTCAATGCAGCTGCAGCTGAGGATCATGGCAATTACAACACAAGCCAACACAGTCTTTTCAAATCTGCCCCATTAAAAATGCATGTCATCTGTAAATAGAAAGAACATATCATTATTCCGTTTGCATTATAATTAATTTGTTCCTTTCTTGAACGAGAAGGGGTAAACTGCCCATTATATTTCACATTACATTGGAACAGTACAAACAATTTTAGTCACAGCCTTTGTCAAAGACTCACATTTCCAACCCACCTGCCTATATTGTGGAGGAATTTAATGATTGAATAATTTATCAGGCTATGTGATACCACTCTATTGTTTCTTCCTTCTAAGTTTTGTGTCTTTTCATCTTGGTATAGATTTATAGATTTGACTGTCTGTACAGATGTAATAGCTGATCTGGTGGACCTGGCAAGAATCAATAGTTGATCTTGTTCAGAACACCTTGAAGGGAGCACCTGCCATTGTTTCCAAATTATTTCACAAACATTAAGTGTTACCATGTGGAAAACAGGGCCGAATAGCTTCACAAACACACACCAACATACCTGGGATAGTTAATTTGTAATTATACCACTTCAGTATTCTTTCTTGTCATTATTTTCTCACGAAAATGCCCCACGGACAAACAAGTCAATAAATTTGCAAAAAATATCATAATTTGCAGTTGTCACAGTTGATTGTTATTAAGAAATCGCACCCGCTTCTTTTTATCATATTATGTTACATTTACAGCTTGCATGCCATACTTTAATTGTTTTCCCCAGTGACCAAAAACACTATAATATAATGTATTTGGTTGGATGGCAAGCCAGACTCCATCCTACTGCCCCCAGTTTCCCCAAATGACCAGCTTTAATTATCAATACAATTATCAATAAAATGCTCCTGTCCCTAAGACTGAAATATCACTCAATATTTTGTTGATCTAACTAAATGAGCTTTGTCAGGTCAACATTATTGAAAATGTGCAGTTTTCAAACCGCTGTTACGCAAAGTTCTTTCACAACTTTGATTTTTCCATTTCCCATCAATATATGGATATGCCTCCCTTTCAGCCACATGAGTATTCCTTCATATTGGTAATTAAAATCCTCGTCTTCAGCACGTATTAAAAAGGGAAATATGCATATTCTTTCTGCCATTAGGGCTTTAACAGGCAGTGTGTAAGCAAAGATACATGTTATTTGAAATATACCTTTGAATTGCCATAAATACCTATTCACTTGTCTTTTATTCTTGAATCCAGAAAAGAAGTCAAAATGAACAGACCTAGTAGCCTTCAGGGATTGAGATTGTACTAGGAATGGGAAAATTGGGGAAATTAAATGTCATAGCTTTAGTTATGAATATCTCAAATTTCTTTCTTTTTCCCTTTGGGTAAAATTACTTTGGAAACAAAAAAGAAATGCTCCATTACTTATAAAAATTGAGTCTGTAAGTTGTTTTGGGGTTTTTTAAGACTATTGACACCATTTTCTTTAATGAAAAGTACACACTTAATTTTCAACACCACAGCTATGTATATGGGGCTTTTACATTCAGGCGTTAAAACAATCTTCAGAAAAGAAAGCTGATTACAGTACATGCACATCATATATATGAGACAGGTAATCATGTGTCCACCATCTGCCGCCTAACAAAATGTCTGCTTTTAGTTGCACTTGCACTTGTTCCTCAGAATCAACAACTACATTACTCTGAACAGTAAATACTCCTTTATGCTTCACTTCTGCTAGCTGGAGGGTTAATACATTAATTTCCTTCAAACCAAAGCAAGCCTAAAACAACAGTTGACAACAAAACTGCAATTTAGGCAGTCTTGTTTGCTTTCTCTATCACGTTGAGAGAGAAGTATTGTTTCAAGTTCAGTTCCATGCAAATGCAAATGAGGAGGATGCTGTTTGGAAGAGGAGAGTAAATGTACACAAAGCTATCGTTACAGGGAAAGTAAACAGCTAGTCTTCCTTTAGTGGGAAGACAAGTTGAAAGCAAGCTTTTAGTCACGTCTTCTCGCATACAAAAAACACTTGGCACTGTTTGTTCTCTCTGAGCCAACTGTTTCGAGCAAATGTTGTTATTGGAGAGCCAACAACAATGGCATTGCTGGACTGCTTTTGTTGAGGGCCTGCAGATAATTGCCATAAGAGCCTTCACCAGAATCAACCCCTGCTTCTTGAGCTCTCTCTCTCCTCCCACATCAGGTACAACTGTGCCAAGGCATGGAACTGTGAAAGTTGCTTGCGAACCATCTAATAAATATTTCAGTATTTTCTTTATGACTCTTTGGGAAAACAATACTGCTTCATGTTAAATGCATGTTTGCCAGAGGAGGATTGGACAATGAAAAGCAATCATACAAAGTAAATAGTCTGCCTTGTCAAGCTACAACATGTTGGGGCTTTCCCAAGCCGCTTTAACCACACATCACCAGCATTTAAAGCCTTTTCCAAGCTGCAGTTTTACTCCCAGCAAGCCAGACATTTAAGGAAGTAACTTGAAGCACAGCAGCAATACAATCATCAACAATTAAACACTTTATCAATTAATTTTCCCTCTTCTTTGGCCATAACCTTGTGAATCAATTGCTAAGTAGAGACATGTGATTTACAGCAAATACATGTATGTTTTAATGATTTTCAAATTCCCTCTTGAAGAGCTCTGGGAGTCTGATCAATGGGGACAGACATTTCATTTAGTGTGACTTTACTACTAGCTTGCCTTCACTCAATCAAAACCTCAATATTTAATTAATACCGCTCTGACATGCAACACTATCTAATCATCAAACTGCTACATTAGACAATAGTTCCACACTCTCACTTTCATGGTCAATGTCATATTATTGGTGATCTACCTGTTACTCCGGCACTTTTATACAAATTATTGGAAATCATTCTACAGTGCACATTGATCATGCTTTCCTCTACCTTATTTAGCCTTATGAGGATGTTAATTAAAATGCAATCTTGACATTGATCGTTATCAAGGTTTGTTTTAGTTAACTGTATCACACTGAGTTTTTGCTACGAATCAATGCAGCAGAGATTGACTGCTTCAAGGGAGAAAGGGCTACGAGGCTTTTTTTACAACTGACTGCACTAGTTTCTATGCTAGTTCCATACACACAAACCACACTTTCAAAACCAGTAAGGCCTCTGACTTCTTTATTTTTAGAAGAACCTTTTATCTACAGTCTAAGGTTTACAGCTTTGAAAACTGGTGAGAAAAAGGCAGCAATTTTACTTACTGACGCATGCTGTCATGCACTCACTTTTATCTCAGAGCCATTGCTCTGAAGAGCATTTAAAAATGGCTGCCAGGGCCCGTGCCAAGTGGCTTTTGTTGTCAAGCTTTAATTACTGCCACGCGCATTTGGCAATTGTTGTACTATTGCCTCAGTCAACACAGGCTTGTGGCAGTGTTGACCAAGCAGCTTAATGTTTGTATGGGCAAGCACACGTAATTTAATTCTCATTTAAAAGAGGGTCTACGCCGTGTAGAAGGTATTATTTTGGACATTAATAATTTATCACCTCATTTGCGGAGACTATTCAAGCAGAACATATGGAAAACCACTGATCTCTTTTAATTGCTTGCATGAAACAATGCAGTTGCTAGCGCAAGGGGGAAAGGTGACTTTGTTTGAAGTCTTTGTTATGAAATCGTGAATAATATTTTTCATTATTTGTAAAGAGACCTTGTTGTACTTAATGAACAATAAAGTCATCAATATTTTATGATATACATTTTGGAGAATTTTCTTTTGGAATGAATGCAAACAATGGGTTTTCTTCTGGTATGTTGAGCACAAGGTGTTAAGTTGTGGACAGA